GGAAGCAGCAGCTCGGGACTCGGGGCTGGAAAGAGAGCCGGGGTCCCCAGCTGGCCTGAGAGGCCGCAGAGAGGAGGGCTGCGGAGGCATCATCCCTGGGAAGCAACAGGGGAGGGGAGGAAGGGGACCGAGTCCCCAAGGAGAAAGGAAGCGCCCTCCAGGGTCAGAGGAGAGGGACACCGGCTTGTCCCACAGCCAAGCGTCTGCACAAAGTTTCGCTCTCAAGATCTGAGGCGTTTGGGACTGAGGGCGGGGCAGCGGGGCCTCGGCTTGCTCTGTTGGGTGAGTGCACACGGGAGGGCTTTGGCGTTTGTGTGCGGTCAGTGATCTTCCTTCCCCTTCTCCTCTGGCGCGTGCGTGCGTGTGCGTGTGCATGCGCGTGCGTGTGCGTGTGCGTGTGTGTGTGTGTGTGTGTGTGTGTGATGGGAATATTCCTGGAATTCTGAAGATTCCTGGAATTCTGAAAAATTCTGAATATTCCTGGAATTCTGCACATGCTCCTCCAACTAGCAGCCAGTACATTTGTCGTCAAGTTCATTTCGAAGAAGGCTCCCGAAAGGCAGGATCTGTGCACTCAGTGCAAGGAGAGGCAGCATGGGGCCCTGCTGTCACTGTGGCCACGCCCACAAGCACACAATTCATTCTTTCTTGCCTTTCCTTCGTTTGACATTGCCCGTTGGTTTAGAATTGGTGTAAGTTTCCTTGACCGTCCAGAATCCTAACATGGAAATGGATGTGCGAAGACCCACAGCTGTGCGTCCGGCCCAAGCGTTGCTCCCCGTTGGGGCCCTCTGCCAGCAGGCCCCCGCCCCTAGAATTACCCGGGGCTCCCTCTTTTTAAAAAAATATATTTTATTGATTTTACACAGAGAGGAATTGAGAGGGACAGAGAGTTAGAAACGTCGATTAGATAGAAACATCGACCAGCTGCCTTTTGCACACCCCCTACCGGGGATGTGCCCGCAATCAACGTACATGCCCTTGACTGGAATCGAACCCGGGACCTTTCAGTCTGCAGGTCTCGGCGGGGCTCCCTCTGTTCCCGGCGGCTTCTCGGTCCCCAGGCGATGGGAGCTCCGTGAGGTTCTCTTTCACTCTCTGGACTGCGAGCGGAGCCCGCCTCGCGCTGAAGCCTCGGAGGGTTGAGTCTTACAGACACGATGAAACGCTGTTAGAGAGCGTCCTTGCTGTAGACCTGGAGTCATCAGCCTGGAGAACGGGACCAAGGTGACTTGCGGACGGGTCACATCGGGAGAGAAGACACACAGCATCGTGGCCGGTGTTCTGTCTCCGAGCCACAGGGGACGGGGTGCGGGCTTCAGAGCAGCTTTGTGGTTATTAACCATCCGGCTCAGCGTCGGCAAACTCATTAGCTCACAGAGCCAAATAGCAACAGCACCACGATCGACATTTCTTCGGAGAGCCACATTTCGTAAACTCCTCCTAACGCCACTTCTTCAAGAAAGACTCGCCACATGTGGCTCGAGAGCCGCGGTTTGCCGACCACGGGTCTGGGCTAGCAGACCCTTTGAAGACTCTGGTGAAAGCAGTGGACTGGCTTCCGTGGGCCGCCTTCAGGGTTGGGAGGGGATGAGGACGCGTGGCTCGGAGGGGCTGACCGCTGGCTCCCGCCGCCCGCCTGCGGTGGGGGGTGAGGTCCGTGCGGCCACACAGCCCGGCCTGCCCTGCGGTGATCACAGCTGTGGGGGCCCGGAGGCTCCGGCTGGATTACCTGGGGGCTGGGGGGTGGGGGGAAGCGGGCTGCCAACCGAGGTGCCATCTCCCCTGCTGCTTCCCGCACCTTGGAGATTTTTTCCAAAACACCTCCGCTCGTGTTAATGAACAGACGTCAGCGAGGCCGTCCCCGGCAGCTGAGATCCCGAGGTCCCCGAAGGCGGCCACCACAGACACTGAGAGCCAGGGCAGCCTTCTCTCTCCCCCGCCGCTGCTTCTCCCGGATCTGGAGCGTTCTGGAATGTTCTGGAACCCGCAGGCCGGAGCGATCCCACAGCGGGAGGTCAGCCCAGGCCCTGGAGCTGCCGGCCTCCCTCCGAGGGTAACTTCCACTCGCAGCCGCGTCCCCAGGGCCGAGAGGGAACATGCAGGATGTGGTGACTCATCGGATTCCAGGGGAAGGCACTTTCTCACGAGCCCGGGGTCATAAATACTTTTCCTGTCGTGGGTTCGATGAAGCTTCCGTCTGAATGTTTACCCACTTGGGAGATTTGTTCATTCGTTATTTTAAAGATCTTGTGTTTAAAAAAAGTTTTTGTTTTTTTTTGGGGGGGAGGGGGGGTAAGACTGTCCAGGCTAAAGCAGGCCACTAGGGTAGCAACCCGAGCTTCTCGGCCTTGTGGGTGCGGGGAATCCCCCCGAGATTGAACAACTTCTCCTGCCTGGCTGGTGCGGCTCAATGGTTGAGCATCCACCTATTCACCAGGAGGTTATGGTTCGATGCCCAGTCAGGGCACATGCCCAGGTTGGGGCTCAGTCCCCAATGGGCCGTGCAGGGGCAGCTGATGGGTGATTCTCTCATCGTTGACATTTCTATCTCTTTCCCCCTCTTCCTTTCCTCTCTGAAATCAGTAAAAAGATGTATTTTTACGAAACTCCTCTCCTGGCCCCCCCTGCTCTCTCTGGAACCTTCCTTCCCCTAGCCGACCCCCGCTTCCTGGCCGGAGGGCTCCTCGGCTGGGCTTCACCCTTTCGGATCTGAGCCCTGGACTCGGGGCTGGAAATGGCCTGTAGGGCCCTGACCAGCCTCCCACGCGGAGGGAGGGGGACGGGGTGGGTGGGGAGGGAATTGCTCAGCTCCTTCCGAGCCTGCTGCTGTGGTGCCTGGAGAGGGGCCAGGTGGACCGGAGCCACAGTGCCCTGGGGGTCCTTTCTTCATTCGAGGCAAGTTAGATATTTGGGGGAGTTCTAAGAATCCCAAGGCGTGGGGCTCCCAGGGGAAAGGTCTAGAAACAGATGAGCTTTTTGGGAGGCGGGGAGGGAGTTGTCTGGCATGGGTGGGACCCGCGGGACCCACATCGCTCTCCAGCAGCCTCTTGCCTCCATGTCCCTGCAGCCGAGAGTGCAGCCGGGGAGGGGAGCAGGCCTCGGAGGGGACAGGAGGCAGCGTGGCTCCCCGGCAGCCTGGAGACTGCCCTGCCTCCCTTCCACCCAGCTATCTTCCCCAGCCTCTCTGCACCAGGTCACGACCCCTCCTCCACCCCCACCCCTCGCCCCCCACCCCCCACCCCTGTCCCAGCCTTTGCCCGCAGAGGTGAGGTCAGATGAGGACAGGACAGTCAGGAATGCGGGGACCTTCGCTGTGAGTCAGTCCGCCCCTCAGCTCACCGGTGATGGCACTGGCGCGCAGAGAGGCCATTTGACTTGGCAGGTTCCCAGCTAGCGAGGGGCAGGGCTGCAGCCCAGGGCTCCTCGTGCATTCATTTCCTACACTGTCTTACCCTCCGTGCATTCAGCCCTGACCGGGGGGCTCAGTGGATAGAGCGTTGGCCTGCGGACTGAAGGGTCCCAGATTCGATTCTGGTCAAGGGCATGTACCTTGGTTGCGGGCACATCCCCAGTAGGGAGTGTGCAGGGGGCAGCTGGTCGATGTTTCTTTCTCATCGATGTTTCTAACTCTATCCCTCTCCCTTCCTCTCTGAAGAAGAAAAAAAAAATCAATAAAATATATTTTTAAAATAAATACATAAAGACCTACATTTGAGTGCAAGGCATGCTGTCCGGCCTGGATGGTCCCCAGGTGTGAACACACCCGAGTCTGGGTTAGACGCGTGGGTGGTGCTGGGCTGCTCTCTGGCAGTCCGCACGGTCTGGTTGGGTTTTCTTAGGTGGCGCCCCGTGGGGGCGGTGAGCCAGCATCTGCTGTGGAGGGCGGGAGGCCCCGCTCAGAGCTCGGTGCCCGCAGAGAGGGCCAGCCAGTCCAGGCGGGGATGTCAGGGCTGCGGTCTGGCAGCCCTGGGCGAGGCCTGGGGACCGCACACCAGGGAGCCTGTGGTGCCGGACGGAGGGACAGGCTCTCCCAGCCCAGAGAAGCTCTCGGTGCCCGAGCCCCGAGCTCCCCGCACAGACACCAGGTCCCAACCCCTCTCCTCCTCTCCCTGCAGCTTTGGGTCCTCGCTGGACCTGGGGACGGTCCTGGCCACCCCTCCCCTGCTGGCAGGGGTGGCCGAGGATGCGTGTGGACCCCAGGGACCTGTAACCCTGTGGCAGGGAGGCAGGGTAGCAGGGATGGCATTGTGACTGGAATCAGCCCAGTCGGGTCTCCTGTGACCTTTTCTTTTTTTAAAAAAAATATATTTTTATTGATTTTTTTATAGAGAGGAAGAGAGAGAGATAGAGAGCCAGAAACGTCAATGAGAGAGAGTCATTGACCAGCTGCCTCTTGAACACCCCCTACTGGGAATGTGCCCGCAACCGATGTACATGCCCTTGACCGGAATCTCACCCGGGACCTTTCAGTCCGTAGGCCGATGCTCTATCCACTGAGCCAAACGGTTTTGGCTCCTGTGACCTTTTCCACGACCCGCGGCCTGTGGGACTGTCCACCGCAGCGGGTGGGCCCGGGCTTGCTTGCCTCTGCTCCCAGCTCCTCAGCACCGAAGCGCACGTAGCAAGTGTGTGCTCAGTGTGCGGTGGTCGAACAGACACGCGGACAAATGCATGGGCAGCAGAGGGACTGACTGCTCAGGCCTCCCGGGCGCGCGGATTGGCCGGCTTAGCTGGAGGGGTGATCAGCACCCCCCCTCCCGCCCCCCCAACCGGCCTTTTGGGCCTGGAGCCACGCCCGTGAGTGGGCCTCACTAGCCACGCCAACGAGGCAGGGTCTGCTGCAGGGGCCTCACTTCCCTCGGGGTCACAGGCTCTGCTGGGGCCCGCCCTGGACACGGGCAACTTGGGGTTTGGTCTCAGTCACTGCTCCCCACCCCTACCCCCACCCCCAGAGACGCGCCTTCACCGCTGTCCCCTTCTCTCCCCCTCGGGCGCAGATCCTGGCCAACGTCTTCCTCTACCTGGGCGCCATCGCCGTGGGCATCATGTCCTACTACATGGCCGACCGCAAGCACCGCAAGGCCTTCCTGGAGGCCCGCCAGTCGCTGGAGGTGAAGATGAACCTGGAGGAGCAGAGCCAGCAGCAGGTAAGGCTCGGGGCGGCCGCAGGGCCGTGGGCTGGGAGCTGGTGTTTGTGCAGCCAGCTCGGTGCATGGGCACAAGGGGGCGGGGCGTGTGTGTGTGTGTGTGTGTGTGTGTGTGTGTGTGTGGAGGGGGTTCAGTGCGCAGGGCCGTGGGCTCGGAGCTGGTGTTTGTGCAGCCAGCTCGGTGCATGGGCACAAGGGGTTCGGGCGTGTGTGTGTGTGTGTGGGGGGGGGAGTGGAGGGGGTTCAGTGCGCAGCCCCGTGGGCCTTGGAGTTTGCCCACCAGGTCAGGTGCTCGCTGCCTGACGCCACCTCGGTCCCTCGCCTGGGAGGGCTCCTCCGACTTCAGGGAGCTTCTCCTGCTGGAAACTCGCTCCCGCATCTCCTCTGTGCTCAGCCAAAGCCTCCCTCTTTCCCTTTTTCGGCTTTTTTTTTTTTTTTCCTTATATTTAAAACTTTTTAAGGAAATGCACCACCCCAGCAGCCACCAGTGGCTCCCTGTGGTCCTTTCCCAGGTGGACAAGTGCTGTGGGCTGCATGCTTGTCCTCCGTGGGCTTGCTAGTCCACTCTCTTTTTTTCCCTTATATTTTATTGCTTTTTGACAGAGAGGAAGAGAGAGGGATAGAGAGTTAGAAACATCGGTGAGAGAGAAACATCGATCAGCTGCCTCCTTCACACCTCCCACTGGGAATGTGCCCGCAACCAAGGTACGTGCCCTTGACTGGAATCGAACCTGGGACCGACACTATCCACTGAGCCAAACCGGTTTCGGCTGCCACTCTCTTAAGGTCAAGGGCAGATGCGCGCTGCCCACCTACTGTGCACACAGAATTGCTCTCCCTGCAGCGGGACCCATCCCCCGGCCTCGGGGCAGGGCCCTCTGGGTGAAGTCCACCCGCCCCAGGCTGTTTTCTCCGTGCGCAGGGCCCTCTCCCTGCTGCCTTCTCCCTCTAAGTCCTGTTTAACGAAGGAAAACCAGCCCGGCCCCCCAGGACTCGCCGTTTGCATTTTTCTCGGTGAGAAGTGCCTGCTGTCCTGCCGTTGACCGGCCTGACGGCAGCCGGAGCCACCGCAGCTCCTCCCCTTCGCGTGCGAGTCAGGCTTCCGCCTCGTTCTCGATCTGGAATCTTCTCAGATGCGTTTGAAGGTCCCCAGAAATCACATCCGCCCGTTTCCTGTTCTCCAGAGGCCATTTCTCCTGCACGCACAAACTCAAGTGGAATATACACGACACTCTGCTCTGGGAACCGTGTCTGTGTGCACTGGGTGCTGAGTGCTCTGGGTTCACAAAACCCAGCTTTCTGGGCTCGGCTGCTCAGGTGCCCGGGCTGTGGTGTCGGGGTCCCTCTGGAACCTGGGTAGTGGGGGCCCATCGGTGGGCCTCACAGTCTCTAGGCCAGTGGTCGGCAAACTCATTAGTTCACAGAGCCCAATAGCAACAGGACGATTAAAATTTCTTTTGAGAGCCAAATTTTTTTTTAGATTTATTTTATTGATTTCTTACAGAGAGGAAGGGAGAGAGATAGAGAGCTAGAAACATCGATGATGAGAGAGAGAAACATCGACCAGCTGCCTCCTGCACAACCCCTACTGGGGATGTGCCTGCAACCACGGTACATGCCCTTGCCCGGAATCAAACCTGCAACCTTGAGTCCGCAGGCCGACACTCTATCCACTGAGCCGAACCGGTTTCAACGAGAGCCAAATTTTAAAACTTCACCTTCTTCTAGGGCCACTTCTTCAACATAGACTCGCCCAGGCCATGGGATTTTGTGGAAGAGCCACACTCAGGGGGCCAAAGAGCCGCATGTGGCTCGCGAGCCGGAGCTTGCCCACCACGGCTCTGGACGGTGCTGTTGGAGGCCCACACGGATTCCTTTAGCCGATGGCCCTGGCGTCTGTCCTGGGGGTGTTTTCTCTGTCTGTTTAGCGGTGAGATCTGGACGCCCTGACCGGTTTGGCTCGGTGGATAGAGCGTCGGCCTGCGGACTGAAGGGTCCCGGGTTCAATTCCGGACAAGGTCATGTACCTTGGTTGCAGGCACATCCCCAGTGGGGGGTGTGCAGGAGGCAGCTGATGGATGTTTCTCTCTCATCAGTGTTTCTCTCTATCCCTCTCTCTTCCTCTCTGTCAAAAAATCAATAAAAATATATTAAAAAAAAAAAAAAACAGAAGAAAAGAAGTGGGACAGGGCCTTGGCCGCTTAAATCTTCCCGGCTCCAGTCTCCTCCTCCGCAGGGAGGGAAAGCTCTGTGGGCGTGGCCCCGGCCTGCAGGGGGCTCTCTTTGCATCGGCTGAGCCGGTGTCCAGCTCTGGGCAATCCGATGGCATTTACCTTTGACCCCGGGTGGGCTCGGGCCTCTCTCCCCAGCTCCCCTCGCCTCCTCGGGGGTAGCCGGTGGAGCAGGAGGCCGGATGGGATCCTGCTCCAGGGCGGAGTGGGGGACCTTGACGGTTGCTAAGCGCCTCAGCTGCCACCCGGCAGCAGCAGGCATCCAGGAAGTCCGCCCGGGGCACACCTGTCGGCAGGGACGCGGCTGCAGGACAAGCCTTTCGCACACACAACCGCTTCCCGGGGAGAGGGCCGCGGTCGGAGGAGGAGGTGGGAGAGGACGGAGGGACGGCAGAGGCTCACGAGGCCTGCACTTCTTTTGGGTTCTGTTGTGAGGTCAGGCAGCCTTGTCCTCACTCAGGGAGGAGGGGGGGGCCTCAGTCCCCACCCCCCACGTGCTCAGCATCCCCGCTCCCGCAGGGCAGAGCTCTGGGCTGACCCTGGATCGGTGTGACTTCTGTTCTGTCCAAGAGGACAGGCCTGCGGTGACCTCACTGCCCGCCCCGCAGAGCTCCCAGGGGGAAGCTGTGGCCGGGCACATGGGCGAGCCCAGGGCTGACCTTGCCGGGTTCTAGGTCAGCAAGTCGTCCGCCATCCCCCACCTCAGAGAGGACCCCGGGCCAGGTCAGAGGACCGGGGGGGGGGGGGGGAGGGGGAGGACACTGGCTTGTGGTCGGTGCAGCTCCTGGGGGACCCAGGACAGAGCAGCCCCTCCCTCGGCCTTACGCCCGGCGCCCGGGGTCACCTCTGACCAGGACGGCATGTCTGCTTGGTGCCCGCGTCTCAGGGGAGAGCCCGCCGTTCACCGTGAGCGCCCGGCGTCTCTCCCGGAGCCTGAGCCGGGCCTCCGGACAGCTGGCGCGCACACAGGCTCGGCTTCGGTTTCTCCTCTTCCTCAAGGTCCCTTGTCTCCGACCTCTGCCCCAGCCGGGCCCCTGTTCCCTCCCAGACCTTGGGCTGCGCGGTGAAGGCATGGAGCAATCTCCTCCTTGAACCCCGTCCCAGGGGAGGTCGGTAGGGGAGAGGGGAGTCCTGGGGGGAGAGAAGGGAGCCAGCTGCCGTCTGGCCTGGCATTGGGCGTCCAGAGTCCTCAAAGTGCCCGGCTGTCCTGGTGACCGGGAGGCTGGGGCTGTCCCGGGAGCCAGTGAGGCGGGAACAGGAGCTCCGGCCTCCACGGCAGCTCTGCCTCCTGCCCTCGTTCGGGGTGTGGTGGCCGGTGAGTACCCGGCGGAGAGCGCAAACCAGCCATCCACTCGGCAGGAACCACCGAGGACCGGCCCCACTCCCCCATTGCCAGCCGCGGCAGGGACTTTGCCTTCGCAGTGCCCGTCACAGACAGCCAGTACCTCCGTTTTCAGTGTAGCCTCGGTGCCTCTTGGCCTGAGACAGGCCCGCGGGGAGTGTCCCCGGTTGAAGTAGGAGTCAGTGCTGTGTGCGCCCAGCGCCCACCCCGTGGCTTCCCTGGAGGTTCTGCATCCTGGCGTTCCAGGTTCTCCGCCTTCCTGATGCCACGACCCTCTCAGACAGCTCCTCTTGTGGTGGTGGCCCTCAGCCAGAAAACTGTTTTCGTGGCTGCTTCACAACTGTAATTTTGCTACTGTTAATGAATCTTTTTAAAAAAAAAAATTATATATATATTTTATTGATTTTTTACAGAGAGGAAGAGAGGGATAGAGAGTAAGAAACATCGATGAGAGAGAATCATCGACCAGCTGCCTCCTGCACACCCCCTACTGGGGATGTGCCCGCAACCAAGGTACATGCCCTTGACCGGAATCGAACCTGGGACCCTTCAGCCCTCAGACTGACGCTCTATCCACTGAGCTGAACCGGTTTTGGCGTGTTAATGAATCTTAATGTAAATATCTGTGCTTTCTGATGGTTTCTCAACCTGTGGGTTGAGGTTCTCAACCTGTGGGGCCCAAGACCATCGGAAAGCACAGATATTTACATTACGATGCACAACAGTAGCAACATGACAATTGTGAGGCAGCCACGAAAATAGTCTTATGGCTGCGGGTCACCACCACAGGAGAGGGCCGCGGCCTTAGGAAGGTGGAGAACCGCTGCTCTGGCAGAACAAACCCACTTCAGACAGTGCAGGGGGGGGGACGGGCCCACCGAGGGGCGCTTGCTGTGCCCGGTGGACGTGGGCACCAGGGGTGGGTCCAAGTCAAGGAAGGTGGGCGCGGCCTGTGGAGGACGCACCGTCGGACGGAGGCAGAGGGAAGGAAGCGCAGCCGTCGTGAAGCCTTCCTGGCGGAGCCCGGGTCTGTGTCGCTTGCCTGGGCCTTCGTGCCCAGGATGGATGGAGCTGTGTGTTCCCGGGTTGCCAGGCCGGAAGCAGGCGTGTGCTTCCCCTGCAGATGCTATAACGCCCCCTCCCTTCCCCCTGATCACAGGTGCACCCTCTGCCTCCTGCTCAGCCCAGGGGCCTAGGGCAGCCGCTTTCTGCCCTCCGTGTTGGCACGCGAGCTGTGCTTGATGGCTCAGTGTCTGCGCTGTCCGGTACGGCAGCCGCTGGCCATGGGGGTGGGGAAGGGGCTGCTTAAATGAATGAAAACTAAAGAATTAAACGTGAGAGACTCCGCTGTGCTGGCCGTGTTCGCGTGCTCAGCAGCTGCGTGTGGCAGGTGCCGCGGTGGGACCCAGGCTCCGGCCGTTTCCGTGGCGGCGGAAAGTTCTGATCGGGCTGCTCCAGAGGGCGATGGCTTGTCCCTGGGGCCACATCTCCTACCTGACAGCTCATTAGCTCACCAACCTCCACGGAGCGCCTGCTCTGTGCCAGCCTCGCCGGAGGGCCCCAGGTAGCACCCACGTGGCCTCCCGCGGGCCTGGAGGGCCGTCTCCCGAGGCCGCGGTCCTCGTGGCCCCCAAGGCGGCCACGCCCCTCCCTGGTGACGGCGTGGGAGTCTGGGGGCGGTGACCAGGGGCTCCTGTGCTCCATGTCCCCGCTCCCGCAGGGCAGGGCTCCGGGCTGGCCCTGCGTCTGTGCGACTTCTGTTCTGTCCCACACGACACGCCTGGTGGGCGCGTGCTGGCCTGGCCCTCCCACTGCGGTTCGTGTGGTTCTGCTTCCCGGGGAGCCCGCCCGCCCGCCCGAGACCCTGCTCTCGCCCCGGAAGGTCTTGGGGAAAGAGGGCTCGTGTGAGGGTCGCGGCCCCTCCCTCGGAACTCCCTCGGCCTTGGCCGAGGACAGCAGAGCGTTCCTGCCCCCGAGGCCGGTCACTGCGGTGACCTCGCTGCCCGCCTAGCGGAGGTCCCGGGGGTGCTGTTCACCTCTGACCTTCCCGCTCAGGGACCTGCACACGGGACCAGTGACTGCGCTTGAGTGACCCACCGAGGGGTGTGGTCCCCTGGTCTATAGGGTGACACCTGCCCTGCACTGGGGTTTCCTGGTGGCACGTGAGGGTGACACCTGCCCTGCACTGGGGTTTCCTGGTGGCACGTGAGGCGCCCGGGGCTAGCAGGCCGGGCCCTCCTCCTCCTCCTCATCCTGTCCCCTGCAGCCGCTGCTCAGGTGGGCAGGCCAGGAGGGCACCTGGTGGGGTGCAGTGACTGTACTGGCCTCTCTATGAAGGTGACCAACTTGCTGCTCATAGGTGTTTATCCAAGAACCCAGATAAAACAGGACCAGAATAGACATGTCTGTGGACTGCTGTGTGCTCACAGCCTGTGATGGGTGGTCATGCATGTATTTGTGTGTGTGGTATGTGTGTGTGTATGCACAGCACATACGTAGGACACACCTGCACATGCCCAAGGACACCCCCCCCTCCCTCAGGCAGGTACCGCACAGACACCGCACCACATGCACACACGGCCATCTGGGCCCGGGGCCGTGCGGACGGACTGCCCAGCAGGTCTCACGGACCACCGGGAAGCGCAGCACACTCTGTTCCCGGAGGAGGTGCCAGCCCCTGGGCCCGCAGGCCGTGCATCCAGCCCTGGGCCTCCACAGCCACTGCTCCCGGGTCAGGACCCCGCGCCCTGCCCCCTCGGGCCTGCCCCGGCCGCCTGCTCCCCACGGCCGTTCGGGGGCCCCTCCCAGGACGGGCAGTGCTGTTTGGCCGGAGCCGCCTGGAGGCTCTGAGCCTGTGGGGCAAGGTCCAGGAAAAACCAGGCACCAGCTTCCTTTGTGAGCCCTCATCTGGGGCTGTTCCCAAAGAGGGTCCGGCCTGGCCTGAGTTCCCGTGCTTTTAGGGTAACTCTCAAAGCCCCGTGGGCAGCCTTCCTCCCTGTGGGGAGTGACTCCTCCCTCCTGTGGCCCTGGCGGGTCGGGATGGGAGTGCAGGGCAGCACAGGCTTCTCGGGGACTGGTGTGGCCGTCAGAGCAGTCCTCCGCTGGAGGCGGCAGCCCTTCCCAGCAGCCTTCTCTCCTCCGCTTTCCCCCGCGGGGCCCCTGCTCCAGGCAGCAGCTGCCCTCGGACGTGAAGCATTTCTGGGAGGTTTCTCTGGCCGAGTCCCAGCCCCTCAGACCCGCCCCCCTCCCAGCTCCTCCCCTCGTGGTTAGTCCCTGGCTGTGGGAGGGAGGACTCCCAGCAGGTCTCCACCTCCTCATCCCAGACCCCTGGCTTTTGGTAAATTCCAAGGGGCTTGTGCAGGTGCCCCTTCAGGCTGTGAGTTTATTTAAGATCCAGTCGTATGGTGACGGGCCGTTGGACTGTCTGATTCCCAGTCCTGAGGCGCCGTGCCTGTTCGCCGCTGGTTTCCAGGCCTCAGACAGAGACGGCTGCGTTTGCTCTGGCCGGGAGTTCCCTGCTCTGAGCTCCCACCGTGGACAGGCGGTGGCCAGGGTCACCGCTGGAGGCAACAGGAAGTTCTGTGTTTACTCCCAGTTTAAAACGTTTCTTTAAAAAGCAGCAGCAGGACACCATATATAGCATTTTGGAAAACATTTTCGTTTTCTCTCAATCCTGTCCTCCCAGTGGCTCTTGGCTCTCGCCCCTGCCCCTGCCTGTGTACCCACATCACCTTTGCAGAATACGGTCTGTGTCTGCCCTGCTTCTCTCTCTCTCTCTCTCTCTCTCTCTCTCTCTCTCTCTCTCTCTCTCTCTCTCTCTCTCTCTCTCTCGGCAGCAGCTTTTACCGAGACCTGTTTAAGTGGTGTAATCTTCACCACAGGACCGGCTCGGCTTGATCAGCCGTTGGCTGGCGTCGGGGCTGCCTGCAGTTTCCCACATGTGGTGCCCTGTGGCACATGGGTCTCTTCACTTCTTTGGGGTTATTTTTGCTGGACAACCTCCCGGGAGAGTCATTAGTGGGTCAGAGGCCTGGAACATGCTTGCGGCTCCCGAAACATATAGTGAGTGCTGCCTTAGGCAGAGCAGGCTCTGCCTCCCTCCGCGCTGGCCCCCTCGAGCCTCGGCTGCCCACCCCAGGCAGAGGAGGGGAGCCTCCTGCTTAGGCCCTGCCCTCGAGGATGCACAGGCAGGAGCTGCGGAGAGCGGGCCCCCAGGACCCGTCACGCCTCCTGTGAGCGGACACACACACACGCACACACACACACACGACACCTGTCACACTTCCTGTGGCCAGGGAACACCATGGAGGCCCGGACCTGTCACACTTCCTGGGGGGGAGGGGGAGGACCCCGCGGAGGCCCAGAGCCAGGTGGATTTCTTCCCGGGCTCCCGGCTCCCAGCAGCGCTCCCAAAGGGGCTCAGGCCACAGCCCCAGCCTGCTCAGTGCGGATGCTGCCGTCCTGGGCCTGCCGGGGCGGATGGTTCCCGGCTGCCGTTGCCAGAATCCGGTGTTTCTTCCCGGAAGAACTTGAGCGGCCCTTGGATGAGCACCGGGGAGACCCCGAGGTCTCCCCTCACTGCCCTCCCTGTGCCCCGCAGGAGAACCTGATGCTCTCCATCCTGCCCAAGCACGTGGCCGACGAGATGCTGAAGGACATGAAGAAGGATGAGAGCCAGAAGGACCAGCAGCAGTTCAACACCATGTACATGTACCGCCACGAGAACGTCAGGTGCGCGGCCGCCGGGCTCCGCGGGCGCTGCGGTGAGGTCTCCGGGGAGAGAAGCAGAGCCGTCCCGAGTGGGGGCCTGGCGTGAGCAGCCCTGCAGGCGGGCCTCGGGCCGAGACACGCTTTGGGCTCCGTGGTCCAGCCCCGATGCTGTACCAGCATCACCAGAGCCAGGAGGTGACACTTGAGCGGCCGCAGGCGTTCAGGGCCGGAGGGCGGCAGCCTGGGAGGGGCCACAGAGGAGGGCCACAGGACGCGCCAAGCGCCAGAGCCGCAAACACCCTCCATGTGCCAGGTCTCACCACTTTGGGGCTCGAGCAAACTTAGCCTCAAAGAGTTCAGGTCTCCCCGGGACCCTGGCTGCCCTGGGCTGGGAGCGGGGAGGGGGAGCGGGGAGGGGAGCGGGAGGGGGAGGGGAGGGGAGGGGAGGGGGAAGGGGAGCGGGGAGGGGGAGCAGGAGCGTTAGGGTAGGGGAGGGGGAGTGGGAGGGGGAGGGGGCGGAAGGGGGAGGGGAGGGGGAGGGGGAGCGGGAGGGGGGCGGGAGCTGGCGTGGAGTCCGGCGCTGTGCCCGGAGCCTCACGGCGCCTCCTCCCTCAGCATCCTCTTCGCGGACATCGTGGGCTTCACGCAGCTGTCGTCCACCTGCAGCGCCCAGGAGCTGGTGAAGCTGCTCAACGAGCTCTTCGCCCGCTTCGACAAGCTGGCGGCCGTGAGTGCCCCCCGTGCCGGCTCCAGGGCCCCCCCCCTCCCGCCGCCGCCCCCCCTCCGCCCCTCACCACAGCCCCCTGCCCTTTCAGAAATACCACCAGCTGCGCATCAAGATCCTGGGCGACTGCTACTACTGCATCTGCGGCCTGCCGGACTACCGGGAGGACCACGCCGTGTGCTCCATCCTCATGGGGCTCGCCATGGTGGAGGCCATCTCGTGAGTGGGCGCCGGGCCCGGGAGGAGCGGGCCTGTCGTGGGGGCCCAGGAGCCTCAGGCCCCGGAGCCTGTGTGTAGTGGGGGACGTGGTGATGTTGTGCAGCTGGAGGCCCCTCAGGACGAGGCGGGGGCAGTTCTGCCCACTCAGCTCAAAGGCAGGCAGAAAGCTGGGGCACCCAGATGGCCGCTTGGCCCAGGGGGGATCCCTCCTGGGGCTGAGGGGGCCGGCGCCTGGCTGCGGGCTTCCCCTCACCCTCCTCCTCTCTGTGCTCCTGGCAGGTACGTGCGGGAGAAGACCAAGACCGGGGTGGACATGCGTGTGGGGGTGCACACGGGCACCGTGCTGGGGGGCGTGCTGGGCCAGAAGCGCTGGCAGTACGACGTATGGTCCACCGACGTCACCGTGGCCAACAAGATGGAGGCCGGCGGCATCCCCGGGTGAGTGCCTTCCCCGAGGGCAGGCAGCCATCCCTCCGGTCTGAGGCTCGGACGAGGCCCCTTCCCACCGGGACCGGCGTTCCTTCCCGGGGCCCGTCTCCGGGTCCGTGGTTGGCTCTGGCCTCTCCTGCCGGGATCTCTGCACCGTGTGTCCCCTTTGCCGACGGGCAGGGCCGCCCGGGCCCTGATGCCATCACACTCTGCCGTCTGCCAGCCTCCCCGGCGGCGTGACCGTGACGGCCAGCAGCAGGCTCAGAGCAGCCGCCTGTCGTTTCAGAAGCGGCCGGCCAGCCCCTGCCTGCGCTCAGGGCGGGCGGGCGGGCTGAGGGCCTCGGACACCTGCCCGCCTGGGCCCGGAGCTCCCGCAGGCAGTCACAGGCCTCTCCCGCCAGGGGGACTCCCCAGAGAAGGGGCCGTTGCCCCCCAAAACGGGTGCAGACTTTTTATTTAATCTCATGTCATTCTGTTTTTAAAAATATATTTTATTGATTTTTCACAGAGAGGAAGAGAGAGGACAGAGAGTGAGAAACATAGATCAGCTGCCTCCTGCACACCCCCCACTGGGGATGTGCCCGCAACCAAGGCACATGCCCTTGACCGGAATCAACCCAGGACCCTCAGTCCGTAGGCTGACGCTCTGTCCACTGAGCCAAACCGGTTTCGGCATGGGCGCAGATTTCTAACTGTCCTCATTTGTGCTCTCAGCAGCCTGAGGACAAAACCTTATTCCTGTCTCATGGACTTAACTCCGAGGCTCCGAGAGGGGCAGGTGCCACTCTGCCCACACAGGACCTCCCTGTCTGCCCGGGTGGCCCTGTCCCATGCTCCCCGGGGGCGGGCGGGGCACCGTCGGGGGCGGGTGGGGGCCGTCGGGGGCCGTCGGGGGCGGGTGGAGCCATCAGGGTCGGCTGGGGCGCGCTCAGGGCCTCTGTGGCTGCGGTGCAGGCGCGTGCACATCTCCCAGAGCACCCTGGACTGCCTGAAGGGAGAGTTCGACGTGGAGCCGGGCGAGGGGGGCAGCCGCTGCGATTACCTGGAGGAGAAGGGCATTGAAACCTACCTCATCATCGCGTCCAGGCCGGAGGTGAAGAAAACCGCCTCCCAGAACGGCCTGGGCAGCTCGGTGAGTCCCCGCCGACCCCTGCACGAGGGCGCGGAGAGGAGGCGGGCGGAGGGGCGGGGGCCGGGCGGCCTGCCGGCGGAGTGAGCTGTGAGGGGCTGTGCGGGCCGGTGGGCATCCAGCGATGCCGAGTCCCGCTGAGCAGTGACCCGCCTTCCAGGGCCTGCGGTGCAGGGGACGGGACTGCCCACCCCGCCCCGCCCCGCCCCGCCCCGGGAACCTGTGGTGCTCTGAGCGGCCAGTGGAGGGAGGGTCCCTGCAGGAGACAGTGGAAGCCACAGGAGTTGCGTGGGGGAGAGCAGAGGGAGGGTGCGGGAGGCAGTGGACGCCCCTCCCTCCTCTCCTCGGCCCCCTCCCCGGGCCGGGCCGGCTCTCCGCTCCGCTCACTGTCTTCGTTTGCGTGAAAGATGAAGCTGTGAGCAGTCTCATGTCTTTGGTGCCCAAGGCAGGACACTGATAATGCGCTGTCAGCCAGGTGCGTTTCTGAGGCTCACTTTCCTGTCCACTTGAGGCTTTCCTCAGCTCTGCATTCTAGGAGCGCTTTTATAAGAGGAACCACATTCATCACATACTTTTATTATTATTTTTTAATATATTTTATTGATTTTGTACAGAGAGGAAGGGAGAGAGATAGAGAGTTAGAAACATCCATGAGAGAGAGTCATCCATCAGCTGCCTCTTGCACACCCCCTACTGGGGATGTGCCTGCAACCAAGGTACATGCCCTTGACCGGAATCGAACCCGAGACCCTTCAATCCCCAAGCTGACGCTCTATCCATTGAGCCATCAGATACTTTATGTCCCTTCCTGCCAGCACTTGGTACACCCTCTCAGGGAATGTAGGTGCCATTGCTGGAGACTCTGGTTCTCTCCACGCCCTGGTGCGCAGCCGCTGCCGGCCGCTAGGGGGTGTGGGGCAGGACTGTCCTGCGGGCAGGGCGAGCCTCGCAGCTGTGTCTCCAGCATTCCGGCGAGGCGATGCTCAGATCACGCTGCCTGCTCCGCAGTCAGTGAGAGGAGAGTGTGCCTGAAGGGTGGTGGGAGGGTCCTGGGAGGAGAGGGCGTCTCTGGAAGTCACAGGAGCACACGCAGTTCCTTTGCAGAACCCTCCAGGGTTTAGTGGAAGGAAGTGATGAGCAGTGTGAGCAGGCCTCTTCCCTGTCAGATCTGTCTGAAACGCCACCTCCGGCAGCTCCCTGCTCGAGCTCTCCGCCCCAGCCGGCTGCCCCGCACGCAGCTGCCGCCTCTGGTGCGTCTCCCTTCCTGAGGGAGCAGGCAGCTCGGAGTTTCCAGGCGCCGGTGCGCCCTCGCCCCTGCTCTCCCACTCACGTCCTCTCCACCGGCCTTCCCACCTGTCCTGGCCGCTCTTCCTCCGTCTTCCTCACCTGCCAGGGGCCCATCCTCAGACCACAAGTTTTGAGGATCTCCTTGAAAAAAATTTTTTTTTTTACACATTTTTATTGATTTCAGAGAGGAAGCGAAAAGGAGAGAGAGAATCGTTGATCGGCCGCCTCCTGTACGCCCCCCACTGGGGATCAAGTCCGCAACCCAAGCATGTGTCTCTGACTGGAATCAAACGTGGGACCCTTCAGTCGGCAGGCTGACTCTATCCACAGAGCCAAAGCAGCGAGGGCCTCGACCCCTCTCTTTACCACCCAGACCAAGTTCTGTTTGCATTTCTTGAAAGATAGAGCTCCAGCCACCCACAGCTACCATCCCCGTCTGTGCCACTGTCTCTCGTGCAGGGTTCCTGCAAGCATATCCCAACCAGTCACCCTCCTCTGTCCTTGCCGCCACCCTGTTAAGTGAGATCATGTCACTCCCCTGCTCAGAACCCTCCCCGGTTTCCTGTCTCACTCAGAGGAGCGGTGGTCAGTTAGGGTCAGGCCCTCACCCTCCGGTCCCCTCTCACTCACCCTGCCTGGCAGCCCTGGCCTCAGGCTGGGCTCAGTTCCCCCAGGTCACACCTGTTCCAGGGCCTTTGCACCAGCTGCTCCCTCTTAGTGGGATTCCCTCCTCCCTTCCCCGCCCCCTCCGCCATCAACAGGCCTTTACTGAAATGTCATCTTCATGGTGACACCTCCCAGACCTGTTTTTTGCAGGCACACTGCAATCCGCGTCTCCTGACCTCCTCCTCCTCCACAGCACTTTCTCTCAACTTACGTGCTGTGACCTCCCTGGAACGTGAGTGTCCAAGGTTGGGGCATTTTGTCTGTATCGCCAGGGATTAGATCAGTTCCTGTCACATAGTAGGTACTCAGTTAATGCTCATTGAATGAATGAATGAATGAATGAATGACTTCCCTGTGTGATAGTGTATAATTCTATCAAGGAAATATACTAATTATTGGGGACATTGGCTTATGGAACAGTCGGACTTTGGGAAGGCATCTGACAGGGCTCCACACCAAAAAAGGCCTCTGGGAGTCACTGTGCCATTGGGGTACTGTTTTAGAAATAGGAAAGGGAAAGTGGATAGAGCGTCAGCCTGCGGACTGAAAGGTCCAAGGTTCAAGAGCATGTGCCTTGGTTGTGGGCACATCCCTGGTAGGGGGTGTGCCAGAGGCAGCTGGTCAATGTTTCTCTCTCATCCATGTTTCTTACTCTCTTATACCTCTCTCTTCCTCTCTGTAAAAAAATCAATAAAATATATATTTAAAAAAAACAGAACTAGGAAAGGGAATACTGGGACAGGTTTTCATAGTAGACGTTAAGACTGGAAAATTATAGTATTTAAAGACTAGAGGAGTGAAATCTCTAAGTGCACAGGGCTTCTGGCCGCTGGTGAGAGGCTGCAGGCTGCACGTAGACGCACCACAGGATGGTGGGCGGCTGGCAGCGTCTGGAGTCCCTGACTGGCCGCTGCTCCCCACTGCAGGCCCTGCCCAACGGAGCGCCCGCATCCTCAAAGCCCAGCTCCCCTGCCCTCATCGAGACCAAGGAGTCCAATGGCAGTGTCCACACCAGCGGCTCCACGTCGGAGGAGAACGAGGAGCAGGATGCCCAGGTGTGTGAGGGCTGAGGGCCAGGATGTGGGCAGGGGCTGGGGAGGCAACTGTTGCCGCAGGAAGGGGCCTGTGCTCAGAGCTGGAGAGCTGGCCGCAAGCCTGGGCTCTGCTCCCTTTTAGCAGTGTAGCCCGAGCAAGTCACCTCCCCCCAAGCCGCAGCCCAAAGTTCCCTTGTCATTTACATGGGGTCAGGGTGGGTAACATCAATAAGGAGCCAAGATGACAGCATAGGTAAACACCGGTGCTTGCTGCCTCTCACAACCACATCAAAACTACACCTGAAAGAGCAGATCATCCAGAACCGCGGGAAAGCTGGCTAAGTGGGAGTTCTTCAACGAGAGGTAAAGAAGAAAGTGCATCGAGACTGCGGAGGTGTGGAACGGTCTGGCGCCCAGGGGTGCTGCTTTTTAAATCGGGAGGGAGATACAAGCTCCCGCCTGCTCTGAACTCCAGTTCCAGGCGAGACTCGGTGGGGGGACCCAGGCACATACGGGGAGAAACTGGACTGCCTGGCCTCGGGACAGGAATGGGAGTGCCACATTCTTTCAGACAGGGGTGCTGGCAGCCGTCGTTTTTCCTGCGCTGGAACCTGGGACTTCTCCGGTGCAGGGCTGACCGGCAGCCATTGCTGTTTGCTCTGCCCAGTAGATTCCCTGAGACCTTACCCCGCCCAAGCTGTTTGTTGTCATAGTGGCTTGGCTTTAGCCTATGAAAGGCCTTTCCTTTCTCAGCCTAAAACCTCTCAAACAGGCAGCAGCAGCAGCAGCAGCAGCAGCCTGTCTTGCTACACAGCTGGGCCTTGTCTGGGCACTTCCAAATCCAATACAAAGAGGAGGAATCTGCAGATCTCACCCTAAGCTGGGTGGCTTAGGCAGTGGCTGACTTTGCACCTCCTGGAGATCCAGGAGCCAGTGTACCCAGTGGTCAGTGGGAGACCATACCAGACAACTGTTCACATCCATAAGTGACACACTCAAGGGTCAGACTCAGTGAGCACCAAAGCCCCACTGAAGCAAGCCCTGCCCTATAGGGTGTCTCCTGCGCAGCAGCTCTTCCATTGTAGATACAGCGGGTCCTCAGCCAATTGGCTTGGAGGTCAATTCCTCCCTAGGGACACCAACAGCAATCAAGGCTCAACTACAAGACTGTGCTCACAGCCCACAAGAGGTGCACCTGTAGCTCCCAGCTCAGGTGATCGGGGAGGCTGAGCCACTGCGCCCTACCACAGGACACCTACCCCACAAGGCCACTCTATCAAAAGGTTGCTGGTTTGATTCCTGGTCAGGGCACATGCCTGGGGTTGAGGGCTCAATCCCTGGTAGTGGGCGTGTAGAATGTTCCACTCTCACATTGATGTTTCTCTCCTCCCTTCCTCACTCTCTAAAAATCTTAAGAAAAGAAAAAAAAAATTTTTTTTTAAAAAGGGAAAAAATAGCCGGGACCGGTTTGGCTCAATGGATAGAGCGTTGGCTTGGGGACTGAAGGGTTCCGGGTTCGATTCCGGTCAAGGGCATGTACCTTGGTTGCGGGCATATCCCCAGTAGGGGGTGTGCAAGAGGTAGCTGATCGATGACTCTCATCGATGTTTCTAACTCTCTATCTCTCTCCCTTCCTCTCTGTATAAAATCAATAAAATATATATTTTTTTTTAAAAAGGAAAAAATAAAAAAGGTGCTCACCTCTGAGCCTTGCCTAGCTCTGATGTCCCAGAGCCCTAAGACCCGAGGGGAGCAAACACATCCATGAAAAATCCCTTTCCAGGACTGTTTTAGAAGTCAGAGTTGAGGGCTGAACTAAGCTCAGCGCTCTGATTGGGTTCAGACTCCACAGGTCCCGCCCCCAGCAGCCTGTGTGTGCCTGGCCCTCCCATCCTCGGAGCAGGATGTGCTTGGACTAGCCGACCAGCAGGGGTCTCTGGCTGGAGAGCCAGGCAGCGCTCCCCGAGGATGCTGCCGACGGTGGTGACCTCTGGGGTGTCTGTAGGGGCCACGGCCTGGGACCAGTGTCCAGGGAAACGGGAAAGGACCATGGCGCTGGATGCAGACCGAGCGGGAGGGAGCTGCGTGGCGCCCGGGGAAGACTTTCCCTGGAAAACGGTTTCTAGAGCCGAGGGGTCAGTCCTCGGGGGCGACACCCCAACCCCGTGTCATTCTCCAACGGCATCCCGTCTGTCCCCCAACGCTGCCTCGCAGGCCGACAACCCCTCGTTCCCCAACCCTCACCGGAGGCTGCGCCTTCAGGACCTGGCTGACCGGGTGGTGGACGCCTCTGAGGACGAGCACGAGCTCAACCAGCTCCTCAACCAGGCCCTGCTCGAGCGGGAGTCCGCGCAGGTGTAAGTGCCCCCCGCCACGCCCTGGCCCAGGCCCAGGCCCCGTCACCTTCCCGAAGGGCCCCGGCAGAGGTGGCCCTCGCGTCTCACGTCTCATTCCCCCCTCAGAGTGAAGAAGAGGAACACCTTCCTCCTGTCCATGCGGTTCATGGACCCCGAGCTGGAAACCCGCTACTCGGTGGAGAAGGAGAAGCAGAGCGGGGCCGCCTTCAGCTGCTCCTGCGTCGTGCTGCTCTGCACGGCGCTGGTGGAGATAGTCATCGACCCCTGGTGAGGGGCCTGCGGGAGCCCGAGGCCGGGGAGGGGGGCGGCGATGAGCTTCCTGGCCAGAGGTGTATGTGGGGACTGGTGTAGGGCTGCAGCACTCCTGTTCCTTGTCCCCCTCGGAACACCATAGCTACGTGGCAGCATGCTCACTCCTAAGAATCCCTTCTCAGGTGTTACTGGGCTCTGCCCGGGGGGCGTCTGCCAGTCTGCCTTCTCTGGGAAATGTCCTGGGCCAACAGCGACAGCTGGGGAGGGCGGCCCGGTCGCAGGCCCTGCACTCAGCTGGCAGGCCCCTGGCGTCCCCATAGAGCTTTCAGGCGCAGGCAGGTGCCTTACTTGTAGGGCTTGCCTTCTGCCTCCTATCCCTCACTCTCACCCTCCCTCGCTACTCCCTCCGGTCCCTCCTCATTGCCTTCTCTCTGTGACAGGCTGATGACCAACTATGTGACCTTTGTGGTTGGGGAGCTTCTGCTCCTGGTCCTGACCGTCTGCTCGCTGGCGGCCATCTTTCCCCGGGTAAGCAGCACTCTCCTTTTGGCTCAGAAGCCCTGGGAAGGGAGTGTTACTCCCTGTGAAGGTGTTAGTGGAGTTACGCATCCTATCAAATCCTGACAGATTATAGATCTTTTAGAATGGTGCAGGGTTATCCACTCATCCAGACTCCAGGGAGTCATTCATTGACGGCGCTGAGCACCCCTGGGGGCTGGGCCCTGACGCTGGAAGCACGTACGAGTGTGCGAGCCGGAGCCTAGAGAAACGAGTGCCCGTGTCGAACGGCAGTGGAGGCCCCGCTGGGAGGTGGGCTGGCCTTGGCTGTGGAGGACCTCGACCCCCCAGACAAAAGGATTAAGACTGACTTCTCTGAGCACCGAGGGGCCATGCAGAATTTTTATCAGAATTAACAAAACCAAAGTAGTGTTTTAGGAAAAGGAATCTGGTAGGTGGCTTGCCAGGTAACGGGAGACTTTAGGTATGCCGACGCGGGAAAGACAGACTAGCCAGGCACAGATGGCTGGCCCCGACCAGTCTCCCGTCTTGGCCTTGTCACTTGGAGATAAGAAATGGGCTACTGCCGGCTAGTGCTGCCCGCGGCCTCCTGGGCTGGTCGGGGGAAACAGCTCTGCTCCCTGGGAGCTGTGACCTCTCCCGAGTATGTCACAGGGGCGGGACGGAGCGCCAGGATTCCTGCGCTCCCTTCTCCGCTCAGTCACGCCGTCAGTTTTGGCTGACTCGCACGCACAGCCCTACGTTTTAGGTTCGTGGGAAGGATGAGCGCCCCTGAGTCGTTAGCAGTTGTCTCAAGGCTCATGGCCCTTGAAACTCCATTCCTTCTAGGCCTTTCCTAAGAAGCTTGTGGCCTTCTCGACGTGGATTGACCGGACCCGCTGGGCCAGGAACACCTGGGCCATGTTAGCCATCTTCATTCTGGTCATGGCAGATGTCGTGGACATGGTGAGTTCCCGCTGTCCTTGTGCAGGGACACTCCCGTCAGTGGGAAAAGGCTTCCATACTGGCCAGCTTGTCAAACCACTCCTCCACCGCGAGCCAGGTCTGGAGTGGCATTAGGTTCCTAACGAAATCCTGGCAAAACAGAAGGGTCTTCTCCCCAGGAGAACTCCCAAGACTTGTTCCCAGCTCCTTGTTCTCCAAGTTCAAGAACCAACACCATGCACCAGTTCCCACCGCGTGCTAGGTCCTTTATATGTATTAACTCAATCTTTTTTTTCCTTTTCAACCGCAATTTACATTCATCACTTAATCTTGATAACAATCCCAAGAGGTCAGTATTTTTAGCTGTAGTTCCATAGAAGAGCTAAAGCTCAGAAAGGTTAATTCACTTCTTTGACATCACACAGCCAATAAGTGACAGAGTCAAGAACTGAAGGTCTGAATCCCAACCTCGTTTTCCTCCAAAAAGGAGGATAGATACTTTATGGACATAATTTCTACTGACTGCATCTGCCCAGCAGTGGGACCAGTGACCAACTCCAAAATGGGGAGCGTTTGAGCAGAGTGGCTGCCGTCCGTGCACTTGTGAGGCTGGGTGGTGGGCTGGCCCCACATTCCCTCTTTAAGTGCGATGTGAGCAGAGCGTTACTAGGTTTGAAACCGGAAGACTGGTCGCCCAGCTCCGGCTTTCCCACTGGCTAATTGCGCTAGTTTGGGCGAGTCCAGCCTGAGTCTCTCCTCAATGGTGGCAATTCTGAAAACACTCGGGGAGTTTTTGTGAACAGCCAAAGGGATGATAGTGAAGCTCTTAGTAGGAGTTACATCTGTATTATTCCTTGGTACATTTTCCCACCCTTCTCGGTGTTCCTGAGGGAGCTGGGGAAGTGGCAGCTGAGCAACACTGCCACAGCAGCCTTCTCTGACGATGTCTGCTCTTCCTTTGACCGTGTTCTTCCCGTGGGCCTGGCCTCCAGCTGAGCTGCCTGCAGTACTACAGGGGACCCAACAATGGCACCTCGGGGATGGCTACGGAGGATGGCTGCATGGAGAACCCCAAGTATTACAACTACGTCGCCGTGCTGTCCCTCATCGCCACCATCATGCTGGTGCAGGTCAGCCACATGGTGAAGCTCACCCTCATGCTGCTCATCACGGGCGCCGTGGCGGTTATCAACCTCTGTGCCTGGAGCCCCATCTTTGATGAATATGACCGCAGACGTTTCCAGGAACCGGGGTAAGAGGGAACTTGTTTAGGAATCTGGAATTTCTTCTTCCAACTCCTCCGTCCCCACTTCAAAGTCATGGCCCTACGTGGAGGTGGCTTCCTGTCACTAGGGAATCGGGGTTCGTGCCTCTGAACAGCTGTGAACCTGGGGCAGATCTTCCCATCCCTGATGAGGGGAGGGTCTGGGCTGCCTCAGTGTCTGCCTGGGCACCAGCCTCTTGTACCCAGATGGGCCCTGAGTGTGCCACTATCTGTCCAACAGCTTTCCCCTGGTCGCCTTAGAGAAGATGCAGATCCTCTCCACCCCCGGGCTCAATGGCACTGGCAGGTAAGGTGACTGCTTTCTTCCTGTCCAAGTTTTTGGCTCCTTTCTCTAGGGCAGTAGTCGGCAAATTCATTAGTCAACAGAGCCAAATAGCAACAGTACAACGATTGAAATTTCTTTTGAGAGCCAAATTTTTTAAACTTCTTCTAATGCCACTTCTTCAAAAACAGACTCACCCAAGCCATGGGATTTTGTGGAAGAGCCACACTCAAGGGGCCAAAGAGCCGCATGTGGCTCACGAGCCGCAGTTTGCCAATCACGGCTCTAGGGAATACTGTGGTCAGAGTCTTATGATCTCTGCCTTGTAAAGGCACAGGCCATGGGATGCTCGCGTAGAGAAGCTAGTGTGTATCTCTATAGAGGGGCTGGGCAGGGGAGAATGGCTTTAGTGTGGGCCTGGTCATCCCCAGTCAGGGGACAGCTTGGAGAGCAGCAGCAGGATGGTGTAGAGAAGGGCTGAGGGGGCTGCATGTGACTGGCAGGCAGCACAGAGAGCAGAAAAAAGAGGGAAAAAGAGCACTGCCTTTGACCTAGAAGTCCTGGATTCTTAACCTGTCACAGGAATTCTCTGTGGGGCAGCAGGCAGCCCAGTTTTCCGAGTCTCAGTTTAATAGTGGACAGGAAGCTCTCCAAGGTCTCTTCTGGCTTTCGAGTTTTAGAATGTTGTGATTCAGTGGCTTGACTACAATCAGGTAAGTTTAACAAAAGATTAGAGGATGAGGAGAACTCTTAAATAGTCCTTCACACAAGAAGAAATCTAAATGGCCACTGATAAATGAAAGGCATTTAAGTAATCAGGAAATCCAAGTTAAGACCATAACAAAAGACAGTTACACACTTACCAGTTTAGCAAGAATTAAGAAGTCTGATAATACCAAGTACAATGGTAACTCAGATTACAGCAATTCCACTGCTGTCCACATTCCTTAGAGAAATCCATGTACATACCGGTATGTATGTATGTATGTATGTATGTATATATATATGTGTGTGTATGTGTGTGTGTGTGTGTGTGTGTGTGTGTATATATATATATATATATATATATATATATATATATATCTCCCAGGATGTGTACAAGAATTCATAATAGCCACACAAACATTCAAAACATGAAAATGATCCAAATTACACAGTGAGTGGTATATAAGTTGTGGTATATTCATGCAATAGAATACTATACAGCAATGAAAACAATGAACTTATATAGCTCCATTCAAAAATATATAGTTCTAAAAAAGCACGGCAAAATTGTGCCTTAATTCCATCGCTGTGATGGTAGTCTCTCCTTTTTCCAAGTTCCTCATGCTTTCAGTTACTTCCAGGACCAGTCAGATGATGCGGTATTTATTAACACCTGGGAGCAGCCCTGATGTGAATTCCAGGTGCAGCCAGGAGGTTGGCTCTTAGTGACTTAAAGCTTTTTAAAAGTGATTTACTGCTGTCCAATGGTAGGCAGTAAATGTGAAGGTGCTAAAGGAGCTAGGAATTTCTGGGACCCAGGAAAGAGGGCATCCCCACTAGAATAAAACACCTCTTAGGAGAGCAGCCTGGGTGCCTTCAGGTGAATTACTCTGCCCTGCAGGCTGCCCTTGGTGCCTTCTAAGTACACGATGACAGTGATGATCTTCGTCATGATGCTGAGCTTCTACTACTTCTCCCGCCACGTGAGTGCCCGCACACTCTCCATCCTGTTTGCTCACAACCCATCAGGGCCTGAGTAATAGGATCTGAAAGCACAACCTCCTAAGGAAAGCTGGTCCCCTTTGCCCAATATGTCATGTGACCCTGTCAAGCACCACCTTGTCCTTTTTCTGGTTTCTTCCTTAGTGATATAAGCAAACAGTTCTTCTGACCCACTCTAGGCTGAAGGAAGCATGGGGCGGGGCATCAGGGCCTGCGTAAAATCTCTATTCCCTAAGCCAGGGGCTCATGGATCTTCACTCACCCAGGCTCTGGGGACATTAACACACTGACCGCGCACGAAAGGGAAAGGACAGATGAAGTTTTTTGTTTGGTTAAAGGGGGAAAAAAGAGCAGGCGGGAAAGAAGCCATGTAAGGTACTTACTGCTCCGTTAGCTCAAGTACCACCCAGTGGTTGGCTGGGGGAAGTACAGCCTTCCTAAGCCACTTGTAGGCCGGCCGGAAATGGGACTCCTCCCAGCACTAAGAGATCCCGTAAGTCAGACCTGTCGCTAGTTAGGTCCCTGGAGGCTCCACATGTCCAGAAGGTGCCTTTGACCTCTGCTGTAACCACAGAGGCTGGGATCCTCACTGCAGCTGTGGTGGTCTTTTCTTTCCCTTGGCACGTAGCCATCTTCCCATCAAATGGCAGGTTTAGAGCGTACACACCTTGCATGTGTCTGCAGGTGGAAAAACTCGCAAGGACACTGTTCTTGTGGAAGATTGAGGTCCACGATCAGAAGGAACGTGTCTACGAGATGCGACGCTGGAACGAGGCCCTGGTCACCAACATGTTGCCCGATCATGTGGCACGCCATTTCCTGGGGTCCAAGAAGAGAGATGAGGTGAGGGGTGACCTCGTGCTATGGCCTGGAGGTTGTATCTTCTGGCATTCTGCTAGGGAGCACCTCGGAACCCAGGCCTGCTACACACACTGTTTCTGGGGGGGACGCACACCTGTGTGAGGCCCATTTCAGAAGACGAAACTTTGGCTAGAGCCTGTTTCTGCCAGCCATGATCTCAAGTATAATAGAATGCTGCTCCTACCTCACTTCCCAACTCCCTTCCTCTCAGTGAGGGCTGTTACAGGGACTAGAGAAGCTTTTTTTTTAATTTAGTTGTGATGAGAGCTTTCTAATAATCCAGAGTTGGGATAATCTGGGAGATATGTGTCCAGGCACACCTATCGTGGATGTGGAAGATAACATTTCTGTAGCATAATATTTAATCAGTCTTTGAGCTCTTCGGTCCTGCCTCTTTTTAGGAGCTGTATAGCCAGTCTTATGATGAGATTGGAGTCATGTTTGCCTCTCTGCCCAACTTTGCTGACTTCTACACAGAGGAGAGCATCAATAATGGTGGCATTGAGTGCCTGCGCTTCCTCAATGAGATCATCTCAGACTTTGACTCTGTGAGTGTCCATCTTGCCCCCCTCTTGCTACAAAGTCAGCTTGCTTCAAACTGTATCTCAGGACAGGCTGCAGAAGTCCAAGAGAAACTGGAGTTACTCTTGCTCAGGGGAGGGAACGCCTAGGTATTAGGGGTGAAATAATTAAATATTTGACCAAATATAGCAGGCTAATTTTTAAGTTGATAAGGTTCCCCACCCTGCTCTATCTGGCTACATTTCCTATGTAATCCCCTCCCTGTAATGTATGGCTTCCATAGCTGTCTGGAGTGTCGGGTCTGAGGGGCGAGATGGGAGCCTGGGGAATCACCTACATCATCACAGGATAAAGACCAGCCAAAACAAAATCCTAAAGTTCCTCTGATTCCTCCTACCTTCAAGTTCAGTTTCTTTAAACATTTATCAGGTAACTTACACATCAAGAGGAATGTTCAGCCACCCCTGGAGACTGGCAATTTTATCCCAATGTTAAGGTTGTAGAAACTGAGACTCAGGAAATCAGGAAGTTTGCCTAGTATCACACGGCAGATAAGTGGCAGAATAAAGCTTTTCTAGAAAAACATCTTGGATATTTTGTGGGGGTAATTGTAAACAGGCAAACCTGAAATTTAGTTGGCTCATTGATCCCAGTTGACTGCTGACAGTTTTCTCTTCCTTAATTGTCTTAGCTTCTAGACAATCCCAAATTCCGGGTCATCACTAAGATAAAAACCATTGGCAGTACCTATATGGCAGCTTCCGGAGTCACCCCAGATGTCAACACCAATGGCTTTACCAGCTCCGGCAAGGTACCTACTCACCTCAGTGGCTAGAGGCGACAGGGCTCTGCCTCCTGAGGTCGAGGCAGCCCACACTTAGCACGTGGGAAACCAGGAGCTAGAGCAACAAGCACTGCTGTACAAAGGCACTTTGCACTAGTACAGACACACACCACCAGGACCCAGCTGATTTAAAACTGGGTTTCCTGCCGAAACCGGGTTGGCTCAGTGGTAGAGCGTCGGTCTGCGGACTGAAAGGTCCCGGGTTTGATTCCGGTCAAGGGCATGTACCTTGGTTGCGGGAACATCCCCAGTAGGGGGTGTGCAAGGGGCAGCTGATCGATGACTCTCTCATCGATGTTTCTAACTCTCTATTCCTCTCTCCCTCTCTGTAAAAAATCAATAAAATATATTTAGAAAAAAACCCTTGGGTTTCCTGAGAAAGTGTAGTGAACAGATATAACAGCATACACACACAGCAGTCCACTACTATTCCACGGCCGAGGTGAGGCATACGATGCTTTGTGGAACTGTGGCTGTGCTCCCTTCTAAGTGCTGGGCGACAGAACCATCTATCAAATTATGGAACCATGAAAACACCCACATCAGGGAATGGTTTTGTTAAGTTAAATCAGACCTGTAAAGCCAGCTTGATTTAGGTACCAGAGGTGAGAAAACAAGCTGTTGGGTCCCTTGTCTCAACACCTGTTCTTAAAACATCACAGCTGCCATCCCCTTATAATGGATGAGGTTAAAGAAACATGCCTAACCCTCAGGTGCTTATAATCAAGTTGAGGAATCAAAACAAGGACAGCTATCCCACATTTAAGACCAGGTTCGCACAAGGTGAAGAGCCGCAACTCTTAAGCAGGTACACAGCAGACAGGAGGCAGGTGGGCTGGGTATGATTTGTCCTCCCCCCACCACTGCCCAGTCTCTGTCACAGTGACAGGGTGCTAAAGAGGGACCTGATTCCTTTGTGGGGAAAAGTGAAGAATAGGCCTTGAACTAGGTGGAGGGACTGACCTCCAGAATGTTAAGGGGGGAAGCAGGGGAGTAGGCCCCTGCTGGTATGGGCCCAGAGTGGCTCCTGATGCTTTCACTCTGCTCCCTGCACAGGAGGAAAAGTCAGACAAGGAGCGCTGGCAGCACCTGGCCGATCTGGCTGACTTTGCACTAGCCATGAAGGACACGCTCACAAACATCAACAACCAGTCCTTCAACAACTTCATGCTGCGCATAGGTAAGGCTCGAGGCGCCCCTCTGACATGGGGGTAGGGGTGGGGTTGTGGGGAGGGGGGTTGGCAATCACCAGGAAGGATGAGAGGTGTAGAAAGATCTGACGCATTTAGATGAGGCAGGGTCCCATACTCAGAGCTGGAAGGACCTTTAATCCAAGCTCTTCTAGGTGACCAGACCGAAACCTGACGGATGGCCAGCCATCCCTGTCCCACAGTGTTTACAATAATGGTTTCCTTCTCAACCTGGCTATGCATATTGAGGAGTTTGTTCACTTCATTCCAGTCTGTTAATTAGTCCTGTTACCCCTCGGGGAATGTGGAGACAATTGGGGGCTCACTCCTGATGAAATCACAGGAGACTTCAAGTGCCAGGTCTGTGTTAGAGAGAAACTGGCAACTTCCAATACTGTTAATCAGTGTATTGGGGGCAGCTGACAGTTTGCCAAGTACCTGTTGAAGCAGGATAAATATTAATAGCTTTGTGGTGGAGGTCAGGTGGTGAATTCTGTGAGAGAACTTGGTAGCTTCTGAGAGGTGTGACTGTGCTGAACTTTATGCCTCTACCCTAGGCATGAACAAAGGAGGGGTCCTGGCTGGGGTCATTGGAGCCCGGAAACCACACTACGACATCTGGGGCAATACGGTCAATGTCGCCAGCAGGATGGAGTCCACAGGGGTCATGGGTAACATTCAGGTCTGTCCAGCAGCAGAGCTGAGCACGTGCTCAGATGCAGGGAATAGTGTGTTTACTGTCTCCTCACTGGCCCAGACCATTACGTCGGCGGTGCTGGGAGAGCGAGGGAAGCGTGGGAAAAGATGCCTCCAGGGCTAGCTGTAGCAGAGGGGATAAAAGACACTGACTGACCCTGTTTGCAAAACTTAGGATAAGTTCTGGATAATGATATCCTGATCTGTGTCACTTGGGCCCGGCAAGAAAGGTCCACAAGAGGGGCAAAGGGAACAGCAGAGGGTGAGAGTTCCCAAACAGGCGTCTGAGGGGAGGACCCCAGGGAAGCGCGCCCCGTGTCCTGGTGCAGGGGTGAGGGGGTCACCTGGAGACTCATCTGGGTGCCTCGGTGCGGCTCACTGTCTAACCCGGCTCTGCGCCGTGTCTTCCTCTGCAGGTGGTAGAAGAAACACAGGCCATCCTTCGCGAGTACGGCTTCCGCTTTGTGAGGCGGGGGCCCATCTTTGTGAAAGGGAAGGGGGAGCTGCTGACCTTTTTCTTGAAGGGGCGCGACAAGCCAGCCGCCTTCCCGAATGGCTCCTCCGTGACCCTGCCCCACCAGGTGGTGGACAACTCCTGAGTGGCTTCTAGCCCTTAGGGAGGACGTATTTTTTGGAATCAAAGACCTTGGGAAAGGACAAATAATGAAGTCCCAACAGTCCCAAATTGCTGAAGTGCACACTCACATAGACTTTAGATTTAAAAATCTCCTCAAGCCTTCATTTCGTGAGCTCTGAGGGTGGCCATACTATTTATTCCTCAGTGTGCCTGTAGCTTCCCCAGAGTAAGGGTCTTAGGCATAGTACTGGGCCAGCCCCTTCCCCACAGAGGCCGTGGCCACTGGGAGCAGGATGTAGGAGGTGGGAGCTCAGCTGGAGGGAAGAGATGGCAGGGCCACTTCGCTGGTGAACGTCTGCTCCCAGCCGTGACTCGGAAGCGTGCCTTTCTTTCTGAAGGAGCACAAGCTGGACACCTGTCTCTGTATGGACTGAGCTAGGTCAAAGGGCCCTGTCCTGATAATCTTGAAAGGTTCTTCTGGAACCCTGTCACCTTAGTCTTGGAAGCAGAAAGTGCAATATTTCCTTTTACCTGGTGGGAGGGAATTTATTTCTGAAAGAAAAAAATATATCAACAGATCTACATTTATATTTTTAACTTTCTGTTAAAAAACACTTTCCGATATTGCCTTGCCTTTTGAGCTCTTGCTACAGTCGCCTTTGCTACTGCTTTAAAAGAGAATTTACAGGTATTGATAAAGAACAAGACTTTTATTAAAAGCTTTCTTCAACTTGAATGTGATCCTTGTGAAAACCTGTTAATACCTCTCCTTGGAGAAGTGCTTTTTGCTAACTCGCCACCTTCCTGGGAGGCACAGAGCTTGAACTAAGACATCCCTTACTTTTTAGTGCTTTCTTCTAAATGGGGGTCCTGACTGATCACTGTGTGCTCCTCCCAGGGTTAGCTGGAGCTCCCACACCTAAGGTTACGTCCTGGCCTCCAGGTGTAGGAAGTGACCGTTTTAGAGTGCGTGGGGCTTGGGTAGGAATGACTCCTATTTGTGACAGGCCAAAGCCCGGCAGGACTTGAAATGGCAGGATCTGCCAGCTACACACATCTGTAAACTGGCCCTACAAATACTCCCCTAAACCAAAGAAAGTGCCAGCAGACCCAAGGCCCTGGTTGTCAGACCAGAAGATGGGAGGTCTGCTTCCCCTGATGAGCAGACTTCTGACTACGTTTTCTACTGAGATGTTTTAGGAAACAAAGTAAGACATAGAACTCTCACACCACCTTCTTCAAAAGCAGTGGTCTAGAGCAGTGTTTCACAAAGTGTGGTAGGCATACCCCCAGGGGTATGGGAAGAGTTTGGTAGGGATACGCACTGCACCGTGCTTAACTGCGCCTAATTCTACGTTCTCATGAGTACGAGGGGTACTCACGAAAATTATAGAAGGGGTACACATATGTCAAAAGTTTGGGAAACACTGGTCTAGAGTATGCTGGTCCAAACCAAAGACTAAACACATGTCCTTTCTTAACTATATGATTCATTTCATATGAACCAAATGTTCTAAAAACTTTTTCAAATGTCTCAATTAGGAAAATGAGATACTCTTTAGTTGAATAGTACATACCCCCCTTTCACAAAATGCTTTCTATTGCCCAGAACCCAGTCTGAGCATTTAACAACTGACCAGCAAATTGCCAGTCTAGACTCAAACTTGCCCCTTCAGCATCCTGAAGAGGTGGGTATCTGTCTCCATTGTAAGGGGTCTGAGCCTTTCAACAGTTCTCAGTCCCATGACCTTGCCTGGGACTGTGTATAGTACTTGTTTACTCACCTTTGATGTGTTCTTGATGAAAATATTCTAGTAGACCAGGTTCATATCCAACTTCTCTTCTCTTCTTGCAAATGAAGCAAACACGTGATGCAGGGGCTTTGTACAGAACAAGTTTTCATGGGAAGCTCGCTGCTCTTCCCATGAGGTGGACAACGCATCCATTCCTAAGACAGACAGATTCTATCAGTCTCACCAGTGCGTTTGGGAGAATCAGAACCTGTGTCACTAATATACTGGACGTAGGTAACTTAACTTTTTGGTCTGGAGCTGAGAGGCTGGCTCTAATTCCACCAATGCAATTTTGAGATGGGGAACTTAGTCTCTTCTTGGGTGAGAATTTAAAAAATATGGTATAAAACATGTGGCAGCTCCTAAAAACATTTTGTCTTTTTTTTTTTATTACTGCCCATGTACATTACCATAGTACACTTAACTGAAACAAAGTCACACATACACAAGCACAAAAATCTCAGCCAGTTAGGAAAAAAATCCCATTTACTGAATCGTCTCTAGAGAGCTCAATATATACTGACTTTTCATGTCCATTTGGCTCTCTGCACCACTCTGGCCCCATGACTCAATCTCATTAGCTGTCTCTTCAAGAGCAGTCTCCAATGAAAACAAATTATAAGCTGAAAGAACACTGGCTGATTTGGAAGGAGCAAATTAGGGGGGAGAATGACGATGATTATGTTTATTACTTACAAAGAGAAGAGGAAAAATTGGTAGAAACAAAATAGTCTTCATTTTTCTGCTTATGGTTTATAAACAAAGTATCTCAAGTGGTCCAACTCATGTATTCTGCCTATTTTACCCTGTTCCCCTCAACCTGAGTAACCTTGAGCTAATTATGTAATTTCTCCACTAAGGCACCTGTCCTCTTACCTTGATAAGTAACAGTGACGTCAGTTGGGAGGGTTCTTGTGATGTCCTTATATAGCAGTCTAGCACAAAATGGGAAGGACTGGCCACTTAGCTCCGCTTTGTAAGTAAATGATAGCAGGTTGCACAGTGAGTTTCTCTGCAAGGGCCCAGCCAGAAAGGCTGCAAAGTCCTTCTAATGGAGGCGGGGATCAAAACAGACACAAAGTATAGACAATTACAGCTCTAAAAGCAGAGTGACTGTGACACTTCCAACACTGACTACCAAAAATAGGGCCCGTTAATTAGATTTCAGATAGATAAAGGACAGAGACAGGCCTGTAAAAAGGACTAATGACAGAGATTATGGGATAACCAGCCTAGGAAGACCTGCAGCAGCACTTAAGGAAATGGCCAGAGGCTGGGGGATGCTATTTCTGCCAAGAATATCGTTGATGACATATGTAGAGCTTAGAGCTAAGATGCTTTCTGTCTGCATATACATATCAGTTATCTAAACGATAACCAGGAGCTTCGATGTCATTCCAAATGCATAGTGGGGGAAATACTAAGTTTACAAGAGTCACTTATTCCCTATTGCACTCATTCTTGCCTGGGTTTTTTTTGTTTGTTTTCTACCCCAACCTCAGGCTCAATAGCAATCCTAAGAAAGTAAGGAAGAGTTCAGGCAAAGATAGATAGTATTCCTCTGATATTTCATAAAACATTATTCTGCTTTGCATCTACACTCCCGATTCAGCAAGGCACTTGGCACACAGTAAGTGCTCTATCAGTCCCAGCTGAATGAGCAGTATAGCAGCCATACTCTGCTGCTTTGTGTGGGGAAGAAAGGGTCAAATAGAAGCTTGAAGATCACTACTGAGGCGTGAACAACTCCTTAACCAGTATTCATGCTTCAGCATCATCCAGAGTTTCAACAGGAAAGAAGAGAGAGTAGAAAATAGCTTGTATATAAACAATAAACAAGTATTAGAAGGATAATAGTCAAACTTCTGTTATGAAACATAAAAAAAAACAAAACTTAACCCTTTTTTGTTTCCTTTAAGTTTATCTTGGGCTCATCAAATGCTATATGAGAGTCCAGGCAGATACCTGAAGTCCATCTGCTTGATACTTCCTTCCAGAGTAAGCATTCAAGTATTCGCAGAGACTGAACAGGAAGTGCTGAATGTTGGTCTGTAGGTGTTTTGCAGCGATCTCCTCTAGGGGAATGAAGACTGGAATCGAATGGTGATGTATCCGAAGTGGCTTCTGTATGACAATATCCACAAAATAGGAATCCAGCAGGTTCCCCTCAAAAGCAGTGCTGATGGAAACACAGACTCCTCGGCTGGTCAGCTTCCCACTGAGCCCTGAGGCAAACAAGACAAAACACTCCGGCAGATGTCAGGCAAAGTTAGTGTCTTACTCATCTGTTCCAGCACCGCCTAGCACATACAGCGTATACTCAAGTGTGTGCTGGGTGAGTGACTATCACAGTCTCTCTCCCCTCATTAACTCTCACTTTGAGTTTGAGTTAAAACCATTGGATGGTGAGGGGGAAAAATCCTCAATAGCAATTACTGAGGAAGAGATTTTGAAAATTTCAATTTACCTATTCTCTTTTATTCTGAGGGTTAAATAATTTATGATAGTCCCCAGTTCTTCTCACAATCCTCTTGTGACAGATAATGAGACTAAATCCCCATGTTAATGGTGAATCAGAGAATTGAGGGGCTCAAACTATTTGACCAGTGGCATAAAGCAAGTCACAAGTAAAGAAAGCCCTAGTACAGGATCTGGCACAATTTGCACTAAATGAAGTCTAAATGAATAGCTAAAATGAATAGTCAAAACCAGCTACTATCAATCTACTGCTCAAAGAAGCCAATATTGTAGGTAAAGATGACTACAAACACTATGCCAGTTTTTTGTGTATATTGAGGGGGCAAAACCAATGCTGACGAAGTAAGTCCAGGACTAACAATACAACCAGCAAACTACCTCAGTAGAGACAAGACCCAGACTGAAACAGGTTAGAAAAAGGGATACCTGTAAAACGATATGCTTGCAGAATGGATTTCACATTTTCAAGCTTTGTTTCCAAAACTTCCTGCTCACTGACCTCAAATGTTTGGTCAGGTTCTACACTGGCTTCTGCCTGAAAGATATGCAGCAAATCAGATGATGCAAAGGGGCATAACACAAAGTCTCTGCTTGCATCTAACTGGAATAAAGCATGTGTATTACATAATAAATGAAGAAATGCTACAGTGCTCTACCAGTGCTGTGAATTCATAGTAGAGGAAGATTCTCATGGGTCACAGTGCTAGGATCGTGCTGGCCTAAAGAGGATTGTGAGAGGCTAAAGAAAAGGGTGTGAAGAAAGTCTAGTGTGGCACAGGGTGAGTTGTACAGAGGCAAGGCTGGAAAGTTGGTTTGGATCAGACTGTGCAAGCTTTCAAGTGCCAGGATAAGAAATACCGACTCTGAGATGTATACTTAGAGCAATGGCCCAATAGTCAGTCTCAGTCTCTCTCTCCCTCTGAGAACTACACAGCAGGCTCCCCTTAAAAGCAGTTCTAAAACTAAGCATACATACGAGCAAATAAACAAAATGGTCGGAAGCATTAGAGAATGACCAAAATAGCCAGACTGAAGGTTAAAGATAAATGCACTGGCTTAGCTGGGCTTTCCCTGATTTGATTTGTATACAAGGCATGTGGGTCAAACAGAAAGCTATAGGCCAGACTGTAGCAGTCTCACTAAGACAAACACGAGGCCAAGGTTACCAAAGCAGCTTTTCTATGAGCCAAGGTCCCATCAAAAAGGGAGCCCAATGCTCTGCAGGCAATGCACCCTCTAGGCAAAGATTTAGAAAAGGAAATGAGCATAAAATTAGATCCCTAAATCAAAGACTTTCATCATGAGACACCATCAGAGAATGAAAAGGCAAGCTACAAGGTAAGATTTGTAAAACATACCTAATAAAGAATTCATATCCAAAATACAAAAATAATTCTACAATTTAATGAGGTAGAAAAACCCAATAAAAATTTTGCAAAAGCCTTGAAAAACATACTTTACAAAAGACGACTCTGAAGTGTCCAATACAGGTACTTTAACATCATTTAAAGGCAAATTAATCCACAATGAGATACTATTATACTCCCACCAGAATGTCAAATTTTTAAAACCAACAATATCAACTATAGATAAAGCTGCAAAACAATGGGAAGCTTATACAATGTTGCTGGGAATGTAAAATTGGTGTAATCACTTTTAAAAGCTGTTTGGCAGTATTTTACTAATGCTAATATGAATACCCATGACTTCCAGCAATTCTACCAAATCCATACCTAATAGAAAAGTGTATATTTTTAGACCAAAACAACAGAATATTCATAGCAGCATTCTTCATTTAAAGCCTCACTTGAGAATGTATGTGTGTGTGTTTTGATTTTAGAAGAATGGAGAGGGAGAGAGAGAAACGTTGATGCAGGAAACATCCATGGATTGCTTCCAGTACATGCCCCAATTGGAGATCAAACCCAGAACCTGATCAAGAACCAAACCTGTAATCCTTTGGGGACCGGATGCTCCAGCCAATCGAGCCACTCTGGTCAGGGCAGCAGCATTATTCTTAATAGACCCAATAACCCAAATGTCACCAGCAGTACACAAGTAAATTAATTGTGGAATATTCATAAGGAGAGATTACTAGACAGCAGTAAAAAAAGAATGACCACTACATGCAACATGGATGAATCTCACAGACATAATATTCAGTGAAAGAAGCCAGACATGAATTTTATAATTTTAACAATTATCGAAATTTTAAAATTATAAAATTTATTATTTTAACAATATATGAAGTTCAAAAACATATAAAACCAACGTATGACGACAGAAATCAGAATGGTTACCTTGAGGGAAATGACTAGAAGGATACAAGAGGGAGACTTAGGACACTAATAACATTCTCTGCTTTGATTTGTGTGGTACGGGATGTGTTCACTTTGTAAAAGGTTCTGCAGATTTGTGCACTTTATTTACTCCTATATTTTACTTTAATGAAGTGAAGGGAGGGAGAAAGCGAGAGAAGGGAGTAAAGAGAGAAATGGAAAAGAGGTGGGAAGGTGAGAAAAAGAAGGCTGACCATATCTATGGTCAAGGAATGGTTAGTGAAGGTTTTTGAGCAAGGAAACAACAGTGTTTTAGGAAAGCATTTTCTTGGCTGTGTAGGATTTACTGGAGGAGTACAAATCCTAGAGAAGAGAACCAAATAGCAGACTATTGTGACAATCCCAGCATCCAAATCACGTGAGAAATATGTATAGCAGATGTGGATAATACCTGAGCTATTGCAATGGAATGGAGAAGAAAGAGGAGGAAGCACAAAAATTTTGAGAGAGTTCTTGCTGGCTGGCCCTGGGCTAGATAGAAAACTGAAAAGAGGAAAGAGTCAACGTTTTCTGTGAGGCTTCAAGTCTGTGCAACAGAAAAATGGCACCATGACACGGTACCAATGACTCAGGTCAGGCTGAGACAAGGCAACAGGTTCATGTTGGAGGGCAGGTTAAAAGATCCTGCGGGCCGAAACCGGTTTGGCTCAGTGGCAGAGCGTCGGTCTGCGGACTGAAAGGTCCCAGGTTCGATTCCGGTCAGGGGCATGTACTTTGGTTGCGGGCACATCCCCGGTAGGGGGTGTGCAAGAGGCAGCTGATGGATGTTTCTAGCTATCTCTCTCCCTTCCTCTCTGTAAGAAATCAATAAAATATATTAAAAAAAAAAAAAAAATTCCTGCGGAGCCATCAGTAAGAGCCTGAGAATTGTTAGCTGATACTAATATCAGCTGAGACCTGCAGGCTTGATGAGAGAATAAGGACTGAAATCAGTCCAGTAAGATCACAGGTAAATCACAACATACAGATGTGCGAATTCCCAGGCCTTGCTCCTTACACCCGGGGGGAAGCCTGCCGACAGCAACCCTCCTACTCACTCTGGCTTGCCGTCGTTGCACTTCCGCCTTGAGTTTGTCTCGCAGACTCCTCAGCTTACGAATCTTGCTTCCAAGATCACTCTCCGCTCCCTGTGACTCTTCAAATTTTTTACGGGATTTAGTCTCTAGTCTTTCCAAGTGAGCGAGAACACCTGAAGAAAGCAAAGAGAGAATTTCTCAAGCAGCCAAGGAGTTCTAATTCTGGCAGCAGAAAGCATTTCAGGTTAGAGTAAAAGGTGACCTTTTTGTTTTGTTTTTTTTTTTTCAGACCTTTGTGGCTAGTTAATTGTTAGACATTGCCCCCAACTTATAAAACCAGAAGAACTGACAACAGAAACCAAAGATCAGCAGCCTCTTAGCCTGAACACTGATGTACAAGCAAGCAGTCCCTAACCAGGACAATGTCCGAAAAAGAACATTTTCTGAGTATAGCTAATCTCAGTTATCCGTGGTGATGATAACTCAGCGGAAAACAGTCACCAAATTCACTGGCTCTCTCAGAAACTGTTTTTTAAAATGTAAAATTGTTTCTTAAATTGGTTTTTATGAATGTTTCCCCAAAGTGCTAAAGCATAATTCTTTGAAGCTCTCAAAAATATTGGTACAGGACTATAAAAATACAAACTAAGAGAACTGTCCACAAATATTAGAGAGGAAAACACGCCGATTGCTGAACAGAAACTCAGAGGCAAATTTCAGTTCCCTAGAGATTGACTAAGGACCAAGACAAGTGCACCTGGTTGTATTGTGCGTCCTTGACTGCCATTCAGTGTTGGCTGTGTGTGTGTGTGTGCGCGCGCGCATACACACACATGTGCTTTTTTTTACAAATGAAAAACATCCCACACCAGTGAACAGATTCTGACTTGCTTTATGGCAGCACTCTAGAACTGAACCTGGAACGTCTCTGAGGGACGCCTGTACGGTCCCTCATAATGCTAATAAATCCCAACAAAGCATCTACTGAACTCTTCCTACGTGTCAACACACTTGTGCTAGGTTATTTACTTGCAAAACATGTAAAGAATTACAACATTTATTGAATATTTCCTACATATGTAAGATATGTTAAATGCTTTCCGTGAGAAACATGAAAAGAATTGTTTATCTAATTTCCACAACATTACCACAATGCTGTTATTCACCTCCATTTTCCAGATAAAAAACGGAAGCAGAGAAAGGTAAAATAACCTGCCCAAGGCCACAGTATTGACAACGGCAGAGCCAGGACTCGAACCCAGATCTAACCGACGCCAAAGCCACCGCCTGGCTCTGCCTCTTCCACAGGAGTAATGCACAAATGGCCCCCCAAAATCCTGGGAAGAGAACTGTAGCCCTGAAAAGAGACACAGCGTATTATGAATGCAAACTAAGTTACTTGTCCCTCAAACTGGCAATAAAGCAAGTCCTAACTTTTTGCAGGTGGATGTTTTTGCCTTCGAATTGTAAAAACCACAAAACCTGTGCGGAGCAAGGAGCGGTGTGTATGTTTGTATCAGTTCCTTTCGCTGTTCTGCTCCCACAGGGCAGGTCGCACCAGGTAAGAGGAGGACAGCGCTGTCAGCCGGGGCGGGGGAAGAAGAGGGGGTGTCATCTTGGGGCAGCTGCAGGAAAAGGACGAAGACAACCATTAGAGTACCTCCTTTGGGCCTGCCCTCTTGACTTAAAGAATTCGCCAGTTCCATCTGCTCAGGTTTCCAAATCCACAAACCTTCCCAGGAAGCTGTCCGGCACCGGGAACAAGAACCTAGATTTCCTCGCTGACAAAAGGAAAAATGGCAAGGGAGTCACATCTAGACACACCTAGAGGGTAGACAAACACCCCAAGTGTCATTACCAGGACTCCCCTTCCCAGACCCGCCCTTTCCCCCCAACCCCCGGGAGCCAGTAGGCCGTGTCCACATCCAGCTCGTCGGCCCGGAGCGCTCCCGGGGGCACAGGCCCTCCGCTTTGGCGGGTTTGCCTTCCACCGTAAGGAGCTGAAGGAGGCCATTTAGCCACCGTCTGGAATCTCACCGGATCCTATTCCCCCTTACCTCCTGGAGCTCCTCCGGCTCACGCAGCCCAGGGACCAGTTCCCGCCATCCTCGCCTTCAAAACACAGCCAATCGGACCCAGCATGCTTTGCGCAGCCGCCGTACAAAAACATGGCCGCGCTCAGGGCCCCTCCCCGATCCCAGCATGCACCGCGGGTTAGGCCAGGTCTTCCAGCTGGGCAGGAATATGGCGGCACCCAGCGCGGAGCCGCAGGTCTTGGTACAATATTTGGTGTTACGGAAGGATCTGTCGCAGGCTCCATTCTCCTGGCCGGCGGGCGCGCTGGTAGCGCAGGCTTGCCACGCAGCCACGGCGGCCTTGCACATCCACCGCGACCACCCGCACACGGTGGCTTACCTCCGGGAGCTGGGGCGCATGCGCAAGGTGGTCCTGGAGGTGAGGCACGGGCCTTGGGGGGGAGGGGCGGGGCTAGAGGAGCGCAGAGGAAGTGGAGACCGGAAGTGGGTGTGGCCTGGAGTCAGAGGCCCTAACTTCGGGTGAAGGGACGGGAGTGAGGAGTTTTGGCATCTAAGATCTGGGGACGCTTTCTGGGGTTGGAGAGTCTTCCGTTGGCTGGGGAGGGTCTGAAAGTGAAAAGTGGGCCTCGGGTCCGTTACTAAAAGGGCTCGCACCCCTCCGGTCTCACCTGCGGCCGTGTTAGTGATGCCTGTGCGAGAGGAGGCTACAGAGAGACCAGCTTTTTTACCTGCGCACTGGGCCCGCCTTTTACGGCCGCCGCACGGATGACATTGTTACCCTCCCTTCCCGCAAAACCGACCCAGGATAAGGACTCGGGATTTCTTATTGCCAGTGAGACTGAAGCCTTTACCTGGACGTGACGCCAAATTATTTGGAAATAGATGTGAACCCTGGTGTAAATTGAACCCAGCGTCGCAAACACCAGGGGTGTACTCTAGCGGGAAGGTCCTTTCTGCAGATGGCCAAACAGATCTTACCCTTTTTCTTCCCATTGACTTGATACTTCCTAAATGGGCTATTCATTCTACATTCTGCGACCTGCTTCTTGTAGGCCCCAGATGAGACCACCCTAAAGGAGCTGGCTGGGACACTGCAAGAGAAGAAGGTTGACCACATGCTATGGCTGGAGCAGCCAGAGAATGTCGCCACTTGCATTGCACTCCGTCCCTACCCCAAGGAAGAAGTGAACCAGTATTTGAAGAAGTTCCGATTGTTCAAGTGACTGATGTTATGAATTGCTTTGATATCTTTGAGTATCAGCTGGATCCAGAAACTGCATGCCATCCATCCCTCAGCATCATGTATTTCTTTCATAGGCTCCTTGCTCTTCATTTATGACACTGTCTTGAGGGTTAAACACCTGTTTACATTAAAGTTGTCATTAGTAAGTACTTTCTCTTATTTTTCGTGAAGTTCAGATGGGGAAAGTAGGTGATCAGCAATATTATTTATGGGTCATTGCTCAAATAGAAGATTTGGTTAGACTCACACAGGGGTCAAGAAAATGTCTTTCACCAAGACCGGATTGGCTCAATGGATAGAGTGTCAGCTTGGGGACTGAAGGGTCCCGGGTTCGATTCCGGTCAAGGGCATGTACCTTGGTTGTAGGCATATCCCCAGTAGGGGGTGGGCAAGAGGCAGGTCATCAATGTTTCTCTCATCGATGTTTCTAACTCTCTCTCCCTTCCTCTGTGTGAAAAATCAATAAAATATATAATAAAATACTTTAAAAAAAGAAAAAGAAAATGCCTTTCCATTTTTGTTAAAAAAAAAAGTATTTTTCAATAGAGCAAAAGTAGTGTTGAAAGTCGTAGGTGATAAATCCTTGACAAGAATCTCCTCTGCTTTGTAAGTTTCTTATATGTAAAAACGTTTTAAAATTAACTGTGTCCAGCCCTGGTCAATTTGACTCAATGCATAGGGAGTAAGCCTGTGGACCAAAGAGTCCTGGGTTTGATTCCAGTCACGGGCATGTATCTTGGTTGCAAGCTCCCCCCTGGCCCAGGCCCTGGTTGGGGCTCATGCAGGAGGCAACCAATCCATATATATTTCACATCAATATTTCTGTCTTTCCCTCTCTCTAAAAATCAGTGGGAAAATATCCTCAGATGAGGATTTTAAAAAAACACACACAATAGCACCATACGTGTTATTCAAGCCTTAAGATGCAGTCTTGTCTCAAGCTTACAGATTCAGAAAAGCTTTGACATGCCCAAGATCAAAGTCAGGGTTTTGTCTGTCCAGTCTTCCCTTAACCTCTCATAGTGGGTTACCTCTTTGGTTATCTAGATACTAGAAGGTGGTCATAAGTAGTTCAAGCACTGAGAAGCTGGTCTTTCATTTTATGTTGGTTAATTGACATTCTGGATTATAAACTATCCTCCTGTGACTGTAAGGTCCAATTATTATTGGATGAGCTGACAAAATTGAGTTCCTGAACTTATAATTGAGGATCAGTGTCTAGGTCATTGCTTCTCATGGGGCTGACAAAATAGAGGACTTCTCTAGAAGTGGTTGTTAAAAGCACATTTTAGTGTTATTTAATCAACACACATTTTCTGCACAGATTCTGAGATTCCTTCCTCAAGGTGTGCCTGTGCTACCTGGTTGAGTTTCTTGGCAATAGTGAACCATTGTTACTGTGCAAAGGTGGGTGGAAAAATGGGTGAGAACCACTGACCTTGGCTACCATTGCCTCACAAGTTTTAGCTGTCCTCCAAGGTCAAGTTTAACACGGAAGAGGGGACTAAGATCTAAGGGGACCAGTAAAAACTTCTTAGAAAGGGCATCTAAATTGAAGCCTTGAAGGACAAGCAGAAAGGGGAAAGAAGAAGTATTACAAACCATGGAAGAAAATGATATGGACATGGAAGTGAGAGCTCGGTAAATTCAGAAATAAAGACCGTTTGTTTAGAGTATGGAAAGTTATGATACTTAAAATGTAGAGTGATTTCAGATAAACTATAGGCAAGATGTAGATTGTGTTTAGAAAGATTTCTCTGATGACTGTGTGAAAGGTGAATGTAAGAGGCATGAACATGGTTACTATAATCATTCAAAGAAAGGTAAGTGCTGAATTTGGTCTGTGATTAACAGGGTTAGGAAGAGGATAGCATGAGGCACTACAAGGGATAATTTTCCACAATTTGGAGAGAAGAATTGGAGTTGGTTGAGAGAGACCAGAGCTTATTTGTGGGGAAGTTATTTGGTTTGGGACTTAGGTTTGAGGTGCTGGGAAGCGGGGATGTATCCATGTGGTAATGTTCACCAGTTGTAAATTCAAGACCAGATTTTGAGAGAGGTCTTGACTAGAAGAGCAGACTTAAAATGCATAGGAATATAAGTGGTACTGAGTTCAAGGGAAAAGAAGGGAGAGTACAGGGACTCACTTCAGAACTATTACCCTCACGCAAATTTAAAACATGAAAAAAATCAGTCTGTTAGCAAAACCAAAGTTAGTGTCCAATTTACTTTCAAAATGGAAACCCCACCAAACTTCTAAGGAACTTGAGCTCCAGAGAACAATTTTTAACTCATCTGTCGGTTAAAAAAATTTTTTAAAAGTTTTAAAAATTGATTTTAGGGAGAGGGAGAGAACATTGATGTGAGAGGGAAACATCAATCTGTTCCTCCCATTTGCAACCTAATTGTGGATAGAACCCAAAACTTGGGCATGTGCCCTAACCAGGAAATGAACCAGTGACCTTTCAGTGCATGGGATGGCACTCAACCAACTGAGCCACACCAGCCAGGGCAACTCATCAGTCTTTCTGTGTCACTGTGTCATGTTATGGTGCTCTTATCTCAGTTGTACTGTGCAGTGGAATCAATGGCAGTTTTCATCCCAAAACTAAAGAACTGACTCTGGGGTCCAGAACTTCCTAGCCACCTGGAAAAAATCTGAGCTTGCTTCCCCATCTGTAAAAGAAAGCTATGCCCTACTCTAATTGTTTCAAAGGATTTTGAAAATCAAATGACATACTGTATGGGAAAGTGCTGTACAAACTAAGAGATTGTTAGCACAAGGGTGTTAGCCCAGCACATTGCCTGGCAGAGTAGAAAGAAAAGTTTCCCTTAACTGACTTAGAAACTCCACTGTGAGAAAGGAAGCAGGTTCAGGCAAGCATCTGTACTTCCCATCAGTGCCTGCCCTGAAACAGTTCATCAAAACATGGAATAGCCCTATAACCAGTTTGGCTCAGTGGATTGAATGTCAGCCTGTGGACTGAAGGGTCCCAGGTTCGGTTCTGATCAAGGTAATGTACCTTGGTTGCGGGCACATCCCCAGTAGGGGTTGTGCAGGAGGCAGCTGATTGATGTTTCTATCTCATCAATGTTTCTCTCTATCCCTCTCCCTTCCTCTGTGTAAAAAAATTAATAAACTATATTTTTTAAAAACATGGAATAAACACTACCTTGTCTAAGGTTTTGTGTTTTATTCGAAAGGAGTATCTGTCCCATCATATTTTCCTCGTAGTGGGAGGAAAATCTGATGGGACAGATATTCCTTTCTAATGTCTAGCTTTTTAAAAATACTTTTTGTTGCTTTAAGAGGGGAAGGGAGAGGAATAGAAACATCGGTGAGAAATAAATATTAATTGGCTGCTCCTGCAAACCTCTTACTGGGGTTCAAGCCCACAACCTGGGCATGTGCCTTGACTGGGAATCAAACTAGGAACCTTTTGGTTCCTGGATTGATGTTCAACCACTGAGCAACATCGACTGGGCCCCTAAATCTTTTATTTTTCTCAAGTCAGTGTTGCAGCCTTGTTTCGGATACCTGTGAGAATTGCTTAGTTTTCTGTTGGTTGCACAAACTACCAAGTTTCTGAGACAAGCACAAATAATCCGACCAGAGCCCAAACCCAGGATAGGAGAAAAATGCTTTGTCTGCAGATGGATCAAGAGCTCGAGAAAAGTGAGTGCTTCTATGATCTGATCCAAGAAAACAAATTTCCTGTCTCACAACAAAGGATCCTGTCAGTCATTTTATACCTGCCTCAAACGAAACCCATTTTCCAAAACATTTTTAAACTAAGGGATGACACTGCAGCCTCATGGAACTCCTTTTTCATTTCCTGTTTAGATATGGACAGACTGCCTCTCCTACAATTTTAGTGGGACCCAGCTGGTGTGACTCAGTGTTTGAGTGTCATGGTTTGATTCCTAGTCAGGGCACATGCCTGGGTTGTGGACTTGACTTCCAGTAGGGGGCATGCAGGAGACTGTCAATCGATGATTCTCATCATTGGTGTTTCTATCCCTCTCTTCCTCTCTCTAAAATCAATAAAAACATTTTTTTTAAAAATTGTAGTGGGACACCTTGCTGACCTAATCACAAAGCTCACCCCCATTCAGGCCTCCAAAGGGCAGGCGCTCTGCTGTCTCCGGAGAAGGGGCTAGGTCCTCTCTCCTCAGCCCTTGAATTATCATTCCTTTTGAAGGCCTGTTTTTGAAAGTTATTTCATGTAAGAAAATTGGCTAAGGTCACACAATAAGACTCTGAATTAGTCCTACTTCATAATAGTGCAGGATAATGAATCCAGATTTTAGAATTAGAAGACTTAATTTCAAGTCCCAATGAATTGGTAAAAAGTTATTTGTTATAACCTTTTAGATTTTTTCTTTTTCTTTTAAAAAATTTATTTTTGTTGATTTCAGAGAGGAGGGTAAAGGGAGAGATAGAATCACCGATCATGAGAATCATGGATCAGCTGCCTCCTGCCGCTCCCTGCTGGGGACTGAACCCACACCTGGGCAGGTGCCCTTGACCAGAATGAAACCCAGGACCCTTCACTCCACAGGCTGATGTTCTACCCACTGAGCCAAACTGGCTAGGGCAGTGGTTGGCAAACTGTGGCTCAGGATCCACATGTGGCTCGAGAGCTGCGATTTGCCGCTCTGTTGAATGAGTTTGCCGACCGCTGGCGTAAGGGCTTAATCACAAGGAACAGCAGCCTGTAATTATTGGAATTGAGAGTCTAGGTCAGTGGTTGGCAAACTATGGCTCGTGAGCCTCATGTGGTTCACAAGCCACAGTTTGCCGACCACTGGGCTAGGGCTAGAGTTTTTCTTTTTATGAGGACTTTCTTAAATGACTGCAAAGGATTACATAATGTACTGAAAATCACCTTACGAATTGTTACAGTACAATTATTTTTCCTGAATGTTTCTAATATTGTTACCAACTACAATAGAGTGCTGTGTGAAATATGTAAAAACCTATAGTTCTGGATAGAGCTGGTAATGGAAGAGGTCTCAGCTAGTGGATGGCAAAATTTCCAACTGAGGATCCCAAAGTCTAGTTCATGTTTCTCCTGGAGCTCTTAGCTGATTTCAATTACTTTTCAGTCTATCAGCCAACATCCATATAATAAAAGGCTAATATGCAAATAGACTGAATGGCAGAACCACCAATCGGCCACTATGACATGTGCTGACCACCAGGGTGTGTGTGCAGAATATGGTAGGCATTGGCCAGAGTGGGATGGTGCAGCAGGTAAGTGGGGGCACCAGACCAAGGTGGGGCACCAGTTGCTGTCATCGGGGCAAGTCTCATGGTTACTGAAAATTCTTTGCTCCCTTGTGCCATGGTCCTGCCCAGCACTTGCACCCACTGCCAGTGCCAGCCCCACTTGCACCTGCTGCTGCTGCCAGGCACCAGTCCCGGTCACTTGGCACCATCAGTGGGTGCAAGTGGCGGCTGTTGGCCCTGATTGCCCTGAAGGGCTATTACACCTACCTCTGCTCCTGAGGGGTGAATGGGGCAGCAGCTGTTGCTCACACAGGCTGCTAATGCCGGCCCCAATTGTTCCTGGCAAGCAGGATTGGGGCTGCTGGCAGATAGGGGACAGAGGGCCGGAGGATGGACTGAGATTCACCCCTGTACCTACTGTAGCCTTGTGGCCCACAGTTCAAGGTGCACGAATTTGTGCACTTGTCCCCTAGTAATTCTAATAAAGTGGTTATGAAAACTCAGGAACAAGTTAACAATGTAAAAATCCAGCTCTCCAGGATCCCTTCCTCTGCATGTGCTCTTCCTCAGACTGTGTTCTTCACTAGCTATTTCCTCACCATCTGGCAAACCTCACCTCAAATGCCATTTCTTCCTCAAGGAAACCTTCCCGGACTCTCCAGACAAGGCCTCACTAACTTAATCCAATTCTGATGATAAGCACTAAGTCCCCCAGGTGAATATAAGCTCTGGGAAGAAAGCATGTCTGTCTGGATCCTTCCATATCCCTACTACCTTGGATAAAGACAATAAAATGTATTAAACGAGTGGAAGAGGCCAGAGCTTTGTTTCTTTAATCTTGTTAAGAACTCTTGTAGCAACAAAAATAAAAATAAAAAATAGAGAAAACTAATCTAGCCCTAGCTGGTTTGGCTCAGTAGATAAGAGCATCAGCTTGCGAACTAAAGCATCCCAGGCTTGCTTCCTGTCAAGGGCAGGTACCTTGGCTGTAGGCTTCTTCCTAGCCTGGGCCTTGGTTGGGGTGCGTGCATGAGGCAACTGATGGATGTGTTTTTGTCACATTGATATTTCTGTCTTTCCCTTTAAAAAATCAATGGAAAAATATCCTCAGGTGAGGATTAAAACAAAAAACTAATTTAGCTCTGGCAGAAAAGATTCTGGAGGGAGGCAATCTTCCTCTGGCAGTTTTCACCAATTAAAAGAATTTATGGATTTGACTCATCCAGATCTTCAGAGACACAGGAATGGTCCAGGATCAAGCATGCTCTGAATCAATCACTCTATTCAAGTGGAGCTGCCTTCTGGGAAGACCGGTCAGTCAGCCAGGAAATCAGCCCAACTTCTGTGTAAGCAGACAGCTTACATCATGTAAGGATCCAGAAGACATTTTCTAGGTATGGAACCTTACTTAAGCAAATCCATAAAGCCAAAGCTTCTCTCTGTCAACCTCACTTTCCCCTCAATTGTTTCTATTTGTTTTTCTAATGGCCTTCCCACAACTACTGTAGGATAAATTTAAATCAATGTTTAACCTCATTGAAGAGAAGTATTTTTACCTTATCCCAGCTTTGGGAAACAAAGGGTCTGTTCCCATAAATATGATTTCAGACAACAGCTACCAAATCTGTGTATATCTGTGTGAGGGAACAAGTACAGGATATACATCCTCCCCTGCCCTCTTGCTTACCCTCCTTACCCAGGCACACTGAACCAAGCATTAGTGGATTTAACCTGCCTTAAAAGCACACAAATAAGAGAAAGGACCTGTCAGATTGAAAGTCTCCTCAAGTAAGACTCAACATCAGCATAATTAAAGTTAGTATGTAAAAGCCAATAATAGTGAGATTGGTATGGTGTGACTCTGAAGTGCTGAGTCACACCATACCAATCTTACTATTATTGGGACCAGATCTGGGTAACTAATGGCTGGACCAGAGTGTTTAATCATCAGACAAAGGACCAAAGTCAGAATTTCCTCTAGGCCCACTGACATGTCTTCACTCGGACCTTCTCAAATTTCACTGAATTGGTTCGCATTAGGGTGACTTCCAGGATCTCTGGCTTCAGGGATTCTTTCCTTTATTATCCTTCAATTACCCATTAGCCATTTTGGGCTTTTGGCAATTCCTGCAGGATGTAGGTTTCACTTCTTCCCTGTAAATGAAGAGGCAACCCGTGAGGTTGTTAAACAAATTCTATTCAGCAGCTGGAAAAGTGCATTTCCTGTGGAAGGACAGGAATTACATAGAAGCAAGCAATTTTATTTTCCTCAAATGTAGCAATAATTTCAATCTGTACATACATAAAACAAACAGTGCAATTATAAAACCTTGAAGGTGACATGCATACATTAAGGTGCAGTTGGGATGGAGGAGGATGTTAGCATCTCCAATTTTCCTTACCACTTTTTTTTTTTTTTTTCCTAGTCCTTATGCGAAAGTACGGAGTCAGGAAACTTCATCTGGAATGCTCAAGTTAAAGGTGAACTTCCTGAAGCCTGCAAGTCTAAATATCACAAACAGAACAGAGATGATATCCTAGAGCAGTTTGGTAGGGACTAGAGTAATATGGCTGGGCTTTCAAGCTGGGAATGAATGACACTGGGGATGCATTTTTCTGAAAAAAGGAAAAGAGATAATGTTTGTAACTGTGTCCTATTTCTCTTTCATAGTTGCTACCCATAGTGAGCCCTTCCGCCAATCTTTTGATTCGGTATTATGCTTTCTGAATGGATGCTGTCCAATGGAGTTATTTGGATCTAGGGGTGGTGAGATGCAGAGAGGACCTGGGAAAATGGCTTCTTCCTTGATGTCTGAGTCCAAGCTCCTCTTCCACGGTGAGTTCTTATGGCCTTTTCTCTGCCATGGAAGCAGAGGTAGCTGGTGCGCAATGCCAGGTGCTGTCGTCATTCACGGGCCCCCGAGTGCAGGGAAAGGCGAGCGATGGGGGTCTACCTTTGCTTCATCCACAAAACCTTCCTCAAGCTTTCCTGGCCTTGCAGCAGAATGTCTAGAACTAGAGAGTCAGTTCACTGGGTCCTTGACTCAGAGGCCAGGATGAGACAACGTGTGGCAGAGTGACAAGACACAAAGGGGAAATATGGTACCAGTTAGCCTTCAGAGCAGAATAAATTTGTTTGCACTGATGAAAATTAAAATTCCCAAAGTCAATCTAAAAAAAGTAAGATTTCCTTTGAGCACTAATTTCTGTACGAGCAGCCTGTGCACTTTTGGTGACAATTCCTTACACTGCTCTCAAGGCAGATGATCCCGGCGAGACACGAGGGCAGTGCGAGCTCTGGCTCGCCTGGGATGGCTTGCTGGCAGTTGGCATTTTGATGTGAACCCCAACGTAAATCCATACATGGCATCACAGTTATTAAAATAATGAAATATTACTAGCCAGATGTAACGGCAATCCAATCAATGTTATATTTCACACACAAATATAGAAAAATCAAGAGTATGATAATAAAGCCATAAAATTAAACAGAAGGAAATAAATTTCTACAAGAAATCAAATGTACTTACAGTGAGATTTAAAAGGTAAAAATAAGCTACTTGGATCATAAACTTAATTTTATTTTAAATAACTTTAGCTACTTCAGCTGTTAATACAATAAAAGCAGAAAGAACAGGCTGCCTTTCCCCAAATTTAATCAGAAAATTGTATCTACAATAATCGACAGAACTCGCTTCTTTGTCCTTCACCCATCTCATCAAAAATTATTGCATTTTCCCCAAACTGTATTTTTTTGGATTCCTCTGAATACACTCATGTCGTCCTCATTCCTGGAGGCATCTTGGTTTAAATCCATCTTTTAAAAAAGGAGGAGGGGTACATATGTGGAGGCAAAATATTCTCTTGAAGCCAACAGATACAGAGTTGCTAGAAGAAGCTGATTGTACACACAAGCTGCCTGGGGTCGGGAAGGGCTGCTGAGACACGCGACAGCCTTTGGTGAGGGCGCGGGCCCTTCCTCCTGGGCAGAGTCAGAGCGGAGCCTGCGGGGGCGGGGCTCCGTCTTTGCTGTGGAACTTGTCCTTTTGGTTCTCCTCCAAAGGCCTTCATCCAGATAAGAAGCCAGTGACTGATTACAAAAATAAGGATAATTAAATTTGGCTCAAGAAATAGATTGTCCAACTGTTCTGCCTTGTTATTTTTCAATATCCAAGGCCTTTTACAAAGAAACAAAAACATCTCTCAATCTCCCAACAAAAGTGAACTCCTTTTTATTTTTTATTTTTGCTCCAAATGCTACGACCTGAAGAATGGCTGCAGATTGAGATACCAAAAATCTCAGAAAAATATATAATATATTTGTATATCTCTGTATGTCTATTATTTAAATTTCACATTCCTTTAAAAGTGGTTATTCAGTCAGTAGCTGCTGAAGGAGGCTCTTCTGCTGGGCCTGGGGGGTCTGCGGTCCGGCCGTGGGCTTTTGAGTTCCCAGTGGACCAGGCTGGTTCAGGTAAGGGTCCCCGCCTACCAGATTCACTGTACACTGGACGTCAGCAAACACCTGAACCTGTTGCACCTGCTGGAACACAAACGAAAGATGTGTTTAGACAGAAAGGTCTGCCCCCCCGGCTTATGAGTGGGTACTACTTGAAGTGGAAACTCACTAGAGCATTCCTCTAGTCTGTAGTCACCACAGAGAAGAACTCTTCTGTCTTCTTGTCCTACAAAAAGAAAATCGCTGCACTCATTTTGCTCAGGGTTCTGGAAAGTTCACACTTTAAAAATAAAATAAAAAAATCAGAATGGTCAAACCTCTCACAGGGTTGCCATCAAGACTGAAAGTGAGCATTGTTGCTAATATTGCCACGATTGGGAAAAGCCCAGTTTCAGAGACTGGGTATCCAGTGGTGGGTTAAAAAAAAAAAACAACCACACATGTTATTTGGAAAACTGGTTCAAAAGCATTCCATAGATAACTTTAGTAGGATAAAAAAAAAAAATCTTTATGATGTTAGAAAATTAAGGACTTTAACCCAGTATTAGCAAAATATAACCACCACAGCTCAGTAACAGGACATGAGCATTACTAAAGTTAATGTCCCAAAGTACCTAAATGTACTATTACATATTTATTTATTGCCTTTAGAGTTACAGCAAAATATTAGCAGAACAATTTTATATTTAACTTTTTCCTGATAGATAATCCATTGAAACACATGAACTAAAAATAACAGTAAATTACAAAATGAGAACAGTGTGAATTTTCCCTTTAACTACTTTTAGTAATACAACTATTCCTTTAAAATGTCTACAGTTGCATACTTATAGCGTTTTCTATTGGAAAAACAAATCCAGAAGTTAGTCTGTATCAATCAGTCTTATTAAAAAGTCATTTGTAGAACTGATAAAGGCCAATGTCACACTGTAAATGTTCCAGACCAAGGAAGGAAAGGCCTTCTCAGTCATCTAAGTACACCTAATTAAGTGTCTCAAGCTTTTGGCCAACTTGAGCCTCGAGTTTAATAAGCTCCTGAGGTATTTTAGATTAATGATGCATTTTCTTGGTCATTTGTCTCGTCACTAATTCGAGCCAATTACATTCAGCTTTTCTGAAAAAATTTTTTTTATCCTAATTGAACAAAAGTTGTTTTTCATCAACCTTCACTGGGCAAATGTCAAAAGTCCCAATGATCCTGTTGCAATATAAGTCTAGCCCCAGGTCCTCTCATCCAGTGACACCTCTAGTCTACTCTCCTTCAGCTAAGGAAGGCATCCCTGAGCGTTTCTCCTGCCTGATGAATGAACTCTACTTAGGTTAGCCTTAGTTCTCTCCTTGGCCTCTCTTTTCTCATCCTCCTCTTTCCCTAGTTTCCCAAATTTTGCTTCTTGCCTCCACATGGTTCCATTTCTTGTTTTCTTTAGGGATCTTCCATTATCTAAAATATACCAACTCTCTGAGTCTATTCTCTAGCTGCCTCTGTGTCCTCCCTCACCTTCTTCATTCTAACTCCTTCCTCCTACTTTTCCTTCTGGAGCTCCCCTGGCCTAGCTCTCTTCCCATGCCAACAATCTCCCTACCAGCTCTCTTCTGGCGTCTCTTTTCTGGGTTCCTTTCCTGTTCTCTCTCCTTTCTTCTCCGCATTCCAGCACTCCAAATGCTGGTACACCACCCCTCCCCCTAATCCTCCTTTAGTCCTCCTTGCCTCGTTTGTTTCCTTCTCCTTTTCTGTACATCTATCTCTATATTTCCGTCTAACTCACTCTCCAATTTCTGTTTGGCAAAAATAAAAACATTGGAGCAAAGAGAAATTTCATGATGGGCTACTACAGAAAAAAGATTCTGCCACAGAAGCTTAAAAGCAGCACAAACTATAGTGCTTTTAGGTGCTGATTTTTTTTTTTAAAGACAATTAACATAAACTTTCAAGTTTGTATGTTTCAACTTATGAAATACTAGTGCAGAGCTTAAGATGTTTTGTCCCCAAACACTTGAAAATATTTTTATAAAGGCACGAAAAAACAAACTAGAAAGAAAAATTCTGCGTCTTTAAAAAAGAATGCTTTTAAAAAAGATAGTCTATATTGAAATTTAAAAAAAAATTTTTTTTTAAACTCTAAAAAAGTACACACTGCAGCCATTTTGATCTTGAAAAAATGAGGTCCCTTAGACCAGACCGCAAAGGACTTCTAATACTGCCACATCTTCATAGGCAGGCGAGGCAAGAGGCAAAAAACAGCTTCAGATTTACCAGATCAGAAGGGTGGTGTGGGAGCTGAGTTCCAACCTCTTAAGATTTCCCAGAATAGTTTTTACTTCAAGTCTTGATTGTTTTGTTTGACCTATTTTGTTGAGCTGCCCAGTGTCAGTCTCTGTAGGTGTGAGACTTTAAAAAACTTCTGGTGAATAAAGACTCATCTTCCCCATCACAGAACCCCCTCTCTTCACAGGACTCAGGTCCTATTCCTAATGGACACAGTCTCCTAACTGATCCTGCTCCTCCAGAGCCGCTGCCCAGGCTCCTTCTCTCCGCGCCCCCCCCTCCCCCCCCAGAAGCCTAAGCTGGCGCTTGGATCGCTGCTTCCTCACAGGATCACTTATGCAGGACTGCATCCATATCCCTAAGTTTAGGATTCATGGCCCCTGCAAGTTGGTCCCAATCTACTCTACCAATTTTAATTCCTATGAGTTCTTATTACAAACCCTCTGCCTTTCTGCAAAGGCAGCACTCTGCTAAGATACACTACTATCTCCCTGTCTCTGGACCCTCCACTTCCAAGTTTACTCCACCCCAGCTTCCAGCCATCAGACAGAAGACCTTTCTTCTTCAGTTGGCCTTGCAACTATCCCTCAAGGCCCAGTTCAGTCCCATCTCCTATGGAAAAGCTCGTCTAACCATCTCAGCAATTTCTACTATTTAAAAAAAACCAAACAGGTCTCTTGTTACTTGTAACAGGAATTTGAGTGACAATTTATGTGTACAGTCTATGTGTTTTATCTTTCAACAGGCCCACCATGGTATAGCAGAAAGAGCATCAACTTTAGTGTTAGAAAGACCTGGGTTTGAACCACAGCTCTGCCACTTTCTAGTTTTGTGAATCGTGCATATAATCAAATCTCCTCAGGTTGTTTCTTCATCTTCATCTGTGGGGAAAAAGGAATGCTACTCCTTCCTGGGGGGAAAGTGGAGCGCCCAGCACAGAGCCTGGCAAACCATGAGCATTTATTTCACGGAGTGAACTTTGTTTTCTCCCTTCTTCACAGAGCTCACCAAAAGGGCAAAATGTCTCATGTTTCTTTGTATCGCCACATTAAGCATAATGCTGGTACTTAAAAAAAAAAAAAAAAATCTAAGCTACTTATTAAGAGACTAAATACCAAACCAAAGTTACCATATTGAATTGAAACCTCCAACATTTCTAAATATAGGTCAATATAAAAAAGTGGCAAAAAAAAAAAAAAAAGTGGCCACTCATGCTTTTTATATATTGTTTAAAAACAAACTTCTAATAAGGAAGCAGAGTACATGGTGGACATTTTGTTTTATTTGAATTTACGGAGATCTTTTGAGGTATTTTGATTACGTATGAATTTGAGCACTGTGTTTCTTTACAAAATGGTAATTAGTAGCCACATTAAATTAAACCTTATGAAAGTTTATCTCAACAATCTGACCCTCTCAACAATCCTATAAGCAGGTGTCTTGTTAGTTCTACTGGTTATGCAGCAGCTCAGGAAGTTCCCTGACATTCCCGAGGTGACACAGCAAAGAAGAGTAGGGCCACGACTCACACCAGGTCTGACTTCCAAGATCATCCTCTTTGTTTTGTGTCTCTGACAGCTTAGGGCTCAGAATTTGCTTACTGACCTGGGTTCCATCTGCTTCTGTTTTGAGAAGGTCTGTAGAAGCAAGCTGGTTGCAGTAGAGGCCTGTGTGTCTCAGTGCCGAATCATTCATCTATTGGAGAAAAATACAAGAACAAATTACAAGATAGTTGTTTAAGCTGAAGCTCAAATTCTTCAATTAAAAACCGTCTCACTGACAGAAAAGTAATAGGACAGCAGAAATAGAGAGCTTAGAAATTGTCTATGTTGTTAGAAGTGAGGACAGTGGTTCCCTTTGCAGGGTGGAGAGGGATGTAGAAGGGAGAGGAGAAGAACCTCTGGGTGCTGGCAATGTTGATCTGGCGGGCAGTTATAACTGTGTGACAATTTATCTAGTTAGATAAAAAAGAATACACTTTTTGTATATTCTTATATATGATTCTTCCATTAATTGCAAAAGACTTCCAATTCCAGTGAAGATTCAGTAACAGGGATCAGATTTACCATCTGCCTGAATCAATTAAAAAATTGGACAACATATATAAAATGAAGACACTCAAGACATTGGACAAAGGCAATAAAAGAAAGTTACTCCTAGGAGTTGGGAAACAATTGAGGTTGAGTCCTGTGATTACCCCAGCCTACTGCCTAGACAGACTTTCCAGGCTGTAGCGTGGGGACAGGGGACACAGGCAGAGCCTGGCAGACTTCCCGAGTTGAGAAGATGCAGCTGAAGTCTGAGATGGCCAAGGCAGCTGGAATTCACAGGGCAGAATATCTGATGAGAGAGCTACATAGAGAGCAAGTTCTGAAGATCTGCAGATCCCCTCGAGTCTACGGCTTAGTATTGATCAGCTAATAGGTATCAGGGAACTACTCAAGGCAGAGAAATGATTCATCTGAAAAGATTTACATGGGATAATCCTCAAAGATATGGGAATATGTCTTGAATCTCCTAGCCAGAGTGGAAAACATAATTCATGTATTACCAAATAGGATTTGCCTCAATACTAGGGTAAAATTAGCCCTAACTACACATAGCTATGGTCCCACTAACGAAAAAGCAAGACCTGAAAATGATCAAACTGTTTTCAAGTAACTTAACCACCTCCCAAAACAAAGCTCAAGAATATTTATAGGAACATTAACAAGGTAAAATTCATGTCAAGCATCCAATAAAAAAATGATCAGGCATGCAAAGTAGCAGAATAATATGACCTATAATGAAAAATAAAGTCAACCAATTGAAGCCAACCCCAAAATGATGCATATGAGAGACCTGATAGGTGAGAATATTAAGACAGTTATTATAATAATCACATTCCATATGTTCAAGAAGAGAAGGATAGAATGAACATGTTAGAGATATGGAAGCTACAAAAACGGTCCACACTGAACTTCTAGAGATGAAAAGCAATGTCTGAGAGGAAAAACACATTGGATAAAATTAACAGGTCAGACACTGTAAAAGATCACTGAACCTGAAGCTATAACACCAGAAACAATCCAAAGTGAAACACATAGAGAAAAAAATGGCTGACCTCACACCTCTCCCCAACCTCCAATCTCCCAGACCCAGAGAATCAGTGAGCTGTGGGATAACTCCAGGTGGCCTACTATATGTGTAACTGAAGTCTCTGAAGGGGAGTGTGGAGCTGATAAACAGGCAAAACATTGGAAGAAATAATGGCCAACATTTCCCCAAATTTTATGAAAATTGCACATTCACAAATCAAGAAGTTCACTGAAGCCCAACCAGGCATAAGAACCATAAATAAAATCACATTAAAGAAAATCATAATCAAATTGCTTAAAACCAGGAATAAAGTGAATGAATAATCTTAAAAGCAGCGTTAAGGGGGAAAAAATCAACATGTACAGAAGAACAAAGACTAAATGACAGCGGATATCTTATCAGAAATAGTGAGCAACATCTTTAAAGTACTAAAAGCTAAAACTGCCAACCCAGAACTCATGGAAAAGAATTTTCAGATGAAGGTGAAACAAAAACTTTTCACACATATAAAAGCTGAAAGAATTCATCACCTGCAAACCTACACTATAAAAAGTGTTAAATAAAGACCTTCAGTCAGAAGGAAAATGATATAAAATGGAAATTTGGCTCTACACAAAGGAATGAAGAACACTAGAAATGGGTAAATATAAAAGAATTCTTATTTAAATTTTTAGAAAATATACTTGACTGTTTAAAGTAAAAGTACTAACAATATTTTGTGGAGTACGTAGGCCTAATATGTGTGACAATATCATTGAGGGGAGAAATTCATTATATATTTTATTATTTTGTTTTAATCTATTGTAGGTAGTGAATAACTCTAATAACTGACTAAAACAAGATAGCAAGGACAAGAAACAATCCTATTTAGTTCTTTTATTTTGCTATAAAATACAGATCACTAAGTTGTTGTTTTTTCTCCCTGCTAACTTCATTAGGCTTACTATATAATATATGGGGACCAGGGACTTAAAAAAAATTAGTATCAGAAAGGAATTCTATAGAAAAGGTAATTAGTGTTTATGTATTTTTAAGATTTGTTGTAACTTATGGCTACATGGTCAAAGCCTAGTTACCATAGTCTACTTAGTGGTTGCCAATAATGAGTATATTAACTACAAGGAGTTACCCCAGTGATCTTAAATACCACTTTGAATTTAGTAATTCTCTCTTTAAAAATCTTCAGGAAGCTCCAGGATAAACTCTAAACATTGAGATGGCCTGCAATACCTCTGAAATGCCTATCACATTAATTCTGCTCTAAGTATAACATTAATATCCCTTTAACACTCGTTAAGCTTCTCAACTTCTCTTTCTACCTACATCATGCTGTGAGGTCCTGATGAATGCTGGGGGTCAAGTGAAGCTTAAAAGTTGCCCCCAACTTAAATGCTCTTTTCTATTCTCTTTCCTTAGACAAATCTTCCATGTAGCCTTTCCTAACAGGGACGCTGTTCCTTTACACTCTCAGTAATTAGTAGTTGTATATACCCCTCATTTGACATAATATGTATGGTTCTATGGGGGTCCATCCCTTCACAGCTGTTTTGTCCTATTGTTCAACTGATCCTCTGTTCATGTTGTTTAACCCTCGCGTGTTAATAGTATCTCCTATAGAGCTATCATTGCACATAGCAAGTACTAAATAAACGTTCAGAACATAAAGGGGTAAGTTCCAAGCTAATGCATTATATGTACATTTTTATAATGAATCTAAAACACTAAAATCTCCTGAAACTAAAATCTTACAAGGTCAGTCAAAATTTCCATTGAATATCTTTTTTTTTTTTTTTTTTTAATATATTTTTATTGATTTTGTACAGAGAGGAAGGGAGAGAGATAGAGAGCTAGAAACATTGATGAGAGAGAGTTATCGATCAGCTGCCTCTTGCACACCCCTTACCGGGGATATGCCCGCAACCAAGGTACATGCCGTTGACCGGAATCGAACCCGGGAACTCTTAGTCCCCAAGCCGACGCTCTATCCATTGAGCCAAACTGGTTTCGGCTCCATTGAATATCTTAAGGGATAGCAGTTATCAAAAGATAGAGGGAAAGAATAAAGAAACGTGGTTATTTTGATGAGTAACTATAAATACGCCTGACTTCCCTTAGATTAATAACTTGTGGGGAGGTGTGGTGTGGTGTGTGTGGAGCAGCTGTGCCAGTTGTGCCGCTTACCTGCTCAGGGCACACCGTGTTCATCCCTGGCATCTGCAAAGAGCTCATCTGCATCTGGCCCATCATCGGGTTCATGTTCTGCACATGGGTGTTTCCACCGGCCATGGACACCGTGATGCTCATGTTGTTGTACACTCCTGGCTGTGCGGGCGCGGGCTGGTTCTGGACGGCTTGACCGAATACACTGTTAACTCAAAAACAATCCCGATTACATCCACTGATCGTGAACACGGAACGTGACTGGACTCTGTTTCTTAATTACTAGACAGAATTCTAAAGACAATACTGTGCATTCTTAAGTTATACCTAAGTTTTATCTTATTACAGTATGTAAGGACTGAATATAATTCAGATGCTTTCTGAACTCTACCCAAGGGGTTTAACAACTAAGAAAGAGCTCATTTTAAGTTACAGTCATCTGGCCGAGTATCAGATTGATAAGCTCCAATTAATTAAGATAAGGAAGTTTTCCACATAAGTAAATCATCCAGATAACCGAAGTTTACCCATTTAACCATCAAAATCACTCTAAGATCACCAATGTTAAACCAGTTTCTATTAGTAGATAGAATAGAACTTGAAACTTTATATGTGAACCCCCAAAATTCAATGTGATACAGATCAACACATCTAAAGGAAAATATATGAACTGCATGTCTTTTATAAGTTCTACAAAACACCAAATGTTTTCTGATTATCTGCCAATTGTTAAACAATAAGCTGCAAAGGACTTATTGTAAAATGCTACCTGATTTAATATTAATTATGGAGAATTTTATTTAAAAGAATATTTACCCTATCAGTGGCTTATCTATTCCTTGCTTGTTCTTGGGAGGGAAGCAGGATAGCTTTGGCAGATTAGGGTAACACTGGAATTAACAGGCTGAGAAACAGGCTCTTCATCATGTCTGAAGAAAAGTAGTAAATATTCCCCAAGTAATTATAAAACACAAATGCTCAAAGAAAATTATAGGCCTAGGAAATGGTCAATAATGCATCTGTGAACCATTAATGTCTGCACAATATGTACTGCTTGTAAGGCAGTGCCCCAACTAAATGAGAAGAAAAAACCCATGAGGCTACTGTTCACTTTCCAATGAGAACATTTCTGCCTTAGACAACGCTCATTTGTCAACTAATACATCAATCATCAATGTGGAGACTCCTGGCTTATATAAGTTAATGCTTGCAGAATTTTCAAGGACTGCAATGATGTCATACTTAGTGGAGAAAGCTTAGGATTTAATTTCTTGTCAAATTTATATATTAAGTTCCTTCAAACTGCTCCTGCCAATAGTTCCATTTTAGTTTCTCCCATCCTGGGAAGAAGGCCAACTGTTCTGTAGCATCAGTCACTGTTCCAGGTCCTGGAATGGACTATGGGGTTCACTGACACCTTAGGCCGAATGCCTGAAGGACCCCTCCCTCTGCTTTTCTGGTAGGCCTCATGGCAGCTATCATAGCTTCCCTAAGCTAGTACCGGGCATTGGTAAGCCCTAAATCATGAGGGGAAAAGGGAAAAATTAAGACTTTGGCCCAAAGTGGGTTCCACAGGGAGGGAGGACAGGTACTAACAAGCAGGGAGGAGCAGTTCTTGGCCAAATAAGTCTGGGAAACAAAGGGTTAAACAACAGGCCTTCTTGGCCTTTAAAATGCTAATAAGCACTAGGACTCTCCTAGTGACTAAAGTTACAGGGAAGGCTGCCCAGTTCCGGGACAAACAGATTTGTTTTAACCCTTGATTTCTCTGGCCACCAGAGATGATGAGAAAGAATCACATCTGACTGTTTCTGAACACAACATTCTACTTAATGATTCTCTATGTTTTACTTCTCTTGGCCCTACTCTTACCACCAGCTAGACTCTCGGTGGCTTGACAGCAGGGGCAGTTTCTCCCTTGCGCTGTGTAACAGAGACACTGCCGGGTCACAAAACATATGCTGCCTGCCTTGACTAATAAGCAAGTGTGAATGTTTGAAGAGTGGGTGATGATTACTTTCTTTCTCAAATGACATGGGAAAGTCAGAGTTCACAAAAACTGCTAACATACAACAAAACTCAAGTCCACACTGTGTGTGAACCCAAGAAGTGACTTAAGTAGGAAGAGGAAATGTGCACTCATTCGTTGGAGAAACATGTATTAAGTGCTTGCCTGTTCTGAAGGACAGATGTACAGGAGTAAACAAAAACAGTCCTTGCTCTTATGAAACGTACATTTCAGTTGGAGAGACAGACCGTAAGTAAGCAGACTGATACACAATCGGTCAGGTGCTGAAGAAGGGAAAGGAGGGAGCAGGGGTGGGAAGCGGTGGTGGTGTAGGAATCACGGTCAGGAGAGTTTACTCCGGTGACATTCACTATCTATGTTTAACGAGGTGACATTAAGTAGAGACATGAAGTATGAGAGAGCAAACCATGGCTACTGAGAGAACATTCCAGCAGAGGGATTTTAAAAAATGCAAAAGTCCCGAGTTTGCAATGTACTTACTTGGCACATCTGAGGAAGAGGAGAACAAACAGAAGCCAGGTGGCAGGGTGAGTGATGAGAACAGCAGATGAGGTCAAAGAAGCATCCAGGAGCAAGACTGAGTGGTGCTTTCTAGCCCTATATTGTACGTTGAGTGAGAAGGAGAGTTCTGAATGAAGGACAGACTGACACACTGCCTCCTGTTTGAAAGGCGTCACTCTAGCTGAAGGTTGCTGTAAGTGAGCAGGGGTGGACCGTGGAGGCAGGAGGCTACTGCAACGGTCCAGGGAAAAAGCAAGGGTGACTTGCACCAAAGTGTACAAGTGGGACAGGTAACAAGAAAAAAAGGTGTTGGTTCCTCTGCATAACTGGAAAATGGAGTTATTTACGGAGATGGGGAAAAGTAGGAGAGGAGCATGCTTTGGTGAGAATGTCACCATCATGTTGTACAAGACGCCTATAAGACTTCCATGTGGAGATGTCAATTAGGCAGTTGTATATACAGTACGGTGCTTAGGGCAGAAGTCTGGGCTGAGATTTGTGTTTGGGAATCATAGCATAGAGATGGGCATGTATGCCAGTAACATTGGATGATGTGAACAAGGGAACAGATATGGGGAAGAGGTCCTAGAGGGAGCTCTGAGGCCCTCCAATGGAGGTCAGGGAGAGAAGGAAACCAAGAGTCTAGGAGAGTCACGTTTCTCAAGAGGAGGGAAGTTGTTCCAGAAACCAAATGAAGAAAGAATGTCAAGAAAGAGTACATGCTCGGCTATGCTAAGTGCTACCCTGATCACTGAGAGCAGCTGGCCTTGTAGAAGGCATGGGTGACCTTGACAAGAAGACTTTTGGTGGAGTGGTAGGGATGAAAGTCTGATTGGTTCAACAAGGAATGAGAGGAGAGAAAATGACAGAGTGTAGTCTTTAAATGAATTTAATTGTCAAGGGAATTTAACCTGTCGGCATGATGGGTTTTTTTTTCAAGCCACATTAAGTGCTTATGTGTAGACATGGAGCAAGAGGTGAGGCTGGATTTCATTAGGAGCGCTCTGCTAGGCACAGGTGTGTGAGAGAGAGACAGCTGGACAAGCAAGCTCAGAGTGCCTGTAAGGGAGTAATTATCGTGATGGACCATCACATCTTAAGTGGGTTTAGGAAATTGGCATTAGAACACATCAGGAGACTAAATTCTTCTTGCTTGTTAGACAGTTCCATTTCTACCTAATTTACACACAGTCCCCATTGAGAGCGACCGTTTTTTTTTACACAGTCCTCTCTGAGAGCTACATAGTTCTCTGACAAGATTTCCTCTCTCACCTTTCAGTGAACTTTCAGAGAATATAGTCTTGAGTTTTAAACTTTAACTGCCTCACTTATTATGCTGTCAGATCAAATGGCTTCCCTGTCATTAGAACCAAGACACAACCAAATTAAAACCCTTAAAAAATTCAAATGATGTGTGAAAAGTTCAGCAGCCAGGATTTGGAGGAACATGACTTTAGTGAGATAATTCTAAGCAAAATGGGTAAGATGAGGCCACTGGATATCTAGAATCAAAAAGTTGGGTAAGGCAGAATGACTCGGAAGCCCTGAAACCTTTGTTACTATGAAATCTTTAAAACGTATTGAGAAGAGTGCAACCTGTCTGAATTCAGCTCTATTGAATTCTAACATTTTGCCATTCTTGCTTTAGATTTTTAAGATATTTAAGCATTTATATAAAGAGATGATTTTTTTTTTATTAGTACCCATTTCTATTTCTGTCTCCGGGAAGTTTGGTCTAAATGGGAATTGATCATATTTCCTAAGTGTATTGAAGGTGGGACAAAAGGTTGGGGGCCATCAGACCACTTTTCTCTACTGTAAACATATAAATTTACCTTAAGAGTCACTTAAAGGATTTAAAAATCATTATTTTGCCGGGACCGGTTTGGCTCAGTGGATAGAGCATCGGCCTGCAGACTGAAAGGTCCCGGGTTCGATTCCAGTTGAGGGCACGTTGCGGCCACATCCCCAGTAGGAGGTGTGCAAGAGGCAGCTAATCGATAATTCTCTCTCATCAATGTTTCTAACTCTCTATCCCTCTCTCCTCCTTGCTGTGAAAAATCAATAAAATATATTAAAATAAATAAATAAAAATCATTATTTTTCTTGCAGATGACATAAAATTCAGTTCCTTGAATTTGCAAATTGCAGTAGCCAATAATAATGTACTTAGATTGTGAAGGAATGGCTGTTCTTATGTGCTGCTAAGTATTAGGGACAATCGGATATAAAAATTGCCCCTTACTTGTTGTTTCCCATTGCTCCTTGCTGCCAGGCCTTCATGTCTGGTGACTGGTAGCCGGAAGCAGGTGGAGTTTGCTGGAGGAGAGAGCTCTGAGGAGGAGGGATTGGCATCGGCACCATGGAGCTCCCAGGGCTCAGAGATGGAGCGAAGCTGGCCTCACCTTGGGGCACCATTCCTGCAAATAGACACAAATTAACTTATGTGAATATATTATAAATTAATTAGCCTACAAGGATCTTTAGAAATAGCCTAATCAATAAACACTTGTTTCTTAAAAATAAGGCAAGGAATTTCAGTATAAAGAGACAGATAGCCGAAACCAGTTTGGCTCAGTGGATAGAGCATCAGCCTGCGGTCTGAAAGGTCCCAGGTTCGGTTCCGGTCAAGGGCATGTACCTTGGTTGCGGGCACATCCCTAGTAGGGGGTGTGCAGGAGGCAACTGATTGATGATTCTCTCATCGATGTTTCTAACTCTCTATCCCTCTCTCTTCCTCTCTGTAAAAAAAATCAATAAAAAAAAAATATATTTTTTTTTTTAAAAAAAGAGAGAAACATAAATAAACATAAAATAAGTTTGTGAGAATGTTTTCCATTCTAAGATGCTGATTTGTGTGCCCGGATTACATGTGATTTTTTTTTGTTTTGTTCTATTTTGCTTACATGAACTTTTAAGTGCAAAAAAACTATGTGAACATACATGACAGATTACTTTTGTAATGAAGAAAAGCTGAAAAAGCAAAGATAAGAACAACTCATGTGTGAAATGAAAAATGAGAGTTTTGTTGGCTATTCTTCCTCAGTCATCTTTGTGGGCTCTTCTTCCTTTCCCTGTTTTGTTTTTCCCCCCCTTTACTTTATTGAGATATAATCTACATATCTATCTACTGTCAAATTCACCCACTGAACTGCACAACTCATGTATTTAAATAAAGTTATTGAGCTGTGCAAACATCAACACAACCCAGTTTACACATTGTCATCACATCCATATTTGCCTGTGTAGAGTCAATCCTGTTTCTACCTCTAGCCTCAGGCAACCACTGCTCTGCTTTCCATCTCCATAGATCTGCCCTTTTTTGGGAATATATATATATGGGAATATATATATATATATTCCCATATATATATATATCTATATCTATTTATATAAATCTCCAGTGACCCTAACAGCGGAACAACTGGAATGACCAGTCACTATGATGGGCACTGCGGCAGCCAACCATCCTGATCCGGGCCCCGATTGGACCCTCCACCCCCGAGCTACCTGCGGCCCCTCCCTCCAGCCTGCTGGCACCCCTCTCCCCCAATAGGCCCCATTCACTGTCCAGGACGACAGGACGAGGAATCCCACCCATGCATGAATTTGTGCACCGGGCCTCTAATTACATATAAATGTAATCATCTGAGGTGCTCAGTGTCTGGCTTCTTTCACTTAGCATACTATTTCTGATGTTCAATCATTCTGAAGTAGTTATCAGTATTTTTTTTTTTTATTCAAGATGCTTATTGATTTAACTATTGAAAATCAATTTACCATTAAAGTCAATCAGTGATCTGTATGTCTATACTTGTACTGTATAGACATTGTCTTGACTGTTATAACTTTATGAAAAATTTTGAAACTAGTAGTCATCCAACTTTGTCCATGAGGGAGAAAGAGAGAACATCAATGATGAGAGAGAATCACTGATTGGCTGCATCCTGCACGCCCTCTATTGGGGATCAAGCCTGCAACCAATGTACATGCCCTTAACTGGAATCGAACCTAGGACTCTTCAGTCTACAGGCCAACACACTATCCATTGTGCCAAACCAGCAAGGGCTGTTTTTTTGATAGGGATTGCATAAAATTATAAGATCAATTTGAAATGAATTACTATTTTTTCAAACTTTTTCCCTCTAATTTCTATTACTATATCTTCAAGTTCACTTATTTTTTCTTTTGTAACTTCTACTAGTAGTCTGCTTCTTATCCCATCCAGTATACTTTTTATCAAAGACATAGTTTTCGTCTCCAGAAGTTTGATTTCGGATTTTTTAAATACCTTCCATACCTTTACTTAACTTGTTCAAATTTTCCTCTAACTTCTTGAATATACAGAATAAATACAGAATTTATAATTGTCTTAACATCCTTATTAATTCTTTCACTGGTGTAATTTCTGGGTTGGTTTTGATGGACTAACTAATTTTTCTCATTATTGGTTGTATTTTCCTGGTTCTTTGGTTGCCTGGTAATTTTAAAAAATGATTCCAGCTATTATGAATTTTACCTTCTCAGGTTCTCAATTTTTAAAATCCTTTTAAATATTTTTGACATTTGTCAAGGTCATTGTTACATGGAAACAGTTTCTTTTGGGTGTTCTGCCTAAAGAGGTAAGAGCAGACACAATTCATTCAGTTTTGCTCATTACTGAGGCAAAACCCTCCTAAGTATTCTGCTTGACACCCCATGAATCATGAATTTTCTATTCTGGCTGGTGAGAAGAGGAATTGGCTTTGTGTGAATATTAGACTGTTCCCTTTAATCTTCTCAAGTGGCTTTCCCTGGCCTTGGTTTGCATGTGCACGCACATGTGTACACCCAGTGTTCAGCTGAGGATCTAAGGGAAATCCTCTTAGAGAACTATCCCCCATAGTGCTCTCTCTGCATGGCTCCTTCTCTTGTACTGTGCCCAGCTCCACTGCCTCAACTCAGGGGCGCCACTTATTGCTGGTGGGGCCCCTCTCCCTGCACACAGTCTGGACAACTTTGAGAACCACTCTTTGCTTCACATACTTTGATTTTCTGTTTGTTTCAGATAGGAGAATAAATCTGGTCCTTGTTACCCCATTTTGGCCAAAAGTCAAAGTCTATTAACAGTTTTAAAAGTAAAAATGGATTCCTTTTTATGTTTTTCTGTTACGTTAGCATATTACAGGGGAATATTATTCCCCCTCTTCCCCCCCACCCCCCGACAATACACTTCAGTTAAATACTTTTGAGATACATAAAGTTAATAAGGGACAGAAAAAAACAATGTCATAATTTGATTACCATAATTTAGCATAATCCCTTCAAATAATCCACCATAAACTATTGGATTTTTTTTTTTTTTGCTTCTTTCCCTATCATTAGATTATAGTTATATGTTCTTAATGTCTCTTTGTAGACATAATTGTATATGCCTGTATAATAGTCTGCATTCTGTCATTGTTAATACAATGACTTTTCTCTCTTTTTTTGTTTGGTTAATCTGGTCAGAGGTATAGCTAATTTATTCATTTGTTTTCTAATAGGCTATAATTTTAAATTTTCTATTAAAGTAGAGCAAACTATAGTTTTTATTAAGTTTTTTCTTTTACTAAATGTTTATCTTTTTTTGAAGAACTATAAATTTATTGGTTCATCTGGATAACTATCTTTTTGCGTAAAGCTTATATAAATAAAGTTACATAACTTTCCTTGTTGCTTCTTCCATATGTAATTAATCTCTGGTAAATAATTTTGACTTAGAATAGAGAAAATTATTTTTTCTATTTATAACTCTATAGGGTGGGTTTCTGTCCTCTCCCCTATCATGTTAATCATCTCCATACTAGTATATGTTGACTGTCTTTGCATTAATTCTACATTTTAAATTTCAACTGTTTTGGTTGTGATCCTTATTAACACTTGTCTGTACTAATGCTTTTTAAACCTTAGTTATGAAAAATACTTTTTTTTTTCCCCAGAAAAACTATATACGTGAGGGGGAAGAGATACTTATGACATTCTAGATATTACTCTGTGGGGTCAAAGGAAACAATAAATAAGAGACTGCAAGTATCTTGCCATGCTTTCTGATATTTTTTTTCTGGCCTTATCACACATCTTAACTGCCCATGGTTTCCTTATCAGATGACCCAGTTTTAGTAGAAGGAACCAGCCTGTCAATCAAGAGTTGGAGAGGTGGTTAGAGTCTGGTCCCAGTTCTGCCACTACATTTTACCTTGGATTCCTTGAACCAGGCAATCTAGTTTAAAGTCTATAATTCTATCTTTGCCTAGACCCGTGGTTGGCAAACTGCGGCTCGTGAACCACATGCGGCTCTTTGGCTCCTTGAGTCTATTTTGACCCCTTGAGTCTATTTTGAACCACAGCCTGGGCAAGTCTATTTTGAAGAAGTGGCGTTAGAAGAAGTTTAAGTTTAAAAAATGTGGCTCTCAAAAGAAATTTCAATCACTGTACTGTTGATATTTGGCTCTGCTGACTAATGAGTTTGCCGACCACTGGCCTAGACTCTGTTAATTCTCCCTGCTGGACCATCAACAGCCCAGCCATTTGGCAGCAGCAAGTAGAATTAAGACTCATCCTTCCGTCCATTAGTTTCTTCAAAGATTCATTAAGCATCTACTCCCAGACCCATCCCAACCTCTATGCCAAGTACCTGAGAAAGAGATATTAAAATATCACTCTTTGCTCACTTGAGGAACTTGCTGTTTAAAAAGAAAGACAGCTAGGTCAACAAATGGCTGGAAGATAGGGTGGTGAGTGCTTATGATTGGGAGTGTCAGGGAAGGCTTCCAGAGGAGACGCCTCTAAGAGAAGAAAGGAACAAAATGAGACAGGTGAGGGAGGGACATTTTAGACAGGGTACAAGATGTACAAAAGCTGGGAAGTAAAAGACAGTGAGGTATGCACTCTTTCTTGGAACCTGAGGAGTTTGTTATAGCTGGGACAGTGAGATATGGAGGGAAGGGAAAGTGGAGTTGGTAAGTCTAACTTTGGACACGTTGAGCTTGGGATTTTGGTGGAAACTTGGAGTATGTTTGTCCAGTAGGCAGCTGTACACAGAGCTGAGATGTGGTTTAGAGATAGAGAAGTCATCAGCACGAAGAGGTCACTGAAGCCACAGGAGCTGATGAGATCACAGGGAGGAGTGGGGGGTAGAGGAGCACGTTCACTGTGTAGTTTCAGAAGGGAGTTCACAGAAGGGAGCTCGGGTGGGCTTCAAGGAACTCATGAAGTGGGTACAACATTAAAAAAAGTCATCCATATTTACTTAGAATATTGCCTTAATACAAAATAAACTTTTAAAGTCTAATTCTATTCTAGTGCACTCATCTTCATAGCATAATAGTCTAGAAAAATTTATTTCCAGAAATAAAAGGAAGCATACTCTGTCATGACTGTTGTCTACGTGTCCTTCAGTTACTTTGGTTGGGCCTTTGTTAAGCTGAAAGATGCCAAAGCAAAGGACTAAAGCAAAGTTTATGGATTCATCTTTTGCCTTGCCATCGTCAATTAGCACAAGGACCGGCAAACTTTTTCTGCTAAGGGCCAGATAGTAAATATTTTTATTTTGCAGGCAATAAGGTTTCTGAAACAACTATACAATTCTGCTGTGTGAAACCAGCTGTAGTCAATATGTAAACTATGTGAGCATGGCTGCTTTCCAATAAAACTTTATTTATAAAATCATGTGATGGCTTTCCCCCTCCTGATAAAGTTTCAACCATTGCTTTGAAATGGTTGGAACTTTTCCAGAACTTGAATTTGTACCAATACAAAGCCTGGTCTTGAAGCCTTCTACCAGGCTGCTGGCCATACCGGAGGCAAACTTTCGCCTTAGAAGTGTGAAAGAAATTACAAACATTTTATCGTTTAGTATTCTTATGCTATCCAGAAAAACAAACAACTTCCTCCTATTATTTTAAAGCAGCTTATGGAAGAATTGAAAGTTCTGCCATTTCATTTCAGTCTGCAACTAGAGTAAACTACTATTCCATTGCACCCAGCTTCTGGGTTTTGTTTGTAATATGACTGCTGGCTTTATCAAAGTAAGACTCTTACTTTATGAAAATAATTTTTTGGTCAATCAAAAGGTGGGCTGGAATAAAAATCCGGATACCAGGTACAGCATCAATGGTGGATGGCAACACATCCGGTTATGTTGCCTAGTAAAGAACAAAGGTCCACCAACTCATTACTTCAATCACTGTGTTCTATACATTGACATTCAGGAGATCAATAACTAGAAATTTTGTTAACTTCGCTGGAACTGGGGCTGTGAGGCATTGCCTTCCAGGTGGCTTTGAAACAGTTCTCCTTTTATTAGTGTTCCAGAGAAAAGGAATTAAAGAGCATGACTGAAAATGGACAGAAATATTATTTTATAAGAGAAATAAAATCCTTGGGGGGAATTTATTAATGTTTGGCTTACTTGTAGTTAGTCCCCTTCCAAATAAATGAGGTAAATCTTTTGATTTGCAGCTCTGCAATCAATATCATGAAGGCCAAGCATTTATCTGCTGTTTTGGCTACGTTGCCATTTTAGAAGAGAAGTAGGTAAATAGATAACTATAGAAGTCTCCTAACGTTGGAGGAAGTCCTTCTGCAAACTAGAGTAAAGTGAAAAAGCCTTTGCATACAGAAGTCATGAGAAATAAAACTCTTTTGAAGGCCGTTCCTATTCAGACCATCTTAAAACGACACGATGGATTTATAATCCTTTTGCTGCCCACACAGATAAGTGTCAGAAAAACAAGCCAGCCAAAGATGACTTCATTGTCTTGAGGACAAGAGAACTGATGTGGCATAATTTTGATTAAAACATATTAGAGGATGCTGTTGCTCTCTGATACAAGTCTCCCTAGACAATTAATAGTCACCTTTGTGAAAATTATTTATTTATTTTAACATTTGTTGCTGTAAGAAAGAAAAGTCTAAATTAATTTGGCTATCAAAGTTGTTAAGTATACTGTTAAAGATCTCTATATAACTTCACTATTTTATTCAAGTCAAACAGCTACCTTCTCACTGACATTCTTGTTTAAGCAGCCTTAAAATGTACTTTTTCTTTCACTTATAATATCAAGGAATTTATTTCAATTTTTTTCAGAAGTTTGCCATTAATTTTGCATTAAAGGTTGATTAAACATGGTGGATTAACCAAATGTGTTTAATTGCCACTACCTATTAGAACGTCAAGGTGATAAAAGTAGAAGATACTCTCACCTAGGACAAAGAGAATGAGAGACAGTCTGTACAAATGAAAGATTCAAAAAGAAAAGTCCTGCCAAAACTGGTATGGCTCAGTGGATAGAGCGTCGGTCTGCAGACTGAAAGGTCCCAGGTTTGATTCCGGTCAAGGGCATGTACATTGGTTGCTGGCACATCCCCAGTAGGGGGTCGATGTTTTTCTCTCATTGATGTTTCTAGCTTTCTATCCCTCTCTCTTCCTCTCTGTAAAAAATCAATAAAATATATTTTTTTAAAAAGAAAAAAAAAAATCCTTCTGAAAGCCAGAAAGTTGCCTAATATTGCAGGACTAGCTTGCAAACTAAGCAGCTATGAGAGGTGACACCAATGAGAAGTCTGAGATACTTTGTGAAAAATATTTATCCTTATGTAAACTATTAGAATTTTCAACATAATTAAAGAAAATGTATCCAAATTTTGAGTTAATGAACTTAAATCCATTGTCTAAAAAAGACTTTCATTAGATCCTTGTAGGGAATCCATCAAAGAGAGTAAGAAAATAAGATAATATGATTTATAGACACATCTAATGGATCTTCTAATTTCATAATCTTAGTTATCAAACCGAGATATAAGCCTCAAATCATTCAAGCATTTATTGGCAAAAGGTGAGTCTGGAGCGTGGACCTCGACTCCCATGTGTCTTTCCTCTGTAGCACATGGCTTCCGTGTCACTGAACTGAAACACAAAGAAGCCTGGGTGCGGCACGTGTGAAAGCAACAATGTTGGTGGGGATCCTCATACCTGATCCTGGATACTGGAAGACGTTCTGCTGCATCTGAGGATTGATTCCAGTGCCAAACTGTCCTCCCATGTTCCCTGCCATGCCTCTGTTCACCATGCTGTTGCGGTTGGCCAAGGCGGCCTCAGGATTTGCTGCCAGCTGTGAAAACGGGCTGGTAGAAGCGGGTGGGGTTCCTGGATTTGTACCATAGTTTGGTGGGTAGGGGAATTGCTGCGGAGCACCCTGAGGAAGACGGGGGTTCCCCATTTGAACCGGCAGTCCAGATGAGGGAGGGAGGTTGTTCCCAAAGCTTTGTTGCCTCATGAGCATGGCTCTTTGCTGCTGTATTAGCTGCCTCTGTCGGTGCTGTTGGCTGTACAACTCCCGCTGGCGCTGGGCCAACATTTGGGCATTCAAGGGTGGCTGCAAAGGAGGAAAATTCTTCACTTATTATAATAATTATAATCTCTACCTATCCCGGAAAGCTTACAGGATAAAGTCTAGTAGCTTGGGGGAACAAAATATGTAGTAATTATCGGTATATAGAGGAAAATAAAACTGAAAGGGAACAAAAAAACTCTTACTACTAGTAATCACAGGAGAGAAAAATAAGTAGATTAAAGGTAGTTGAGAAATGCTAAAACACTATTATTGACTGTTAAAGTGGTTAAATGCAAATTCTCAAAAACTCACAGGACTGAGAAAAGCCAAAGAAAATACGCATTGAATAGTATTTTAAGTCATGAAAAAATGATGAAAAGAAACATTAAAACCAGAGGGGAGAGAAAGAAATGTGCTAATGACTTCCATCTTATCTAACATTAGGTTGTTAGATTTCTACTTTTCTATTTTAAAAAAATTACAGTTTCCCCCTTTTCTCAATAAGGAATAAAATGTGATTTAAAATTTTCTATATATTTTTCAGTATTTTCCAAATTATCTATAATGAACATATATTATCTTTATAGTTAAAAAACCTACAAATACCATAAAAAAGAGGAAAGACCAGAAACTCAGGATCCAATGACTAATAAATTATCATTTAAAAGGAAAATAATTATGCCAAAACTGGTTTGGCTCAGTGGATAGAGCGTCGGTCTGCGGACTGAAAGGTACCAGGTTCGATTGGTTGCGAGCACATCCCCAGTATGGGATGTGCAGGAGGCAGCTGATCGATGATTCTCCCTCATCAATGTTTCTAACTCTATCCCTCTCCCTTCTTCTCTGTGGGAAATCAATAAAATATATTTTGGGGGAAAAAAGGAAAATAATTAGAAATAAAATAATAAACAGAAATAAATGGAACCAGCTATTTTATCTCATTGTTGCAGTATAATATAACTCTAGGTATTAGAATGTTTTAAATAGCTATGATATTATGAATGAAGAAAGAAGTGGTAACATTAGGTTGAAATCACCTTTTGTTCTAATTTGCAAAGCAATATGGCATGTCAATAAAGCCTGCCTCACAAAATATCTATTCATTCAGATTGAGGATCTGATTAAAGCATATGGCTCCCTTAAAATTAAACTTGTCGCCCTAATCAGTTTGGCTCAGTGGATAGAGTGTTGGCTTGTGGACTGAAAGGTCTCAGGTTCGATTCCGGTCAAGGGCATGTACCTTGATTGCAGGCACATCCCCAGTAAAGTGTGTGCAAGAGGCAGCTGATGGATGTTTCTCTCTCATCGATGTTTCTAATTCTCCCTCTTCCCTTCCTCTCTGTAAAAAATCAATAAAATATATTTTAAAAAGTTAAACTTGTCAACTAGATATAGTCCAATCTAGAACAAACTATGACATATGCCTTTCTCGTAGAAATCATCTTTATGTTAATTCCATAATAGGGTCTTGTTTCCTTACAACCTAATTACCCTTGCACGAACTAACCCTGAGATTTATAAGACATAGAAACCCAAATCTGGATCCATAAAGATGACATCTGCTGCTTACCAGCAGCTTCTATCAGTATTTATTCTTTTGGTTAGTGCTGGCTTTCTATATTTGCCCCAAATCCATCTAGGTCCATTTTATGGAGAAAAGAAGAATTTTGTTTGAATCCTATTTAGAGTCCTTCATCTCCCAAATGTTTGTGTCAATTTGGTTAAGAAATAAAAAAAAGTGGTTGAAGCAAAAATATTAAACTATGTGTGGAAGTTAAGATCTAGTTAACACTTAGAAGGCTGCCCAGTTCTTTTTATGTTTAAAAGTTCCAATGGCTCTGTGTTCATGTATAAGGGTCATTCAAATAAATAAAAAATAGAAAACGCTGATGCTCAGATGGACCTGAGAACACACGATAGTTAAGATAACTCGGCAATGTGACACAGTTTGGGTCAGGTTTCAGGTACCATTCTTACAGGCTCATAGCTTAGGCTTCTTATTACTAGCACTATTCAGAACAGCAATAAGCATTTTCTACTCAGTCCACTGGTATCTAATAGCAGCGACAACAATAACAATAAACAAAACAAAGAGCCCTCGGCTTTTGATCAAATATCAGTAAGGGATATCACAGATTCATTATAAATTCTTTCAAGAAGAGAGCTACACTTATAAACATCGTTAAAAGATCAGCTCACAGACCATTTCAAAGACGCTCAAGTCAACACGTTAGGAAACAGGGCTTGGGTTAGAAAAGTACTAACAGTGTTTGGTTTGCTCACATTACCTGAGGTGTAATTTGTTGCTGCATGCCTGATCTCATATTGATGCCCACAGGAGCATTTGCTGCAAACTGGTTCAAGATAGCTTGCCGATTTTGGTGTATCAACTAGAGAAAAATGGGAAAAATGAGATATCGCATTTCTACATGAAAATAAAGGTGATACAAACATTTTATTGATTACTAACAAGTTTTAGTATTGCATGTTTAGTAAGATATTCTCCATGTTTATCTGCCAAAAGGCTGGTAATTCCTAACATAGTTGCCACCTACATTAAATATGGCAGAGCATTTAAAAGAATACACACATGCACATATAGGTATGCACACAGGTACATGTGTGTGTGTTATACTTTCAAAGGTTCTGCCATAAATGCTCTACCACTAAAATACACACACACTGACACACAAAGGCATTTATTGCACTTTGAAAAAAACATGTTAATCCTTAGTTATTGCAGATAAATGCAATGATGAAGAGAAAAGCTCTAGGTCATAAAATTACTGTGAGTAAAAACATAAGTATATAATTGGGCATATTCCACAAAGGTCTGGAAGATAAATGGAAAAGTTGATGGACTTGTCACTTTGAGGGTGTCTGTCTAATGGGTATGTATCTGGGGAAAATCCAACATGATTTCATTAGCTGAAGAGAATTATGTAAGGAACAAATGGTCTGAGAAAATGAACTATTTATTTAACTGGAAGAAGTAATTACTTTAGACCAGCAGTTCCCAAATTGGTGTTCTAAAAGAACATTGTTCTGCAGGATATTAATAGATGTGCCAGGAAAACAGCATGTTGTGCTGTATTAAGTACTGGGAATGATGGGTTACACAAGGTGAAACAGATTTCTTTACTGCAGTAATGCTATGGGTACATTGAGGGTCTCTAAGAAGGGGATAGACTATGCAACTTATTTATCACAAACCTTTTTTTCTGATATATAGCCGTTAACAATATCTCCCAGAACAGTGGCCAGCAAACTGCGGCTCGCGAGCCATATGCAGCTCTTTGGCCCCTTGAGTGTTCTAATACTACTTCCTCAAAAATTCTGCGCATGGGCCATGAAGTTTCAATCACACTGTATGTGCGCGCCTGCACATGGTATTTTGTGGAAGAGCCACACTCAAGGGGTCAAAGAGCCGCACGTGGCTCGCGAGCCGTGGTTTGCCGATCACTGGCCTAGAACCATCTTCTATGGAACACTAGTTTGGGAGATGCTATCTATATTCAGGCTTAGGGTTCCAGGTCACAGAACCCTCAGCCTGAATATGGTCAAAGAGCCACACGTGGCTCGCGAGCCGTGGCTTGCCTCAACTTTCAGGTAACAAGACAAGCATCCTTGCAGTTTATACCTCATTATAAACAATCTATAGCAGGGGAGGGGAACTTTTTTTTTGCCAAAGGCCATCTGGATGTTTAAAACATCATTCCTGGGCCATATAAAATTATCAACTTAAAACTTGCCTGCTATATTTGGTCAGACATTTAATCAACTCACTCCTAGTGCCTTGGAAGGATCAGACCGAATGATTTTGTGGGCCTTCTATGGCCCATGGGCTGGACGTTCCCCACCCTTGATCTATAGCTTAAAGATCAAGTGTGGTGATGCATACATACAGACATCTATAGCAATGCAGACAGACCAATAACCAGCATAGGCATGAAGGCAGGGAACAAGTGCCAAGTGAGCTCAATGGGAGCTTTAAAAGGTTAACTTCAGGCAGAAAGAAGAGCAAGTGTAAGAAAACAGAGACGGCAGTGAGGATAGGCGAAAATACTTTAATACTTAGTGATGCAGAGAAGAAAAACTGCTAGGGGAGTGAGAGCTGGGATTCCAAATTTGTAGCTTTATATATCTTTTCAATTGTGAGATATAGTGACAATGAAATGGGTGGGGATGGAGGAAAGATGACTGAGAAGTTGTAAAAAAAAAAAAAATAATAATAACCTTAGAAAAGAAATAGGCTATTTTTAGTAGAAGGAATTATTCTAAATAGCAGCAATCTATCAGCACTTTCTGTTAAAGAAAAATTGATTGATTTCTGCCCATAAAATAACTCGTGTTATATTATCTTCCCCTTCCCTTGACTGTGTGTACAACTGTGTTACTCTGACCTGGTACTTCTCTCTGATTACTAAAATGATACTCATTTTCCAGCAAGCAGGTCAAGTTCTACTTCTTCGAAGGAAGTCTTCCCAAAAGATTCACCATCTCCTTTAACTCTTTGGAAATCTTAACTTTTGGAGTTTGGGCATGAAAGGGGCTGGTAGTCCTTAAAGCTAGGGACACAAATTCAAAAGCCTATAAAGGACAGGTCAGCCGAAATCGATTTTGCTCAATGGATAGAGCGTTGGCCTGCAGACTGAAAGGTCTCGGGTTCGATTCCGGTCAAGGGCATGTACTTGGGTTGTGGGCACATTCCCAGTAGGGGGTGTGCAGGAGGCAGCTGATCGATGATTCTCTCTCATCGATATTTCTAACTCTCTGTCCCTCTCCTTTCCTCTCTGTAAAAACTTCAAAAAAAAAAAAAAGGGGGGGGGGGCGGGTCAAAAGGCTTGTTGTATCACAAAAGGAAATATGGGGCTCGTGTGGAAAAATACATACCGAGCCTATGCATATAAAACACACACAAACATGTACATGTGTGCACATACACACACACACAGCACAGGACAGCTGCCATTTTGTCTGCCTGAATGGGCTTTTTTTCAATGCCTTAGCAAGAAGTCCTTCTATAGTAACCTAAAAGGTGATTATCTGGCCCAGAGGTTCTCAATCAGGGGTGATTCTGTCCCCACGGAGGACATCTGGCAATGCCTGAGACATTTTTGGTTGTCACAACCTGGGGAGCGGTTTCTATGAGCATCCGGTGGGTAGAGGCCAGGGAGGCTGCTCAACACCCTTCACTGCATGAGGAGTACCCCTCCCCCGCTAACAAGACTCACCAAAACGTTAGTAGTGCCAAGGGTGAGAATCCTGATACAGCCACTGCATAAATTCTTATAAGCCAAAGCGTTTTTGTTTTGTTCTTTAAGTTTATTTGGGCCAAACGCTGGGGATCTACGCTGGGGAATAAGATCTCAAGTGCTTACCCAAAAAACTTATTTTATTAAAGAAGCTTATTCTTTTATCAGGCAGTTTTTGCCAGAAATCTGGAGGTGAAATCTGCTCCTCTGTAGTTTCTGCTCTTTGACCTTAGTTCTATTTTCTGGTTGCTTCTATTCTCCATCTATCTATATAATAAAAGCCTAATATGCAAATTGTCTCCTTGACTGGGAGTTTGTTTGTTTTTGTTTTTTTAAATTGATTATGGTATCACATAATTGTCCTCATCCCCCATTCCCTCCCCACCCCTCCCCACGTATGCCCCCAACCCCCTGTTGTCCGTGACCACTGGTTAGGTTTATATGCATGCATACAAATCCTTTGGTTTAAAAAAAAAAATATATATATATATATATACATATATATATATATATATATATATAAATAATTTTGTTTATGTTTACTTTCTATATTTCAAAATTCTTAGTATGTTGATGGTATTCGGTATTCTTTTTTTTTTTTCTATAGTGATATAAATTTATTCACTTAAAAATATACAACCTGTCATATAATGGAATTTAAGACAGAAGAAAAGGTAGATATGTTCCACTTTAGTTCACCAATTTGATCCCAACTGAATTTACCTGTATAATTTTAAATAATTCATTTAAACCTTAATTTCCTGATTTTATCAGGTACTATTAATGCCAACACTGCCATTTACTCTCCTCTTCTTCCTTTATGACAGAATAGGATTTTACTCAGCTAATTATCCCAAATCACACATCTCCACGAGTACTCTAAGTCAATCCTTGCCAGCAATTGGTTAAGGTGTACAAGTGATTCAGTTCTGGCTAGCCAAACATGTGAAGTCTTTTTTTGTTTTCCTTTTTTGGGAGTGAGGGATGGGGAAGTGGGGAAGAAGGGACTAGAGCCTTTTGAAAGTTTCATGGTTTTTAAAGCAAGATGCATAGGGAAAAGATAGTCTTGTTTTCCCCTGCTAGCTAGTTTTGTTTGCATGTGGTATTTGTAACCATGGCAGCCATTCTTCCAGTTACCAAGGATGACAGGGTGAAAAGACAGAAAGAACCTGGGTCCTTGATAACACCCTTATGTCTCTGAAGTAACCACCCCCGGACATTTCTCTATTTTGAATCATCTCAATATTTGAGTAAAAATATATTTTTCTGTTTTACTACTTCGAGTTGAGCTTTCCTCTTTCTTTATTGCTGAGCTAAGCCTTGGCCAGACCTCCCTCACAGAGAAGACTGCAGGGAAGAACCACTATGTACTGAGTGCCCCTCTGCTGAACAGAAGGACTTACAGCCCTGAACCCAAAGAATAGGTCTGGATATCGTGGCTCCTTAGGTAGCAGAGTTATTGTTTTACATGGCAGTATATGTTTTTTCTTTTTGTGTGAGGAGGCTTAAAACATAACATGCCCCAAACTCCGTATTTCTCCAATTTGATGGATATTTATTTCACTCTGTTGGGCTACCAAGATCTCCAAACTTTGGACATGATTCCATAATATTTAAAGGAAGCACAGAGGAGCGATGTTGACCTATTTGTGTCTTTATTTCAGATACATTCTTTGCATGACTACTCTGCTTATCAGCTGCTTTAGAGCAAATCAAAGCAAAAACAAATTTTTTTTTTCCTGAGCTAAGTATGAATTATCATTTCATCTAGTCAGGAACCTGACCTAGATTGTTGAAATGGTCTTGCTCACTGAGCCTGTAACTATAGACAGGATTTACTGAACTCTACTCTGTGAAATGAGGAAATCAGCATACCTACACTTTCCTCTCCTCTTTTGGTTTAGCACTTGTCACTTATTGCTGTTAACTTTTGGTTAATTATACAGTAAATACCCTAAGCTGACTATAAGTTCTCAAAGTTGCCTGTGTCATTTTTTCTTTGTATTCCTCAAAATAGCTATCATAGTTCCTTTAAATATGTTTTATGAAAAATGCAAGGAACTATTATTTCCTCTTCTTATGCTATCTTAAAATGAACAAGTTATAACAAGAAGTAGCTTATCTTTATCTTATTTTCAGAGCATATTACTATTCCTTTTCTTTGTTTTTCTTTTCTTCCTTCTCTCCCCTTAATTCCTCATTGAATCCTTTATTCCAACCCAAGATTTATTCTACCATTGTTATTCTACCATTAAAATTTTTCCTATCTCATCTCTCCCTTTCATCATCTTTTTAAGTAAAATGAAAGTATATTATAGTATCTATACTTATTGAGTATAATTTTATAATAGCTAGCATTTATTAAATGCGATAAGATGCCAGTATTATGCTAAAAGCTTTACATGCATTATCTCATTAATGCACACAACCACCTATGAGGTAAAGGAATTAGTTACTAGAATCTTTTTATAAATGAGGACCCAGAAGCTTTAAAAAAGCAAATAAATTGATTGTCCAACCACCTAAGTTAAGGTTAGCACTAGGATTTGAAACTAGAGCTTACTCTTACCACCATTACATCATACTGACTTTCTAATTTTTCTTCCTTCCTGAATTAGTAAGGCTCCAAGAAATATCATTAAATAATTAAAAAAAATAATCTGAAAAAATATACACATATGGTTTAAAAAATACAAAATACAGAAGGATTAATATGAAGAAAGAAAAATCTACAGCCCCAGTCCCACTTCTCAGAGATAATACTTTTACCATTTGCTTTATTTGGCTCCTGATGATTCTCTCTATACCTGCTGCTTATACAGACTTAAATATTTATGCCACTATAACTACTCATTATCTGTCATGAGAGAGATTTAACTCACCCACAACCCCAAAACTCTTCTCTCCTCATACTCCTAATATAATAACACCACTCCAATTTCAAACAACATAAATAAACTTCACTTTCTGCTTCAATAATCATAAATAGTATTTCCTGATATCCTATAAATTAAACTGTGTTTCTCTTTATTGATTTAATAATTGTATGATGTTCGTCCTAATATTTTTTTATCTCAAAAAACAAGATTAACTGCTTTTAAATTGTAGGTCTCCAAGAATTTTGTTATGAGCCAGCCTTTTAATTGAATGAATTCGTCCCCTTTTCTTATCCTAGCAAATCACGGATGGTGTTTTTGAGTCTTTCATAACGATCCTGGGAGTGAACTTAACACCTTTGTTGTAGCAACTGGGCTGTCTTATTATAAAGAGAGCACGTACCTTTAAAAAGTACCGCCTGCTAAACACGAGCACTCACCTGCTGTTGCCCCTGTAGTCGCTGTTGAAGTTGAAGTCGAAGTTGGTTGGGTGCAGCCGGAGGTCTGTTCAGAGTCTGCCTGGGCTGCATGCCCATGCCAGGTGAAAACGTGCCTCGGGGAGGTGTTACTTGAACAGGCATAGACCCCAGTGAAGGCTTTTGCCTGACCATGCCTTGGAAAGGGCTAGTGAGACTGGCAGTGGGTGAAGGAGAAGAATAAGGCTGGGGATAAAGGTTGGGTCTTTCTTCCATCATTAAAGGTGGTGTTGCTTGTTGTGGTGGAAATCTCTCTGATAATACATCCAATCCACCTCCCTGTTAGAAAATAAGAGAGGTTATTTTAGACACATTTCTGTCAATAAGTGACATGTTTCTCTATGTAACTTTGGATTTGACAGCATCTCTAGAAAGTTTCATCATAATCTATTCATACTGAATTCATGAAGCTCTCCAGATGTTTACTACTTAAAGGAACTACCTCCGACAGTTACTTTTGAAATGGAGTAATAGATTGAGATGTTTAGATTTATTTTTTTAATTTTTTAAAAAAATTTTTATTGTTTAAAGTACTACATGTTTATTTTCCCCCCATAACTGACATGTTTAAAATCTCAGTAAAGAAATGAAAATGCAGTTAAAATGAAGATCCTAAATCAATGAAATGAAACAAAAAGGTTTAAAAAGAACTTCATTGCAAAGCCTAAGAATCAATAAACTTTATATTTACTAGGTTACTACACAGGTAGCTTACTAAAGGAGGGATGAGCCGAAACCGGTTTGGCTCAGTGGATAGAGCGTCGGCCTGCAGACTGAAGGGTCCCGGGTTCGATTCTGATCAGGGGCATGTACCTTGGTTGTGGGCACATCCCCAGTAGGGGGTGTGCAAGAGGCAGCTGATCGATGATTCTCTCTCATCGATGTTTCTAACTCTCTATCCTTCTCTCTTCCTCTCTGTAAAAAATAAATAAAATATATTTTTTAAAAAATAAAAAATAAATAAAGGAGAGATGAGTCAGGCATTTTTATATCTTAAATTTACAATTCATGTTTTTACCTTATTTGAAAAAAATTCGTAGTTCACCTAATAGAATGCTGTACAGGTGGGTTTTCCTACTTGTTTACTATTATTCATTCTAAGAAAAATAATTTAAATTGTGACCTATTGTTTGTAAAAAAGTGTGTGTGTGTGTGTGTGTGTGTGTGTGTGTGTAACTAAAAGGAGAGTTTCAAGAAGCATAACTCCCTCTGGGCATTGAAATATGGAAAATATAGGTTGAAGACTAGCATAAATAAAGGATATATTAAATCCTAAAATAAGAAGTGAGGTATGAATCTGTATTCTGTTCTAAGGAGAGCTTCTAAGATTGTTTCATAGTGAAAGGCTAAAACTTTCTAAGACTATTATTACTACTACTATTTTGTGTAAAATCCCATTATTACCTATTACCTACTATTACCTATTATATATCTTGTTAACTTCCGTAAGGGTAAATTATAAAACACAGTGAGAACAATACTGAAAAATCTTGCTTAAAAACCATTTTCTAACTTCTCAGGGATGAATCATTTAAAGAATGCCAACTTTAGTACACACCTGAACAAGTTTGTCAATTCCCAGAGCTCTGTCTAATTCAGCCAACTCAGTTTCATCTTTGCCACTGAGGAAAGACACCAGCTGTTCGAGAAGCGCCTTCTCATCATTTCTTCCTTCTACTGTTGTTGGTGGACAGAGAAGCTCATCTAACTGTGAACTAATACACTGGCTGCAGAATTAAAGGATAGAGTTTAAAACTGTAGAGCAAACAATTATCCAATCTTAAGAAAGCAAATACAATATAAATATACATGCAAATCTAGTTCTAGAAAAATTTGATACACTTAATGTGCAGAAGTTTATGAACGTATTTTTTATTATTTTGCCAATCACTGTACTTTGTCTCCATTTTTTTCATGTTAGCTTACAGAACTACTCTAAAAATTAACCAAACAGTTAAGATAGGGAAAAAGAACTTTTAACAAAAATAGAAAATAAAAACCTCAGAAAAAAATAACTTAGCCTATATTAAAATGTGTTCTGCCCTGGCCGGTGTGACTCAGTTGGTTGGAGCATTGTCTGGTAGACCAAAGCACTGGGTTCGATTCCTAGTCAGGGCACACACCTAGGTTGTGGATTTCATTCCAAGTCAGAACATATAGGAAGACAATCAATCAATGTTTCTTTATCTCTCCCTCTCCCTTCCCTTCTGTCTAAAAATCCATAACCATGTCCCCAGGTGAGGATTGGAGGAAAAGATTTATTCATTGAATGGGTGCTATTAATTATTGATAACTGAACCACAATCAAAATAGTATTCATTGCATTACCTAACTTTCAAGGATGATCAGATCATATTGATAACATTACATGATTGCCATTTTAAAAAGAATTCAAACCAGAAAAATGAAACATGCTTGGTATTAAGCAATAAAACAAATAGTTGATTACATGCAGGAAATATGTAATAAATATAATCCAAACCAATATCAAATGATGCACAAAAATTAGAAAGATATAGAAAATAATATTAATATAATAATGCAATTATAGGGATTCTTCTTTGGAGAAGGTAAGTGGGAACACATTTCATGTATTCACAGTTAAGGCTTTAAACCATACTCAATACTATCTAGTCACCTTTTGGTTGCGATATATGAGATGTATTATTCTATGTTATGGAATAAAGCTACTTGTGTTGGTTAGAAATTAAATTCTAATCAAGAAGGACACTGAGTAGATATAGAAATTATCTTCTCTCCTTACACCCTCTTGGTCTAAACAGACAGAAAAACTAACAGAAAGCTCAAGAGTAACATAATTGTTGTACTGAGGCCGATCATAGGTCACAGAAACTTTATGGTAATCCATCAAAGCAAAGTTAAGAGATATAAAATAAACCAACAGCTGCATACTGCATCAATCTCCTGGTAATTACAATATATACTAGTTTTGCAGTCATGCAGTAAAATATCTGTTTTACTCCATCCTCCTCATTCTTTTTTTTAAGATTATTATTATCAATCACTTCTGTCAACATCTAACAAATACCAATGCATCCTGGAATACAGTTTGGGAAAAGTAGTTCTTTGTTATAGAAGTTGGTATCTAATACTTTACAAAATACAAGATATATTACTCACTCTTCTGGTTTGTTCTGATTCATAGCTGTCACTGTATTATTTGTCCATGGAATCTGATCACCTGCTCCTGGTTGTCCAAACTGGTTATCAATTGCTTCCAATTCCAGCTCAGGTAATCCTGATTAAAGAAGCAAAGGTAAGAAGTCAGTGTCACAATGAAAGATAAAATGACAATTTTTCAGAAGTAATATATATAGTACAATAGAGTGAGATTTCAATTATATAATATTACCTCAATGATACAGAGGTCACTTATTCAGAAACTTAAATTATCTAGAAGGTGGCCACATAATGAGAAATAACAAAGTGAGAAAAGGTCTGTGAATCAAAGAAAACCTGATGTTAAAAAGTTTGCACAAAAGTTGATGTTACCATGGGAGAGTCATTCCAGAGTATAGGAAAATTTTCAAAGATAATTATAACAATTTTAGTTAATTGATTTTTCAGTTTACAGCACATAAGAATAGTAGTATATATAAGTAGGGACAGTGTTATTATCATGGTCTGAGAGCTGTAAGCAAAAGGTAAAATATACTATATAAAAGGCACAAACTAAAGGCATAGCCTCTAGGGTCATTCAATAAATGGACAAAGCTCTATAGTTGTTAATCTGAATATATAATCTTATATAATTCCTATATAATAGAGAGATGATATGCAAATTGACCCTCGAACCCTCACATCACAAGATGGCCCGCCCCCTCATGTCATCATAAGATGGCTGCCACAAAGATGGCCACCCCATGTCATCACAAGATGGCTGCTAAAGATGGCCACCCCACGCCATCACAAGATGGCCGCCCCCACATTGTCACAAGATGGTCAGCCGGGGAGGGTGACCAGGTCTGCAGGGGAGGGCAGTTGTGGAGAACCAGGCCTACAGGGGAGGGCAGATGGAGGTGATCGGGTTGGCAAGGGAGCAGTTAGAGGTGTCAATCATGCTGGCAGGGGAGCGGTTAAGGGGATATCAGGCTGGCAGGCAGAGTAGTTAGGGGGCAATCAGGCAGCCAGGCAGGTGAGTGGTTAGGGACCAGCAGTCCTGGATTGTGAGAGGGATGTCCGAAGTGTCCCAGATTGGAGAGTGTGAAGGCTGGGCTAAGGTACTCCTCTCTCCCCGCCACCCAGTGCAGGAATTTCGTGCACCGGGTCTCTAGTAGTATAATAATTGAGGCTTATAATGACAAATGAAAAAAAGAGATTGTTTTGTAATGGAAGAAAACAGTATATGTATTTTAGAAAGTTTTGGTGGGGGAATTTTTTTGAAAGCTTTGATTATTTATGAACCACTTATGTAGGAAAAACACTGTAAATAAACAAATTCTAGAAATTTAGGGACTGATAAATATATTATGGAATATATAATTATAATGTGCTGTTAAATGAAAAAAGAGAAAAGCATAATCCAACATATTATGTTCAGATTAATTCTAGTTTTACAAATTATTTCATATATTAACACAAAAAAATTCTGTTAGGCTCTTTATCCTTGGTAGATTTCAGGTAGTGAGATTAACAGTAACAGTTATTCTCTTTTAAGATTTCTAATGGTTGCTTATAATTTATAAAATGAACACATTAAATTATTATTAATATAAATATTAAATAATTAATCGTATGGGCTGAACTGTATTCCCTCCAAATTTATATGTTGAAGTTCTAACTCCCAGCACGCAGGTGTGAGTGTATTTAGAGATGAGTAAGTTAAAATAGGGTCATTAGAGTGGGCTCTGTGACTGGTGTTCTTATAAGAAGAGAATAAGACACAGACAACAGAGACAGAGGGACTACCAACTATGAGGACGCTGCAAAAAGGCGGCTATCTGCAAGCCAGTGAGAGAGTCCTCAGAGAAAACCAAACTTGTCCACACCCTAACTTTGGACTTCTAACTTCCTGAACTGTGGGGAAATAAAGTTGTTGTTTAAGCCACACAGTATGTGATACTCTGTTATGGCAGACCGCCAAGACTAATACAATTTTAAAAAAATCAAAGTATAGTTAAAAACTGATAGAGAAGAGGGTCGAGGTGACTTAAAATTCTTCATTACAGCTGCCTGGAAATCTTGGTAAACTTTCAGGAATTGTGTCATGACAACTAAAAGCTGCTGTAAGACTGAAATAAACGAGTCTTACAAATGGATCCTATCAGAAGAAAGTTAAGACAGGCCAGGAACCCAGGTAAATTTTGAAAGTGAGCTGGTCAGTTTCTTTTAATTTCCAAGACACACAATGGAATTATCACCACTGTGTGTGTGTTTTTCAACTTCAAAATGAGATAGATGAAAATATCTGACAATTCTATCCTCATGAATTTGAAGTGTTATACTATTGAAGTGTTTCCCTTTTTTTGTACATAAAGTTTAGAGCTCCTGTATTAATTATCAAAACTTAAAAACATCAGCTATGTCCTTCAACAGAAGAATGGATAAATTATGGTTCATCTATACAGTGGAATTTAATACAAGTGAAAAACGAGATGCTATCAGACCACAAAAAGACATGGAGAACATCACAAGTGTTTAATTAGGAGAGTGCTAACATGCTAGAGTAGTAGTGAATTATTGCAACACAGTTGTCTCCTAAACAGGGCTCCATGGAAAATTCATTCTGTGGGGTAACGTGTATTTCCTGAGAAAAGGAGTTCCATAATCAAGAAAGAAATTAAGTGCAAAAAATTAAACTCATTTCTTTAACACGTCTTAAAACCTGTAATATGCATTGTGAAATCTTAATGAGGAATGATATATGTGCCAGGTAGCATTTGGTTCAGTGTACTTTAGCACAAAGTCCCGTTTTCCCAACTCTTAGGACTAGTGTTCAAGACACTTTGGGAAACAAAATCTGACCCAATTACTATATTTCTGAAAGCCCTGCTATGGAACGTTTTGGATAAGATTACAAAACTTCGTTCCTTAACATCAACTGTTCACCTTAACATTAATTAAAAAAAGATCTTATTATACTGTAATTTAAAATAAACAAGTTGAGCCAGAGTGGCTCAAGTGGTTGAGGATCATCGTATGCACCAAAAGGTTGCTGGTTCAATTCCAGGTCAGGGCACATGCCTGCGTTGTGGGTTTAGTCTCTACGGAGGGCAACCTATTGATGTTTCTCTCACACCGTGTGTGTCTCTCTCTCTTTCTTCCTCTCTCTAAGCATGTCTTCGGGTGAGGATTAAAAAGTAAAATGAATGAATAAGTAATAAATAAATACACAAGTTGAATGAAGGTTGTATCTCTAAGTGTAACTATATTATTTACAGTGGCATTAATAAAAAGGTATTTCATTCTTGAACAAAAGCTCTGTGCAATAACAGTGACTCATTAAACATTGCAAATGAGGAGTCTGTCCCCCACACATACTATTCAGCCTGGGAGTGGGTCTGGCAGTGGAGGCCTGAAGTGAAGCTGGCAGGATCTCTGACTTGATGGTCACACTGCTGACCGCACCATCCATCCTCTCTGTCTCACATAAGCCTGGCAACGGGGCTGCCTTCTCCAGCGTGGGCAATAACTGATCAAACTGGTCAAGGTCAGCTGTAAACTAAGAATGGAAACCAAAGTTAGAGAAAGTATGTTCTATACTTTCACCAGAAACAATGTAGAAAAAAAGTCGCTCCTTTAAACTCTATGAATTAAAGGTAGCTATGAAAGAAAGAAGAAAGAAGAAATAAATAGAAAGACTGAGACCTCATTGAAATTATAATATGACCTAACTATTCCACTGGAAAAAAAATTTGAATGCTTATGATATTAATATACTGCAGGATACAAGATAATATACATATCGTATTTATCTAACATATCTCTGTATAAGACTTACACATAGGAAAAAGATTGAACTGGAAAGAAGTGTTAAGAATACTGTGATAGTTATCAATAATAGTTATCAAGGGTAATTTTTTTGTCATATTTTTTTTAAAAAATTATGAAATGAATTACTTAATGATGGAATAAAAATTTACATATGTATTTACATTAATATTATTTGTCTTCTAGGATAGATAGGGAGTCCCAGTACCTGTCTGAGGTTATGCAAAGAAGAAATTTTGCCTTTATTTCACTGTATTCTTCTTCTATGATTATTCTGAGACAAGTCATTAACATAAAATGTCTACCTATTTGTATTTCATTACTTAATTCAACTAAAACTTAAGAGTTCTAGATTGTATAAATAGAACTATTTGTATGTATTTTTAAATGTCTGGCTTCTTTTACTTAACATCTTGCTGCATGTAGTATAGTACCCCATTGTATGAATGTGTCACAGTATATCCTTCTACTGTGATATATTTGGGGGTGTTTCCAGTTTGGGGCTAGTACAAATAAAGCTATTGTGAACATTTTTGAATGTGTCTTTTGTTACAAATAATACTAACCATAAAGTAAAAAAGTGACAACTGAACTACATTAAGATGAAGCACTTCATAAAAAATCACCAACAAGAGAAAGAAAAGGCAAGCCATGAAACAGAAGATTGCTGCAAATATAAAACTTACCTAAAGTACATAAAGCACATAAAGAACTCTTAAAAGTCATTAGGAAAATGACAACATACTGGGCGAGACATTTGAGTAGGCAATTCACAAAAGAAGAGATCCAAATGACTTGTGCACATTTATTAGAGAAATTGAAACTATGAGACACACCACACAGACCCAGAAAGGCTAAAAAAAAGACTGATAAGACCAAATATTAGTAAAAATATGGGACAACTAGAAGGAATTCTCATACACTAGGAAAACTGGACTTATCTACTACTGATGAGAACATTATTATCTTATATTTCTGCAAATCCAACTTTAGGGATGAACTGAGCAAAAATGTGTGTGCACGTGCATCAAAGCAGGTGTACCAGGATTGTACACAATGGCGTTATTTAATACAGCTATTACTTTTAAAGTTAATTTTATAATTTTAAATTTTAATACAGTCATTTTTTAAACCTGTTTTCAGCTTAAAAACATGACTTTTAGCTTAGTTGTACTAAAAAACATGAGAGAAAGCCCTATCCTCAAAAAGCACACAAATAACCAAAACAGTGTTATTACAATAGTAAACAGAGACAGCCCAGCCACTGTCTAACTCGGGCGACCGGGGAAGTTGTAAGAGATGATGTCTGGGTTGGTTTGAGAAGATGGGCTCAGCAGACACAGAAAGGGGGGCAAGGTAGAAGATGCTTAGAAGAGGAGCTTATCCCAGGAATGGCAAGGACTTCCATGTGCCTAGAGTACAATATATTTGAGGGAGAGAGAGCTTTTTGTAAGACGAGAGAAGAAAATAAAGCTGGTTCAAGAAAAAGGACTTATGCATACTGATTTTGAATCTTGTCTCACAACAGAGTCTTATTGATAACCTGCTTTGTCAATATATTTTCAGCTATTTTATGGATGTCTATGTTCTGTGTAAATAATTTGTAAACTCCTAAGAGGAAGGACCATATTTTCTGTTTTAAGTTCCTTCAGAATCCACAGCAATTATTCAATACAGGAAGCTGCCTGTTAATTTTTACCCGCCCTTGCCCCAGTCTAAGCATAGAGGTATTGATTCCATAATAATGTATGCAAAGATTTATTGACATTTACTTCTGCTTCTGGGCATGTTACATACCCTACTACCCAGAATTATTTAAGTCCTTATTCTGACAGGGATTGAGTATGGTTAGAATTAGATGAGAAGAAAAACAGCCTTAGAAAATGTTTCACAAGAAACGAAACAGCAAAACAAGACAATCTGGGCGGCCTCCTCTACTTTTTCATTTCTCTCCCCTGTCATTTACATCAGAGTTTCCCAAACTTAGCTACACATCACAGTTCTCTGGGAACTCCTTTAAAAAACAGATTTCTAGGTTCTGTATTCTCAGATAGTTATATTCAACAGCTAAGGCTGCGAGGAGAGAACAGGAACGGTATTTTTTAAAATCTCCAAAGATGTGAACTCTTGAGTCTATAAAAAGAAGTATTTACTTTCTTAGAATGATGCCCTAATCTTGTAGCCCTCCAAAGTTCCGACGAGAACTTCTGAAGGCACCTTATGATTTTTCAACCGTTGATACTAACCTTTGAACATATAGCCAATGGATAGGGCAAAACAAGCCTGAATCCAAGCCAGGTTTATGACTGGTGTAAAATAAATGAAAAGGATAACTAGCAATGTTCATTCTACGAAGTGAGGTTTACCCACCTGGTTCTGGGATTCCAGTTTAATTTCCTCAGGGGCAGGTTTGGTCATTGGGGTTGGGTTTGTGTTACAAGGGTCCATCTGTTCTTTCTTTTCCACTTTCACCTTGACATCATCCAGGCTCAGGTTTGGAGTTGATCTCAAATCTTTCTCGTCTTTGTCTAAAAGGTAGCGCAGGAGCTGATGGTCTTTCGACTCTTTTTTCTTTGAAGCGTCCATTTCTAGTTTTATGGCGTTCCCTGGCACCGGTCCAGCCGCTGACACAGAAGCAGATGCACTGTCCTTTTTATCAGGCTCCACGGACAAGGTGGTGATATCCGAGGGGCTCCCCTCCTGCAGGAGCCGGTGGAGAATTTTGTGCCTTTCTGTCAGTGAGCTGTGCGAGGAGGGGCAAGACCCGCCTGAAGAGTTAGCAGAGGCAGAGTTGGAAGTGCCGGTGCAGGACAGTACCTCTTTGCAACTCGTGTCTATGTCAGCATGCCGTAACTGCTGCTCCGCCGTGGTTGTCAAAAGCTGCACTAGTTTGTGACTGGTCTGAGAGTATTTGTTGTCTCCATCGGACAGTCTGTCATTGTTATGCAGAAGCCCAGAATCCAGAGGTTTGCCATCGCCAGAGCTGTTGTCAGGCGGAATCATTTCGTTTAAAATGGATGCAATCTCTTTGTTATCTTTGGACTCAGTTTTTGCGGGCTGCATATTTAATCTGCTAGGTGAACTCTGTGAGCTTATCTGTCTGAGGACGGGAGGACTGGCTGAGAAGCCAACAGAGTTATTGGGTCCTTCACTCATACTCTGCAAAGGTGTTCCCGGGATGTTTGAATAAGACCGGTTACTGTTATTACAGGCAGGACTTGCCATGCCACCAGGGGAGCTTAATGTCGGGATATTCGGAGGAAAGGAATTGTTTGGCATCCTGGGCCTCGTTGCCAATCCAGAGCTAACTTGTCTCCTTGGAGACATGAACTGTGCGAGGGACATTCCTGTACCTTCCATAGGAGAATTGTTGAGGTTTAGAGAGGGATTAGTGCTCTGGGAATTGGCCTGCCCCTGGTTTAAGGCAACACCGGCTACAATCTGACTTCCAGGAGAGCATCCAAAACTCCCTTGGCTGTTGCTGGAATTACTGTGACTGCTGCTATGGAGGTCTGAGCTCGGCTGGCGGTTTACTCTGGTGGATACCATGTTGCTGTTGGACGGTGGTAATGAGGATGAGCGGGCCACCCCATGAGCTGGGGAGATAGTAGGATTGATGGAGGGGTTTACTCGGGGAATTGACATTCCAGGATTAGTGTCATCTTGAGGAGAAAGACCACTGTGCTCCCTAGGGGAGAAAAGACATTATTATTCAAAACATCTTTATTGGTTTCCATTCAAATATTTTTGTGATGCATATTATAAAACAAGACCTTTCACTAAGGAAAAACAGTGCACTGTTATTATTACTGGGAAATATTAACAGCAACTTAATAGGAGGTAGAGCTGTAGGTCTTATAAAGTTGATAATGGTTTCTGCTACATGGAAACCAAAATCTTTCTAGGCCTTAGAAAAAATATCCTATCTAATAAAAGAGTAATATGCAAATTGACTGTCACTCCAATTCACAAGATGGCCGCCCCCATGTGGTCAAAGATGGCTGGCTCCATGTGGACCCAATATGGCTGCCACAAAATGGCCGGCAGGGAAGAGCAGTTGTGGACAATCAGGCCAGCAGGGGAGGGCAGTTAGGAGGGACCAGGCCTGCAGGGGAGAGCAGTTGGGGGGAACCAGGCCAGCAGGGGAGAAAAGTTAGGGGCAACCAAGCCAGCAGGAGAAGCAGTTAGGGGTGACCGGGCCAGCAGGGGAGGGCAGTTGGGGTGACTGGGCCAGCAGGGGAGGATAATTGGGTGGGGGGAGGACCAGGCCTGCAGGGGAGGGCAGTTGGGGTGAACAGGTCTGCAGGGGAAGACAGTTAGAGGTAACCAGGCTGGTAGGGGAGGGCAGTTAGGGGCAATTGGGCCATCAGGGGAGCAGTTATGCATTGATCAGGCTGGCAGGCAGGAGTGGTTAGGGGGTGATCAGGCTGGCAGGCAGGAGTGGTTAGGGGCAATCAGGCAGGCAAGCGGTTGGGAGCCAGCAGTCCTGGATTGTGAGAGGAATGTCTGACAGTTGTACATCCCTCGAGAGGTCCCCGATTAGAGAGGGTGCAGGCTGGGCTGAGGGACCCTCTCCACCTCCCCCCTCTAGAATTGCATGCATTGGGCTTCTTAAACTTTTTAAAGTTTAGTACAAATAATTAGCATTTTAATAATACATAGACTTTTTAAAGTTTAGTACAAATAATTAGCATTTTAATAATTTTGGTTGAAAAATAAACCTTCCCACATCTCTGCATTTATTCATGACTCCCTTGTTAGTGCTTTTAAGTATTTCAACTCCAAAGAGGAAGATTGGGTAAGGAAAATACTGTGTCACTGATGTAAAAATTAAAAAGGGTGATATGCAGCAATAGCAGATGTTTTGAAAGAGAAATCACAATATGAAAAAAAAGAACTGTGTTAATTCTATTCACAAGCATAAATTAAACTAAAATTAGGAAAAAGCAGAATACTAAAGTTCAGATTTTCATCGAGTTTTTTTACTCAAATCCATAATTCTGACAACAGATTTGTGACTGGTATTACCATGTTCCAATAAGCAAATACATCAGAAGAGGAAAAGATGAAGTGAGGGGAAATGTCCTTGTTTCTGTTTAATGCTAAATTTTAAATACGTAGCTGTAAATGTATGATTTTGAATAATTCATAGGGTAAAAGAATGGTCCCATGAATTTATAATATATAACAATGTAAGACATGTTTAGAGAGGACAACAAATTAGGGATAATGATATTCAAAAATTTCAAGTTGATAGTTTAATGATTTGTAGTTGGAGAAATTATCAACTTGAACTCAGAAGCCATCAAAGTTTGCCCTAATGAAAAGCAAACATTTAAAAATAAAAACCTTAATAAACTCTCAAATCTTTTATAAGACCACATATGGAAAGTTGCAAGTTTTTATGCACTTTTTTTATTTTTCCTCTAGAATACGTATTTTCAGCCTCACCTTGCCTCTCTCCCTTTTAAATAACAAAGCTATTGTTAGGTGACAAAACTATAAAACCCAGTGTGGATATTTTGATTATGTATACTCATCACACAAGTTTAACACCCACTTTAGAATTTTTGTTTTCTAGCTATCAAGAGTATAAATTTTTTTTTTCTAAAAAGAGATATGAACTGACTTATTTCATATGAAGCTCTCCAAATAAGTAGTACCTGTCGATGATATGAATTCCCATGATGAAAGGCTGCATGTCTGGACTTTGAGGGTAGCAAAGTTTACACTTGGTGTGGGCGCTAAGCATTGTCCCATCATTCAATATGAATCTATAGGATGGGCTGGAGGCAGTGCCACGAGTCATCACTGTTTCAAACAAAAGAGAAACCTAGTTAAAATTCTGACACTTACACTTCGGGCAAAGGAGAGTTACCAAGCTTTACTACGACCTAGAACTTCGTTCTTACTATGCTGCCATCTCAGATTCAAAGAATAGCTCAAACAAAGCAGATCTCCGAGGGGGAAAATGATTCTGCCTGAAATACACCACCCAACGACAAGTTTTAATTCACTCCTACCTGAATGCCTGAATGGGTGCCTTTTCATGTAAGTTATGATTATGAAAAAACCCCAACCAGAAAAAAAAATCAACCTTAAACATTCCCTGTAAAAGGGCAGGTTTTTAAATTTATTGTGTCCATTAAAAATATCAGGAAATTACCTTCACCCCTCTCACTTACAGTATTAGTATGTCTAATAAGTTCCCCCCATTCCCCCTTTACTGGCTGTTTTTTTAGTAACAGCTTTACTGAGATATAACTCACATATCATAAAATTCACCCACTAAGTTTTGGTTCATTTACAGAATTTTTTAACTAAAAGTCAAATTTAATTTTTCACTAAGAAATGAATTCCTTATTGAATTCCTTACCCATCTCAATTTCAGCCAAATCAATGGCACATTTACCAAATATAACACACAAAGAAATTTAGTTTCTAATGAAATAATAGATGATGAAAAAAAAAATCACTAAGGTCCTGTTTGACAAATTATTATATATGTATTATTTTTGATGTTTGAATTTAGTTTAATAAGCAAATTAAGATAAAGCCAATGATTATTAATGTAAGGAATAAAAACTAGGTTAAAGCAGTCAACTCACCATCTAAACAACATAATTTTCTTTTATAAAAAAGCTTTTATTAACACCAGACAAAATTCTAACCATATTGGTAAGTATTTACTAAATATAGAAAGGCCATGCCAAACGACTGAGTAAGAAAATATTGATCTTTAGTAATACAATATAATCCTATTTTAAGAAAGATTTAATAGGTAGCTTCAGCTATACCAGAAACACAAGCATTACTACCACAAATTAAGATTATAATTTAGCCTGTAATAAATGCACTCCTATTTTCCAAAGACATTTCAGAAAAGACTTCCAATACATTTTAAAGACACGTGAAAAAGACTTAAAATGACATATTAATAAATAATTTCTGAAGCTATATATTACTTTAAGTAAATAGAAGACCTGTTCTATTTTATTGTCTTGTGTATATCATATAAACTGAAGAGGGAATAATCTGTTATAAATCTATACCATCTGCCTAAGTATCAAAACCAGGATATAAACTTAATTGAAACAGTTAACGATTTATGTCCAAACAACTGAATTCCTTACCCATCTTGCAATTTCAGCCAAATCACTGGCACATTCACCAAATATAACACACAAAGAAATTTGGTTTCTAATGAAATAAGAGATGATGAAAACGTCTTTAATGAAAACTAGTAATTTTTGTGTAAGACTGTAAGCAAATGTCTGCAATAGCAAACCCTAAAAAACATTAACAATTCCTGATTAATATCTTTTTGGAAAATACAATAATGATAAAAAGTGGCCTTTTGGGATATTGATAAAGCTACAGTTATATAAAGGGCCAGATAAGGCACAAGATATGTCATGTTATTTTGCGTACTGTCTGTCATTTTGTCTTTATCCTCACCACTGCCCATTGCTCCTTAGGATCTCCTATCTCTGGGAAACCCTCACTGGCTTTTCACCACTGAACTGAAGTGTCCAGTATGGTAGCCATCAATTACATGTGCTAATTACATTTAAGATGAAATAAAATTTAAAATTCAGTTCCTCGTTACATTAGCTACATTTCAAGTCATGTGGCCCGTGGCTTCCATACTGGCAGCACAGCTCTGTACGATCTGACTTTGACTTAAATTTCCAGTCTTATTTCTCATTGCTTCCTAAACATCCATTCTGTTTAGGAATAACTTTTTACACCCTTGTTTTCCTTTTTAGTTCAAATTAACATAAAGGCAAGTTTTATGCCCCATTCTTGTTTTCCACTCTCCACTGAATCTTGAACTGTGATGTTATGCGTATAAATTCATACAGTAAGTACTTGCTGATTGATTCTCAACTTAAATTTCATCTAAGTAGGGTAATATTGACCATAACTTTTCCTGAAAGGATAGATTTTAAGTTTTAGCTATGTTCTCTAACGCTTATGTCTCAATTTATGTGTCTGCTCTTCTAGGAAACTAAATTTATTTTTGTAATAGAAATGGAGACAACTTTCTTGATTTATTGATAAGAAATTTGAGGAAGAACTAGAAACTCAGGCTAACATGGGAACACTAAGACACTTAATTGGACTATGGAAACATCAATGGTCTTTGGTAATTGTGCGGCCTTAACTTGTAGGACCATATCTAAAATAGTAAAAATTCCAAAACTGGAGAAACCCTACTGATACAAGGGCATGGTTACAGTTTAATGTTTGAAGTTAGATTATTTATTTTGGGTAAGAATGTGTAGAATAAGACTTAGCACATCATAATTCACACATACTCTTTTAAATAAAAATATCAATATTCAATATAGTAAAACTTTAATTAGAACCTAATAAAAATTATCCAGTTAAATCAAATTCTTCTGGTGCTCAATTGTTCAGATGGAGAGGTTAACAGGCAGGCAAGAGCCTAGGAGTCAGATTCATGGTTGAACTTTTCAAGTTTAGGACTTAATAATGCATATTAACCTTTGCCCATCATCACTAATATAATGTTGCGAGATAATATCTAGCCTGGAGCCTAGAATAGAATATAGCAGATACTTAATGAATATTCCTGAATAAACACCCCCTCCAAAAAACAATAACAACAACAAATAAGCAGGTTCCAAATTATATATGTCCTCAGTCATATACACATTCAGCTGATCCCTAGACACCATTTACACCAATAGTTTCAACCCCATAAAACAATCACTAACCTTTTGAATTAAGATATGAGGAAGGGCCGAAACCGGTTTGGCTCAATGGATAGAGCGTCGGCTTGGGGACTGAAAGGCCCCGGGTTCGATTCCGGTCAGGGGCATGTACCCTGGTTGTGGGCACATCCCCACTAGGGGGTGTGCAAGAGGCAGCTGATGGATGACTCTCTCTCATGGATGTTTCTAACTCTCTATCTCTCTCCCTTCCTCTCTGTACAAAATCAATAAAATATATTTAAAAAAAAAAAAAAGATATGAGGAAGGAAGTCACAATTGTTTACAGAGCTGTTTGTATGAACGTTTGCTCTGCAAGTCAAATTATCCTCATAAGTGGGTTTCAAGATTTAGGCCTGGACAAAACTATCTGAAAACTCACGATCACAAGTTCTGGCCTTGTTTTCTGATCTAGTTTTGCCAGGCATATAGCTACCGTGTTTCCCCAAAAATAAAACATCCTCCAAAAATAAGACCTACTTACAAGTTTCCTTCTGAGTGAAATATAAGGCATCCCCCCCGCCCAAATAAGGCCCCCCCCAGGCTCTGTCTCAGAATGAAAATTAATTTACCGTAAACTTTGTGAAACCTAAACTATAAGTTAGACTTGGGTGAAGAATTCATGGGAGAAAATCATTGACAGTTGCATTGCAAATGCACTGAAAGCAGGCTACCTTGACAAGAAGTACTCATTTAAAGACAGTACTATTGCTAAACATGAGAGATTTGGTCCACTGATTCTGAAAGAAATGGAGTCACAAGAAATTCACCAGGAAATTCAGGAATTGGATTGTTATGATGATGTTCTAGAAGATGATGACATGATTGTCATTGAATAAATGAGTAAATTCTTGAAACTGTAGGATTCACAGTTTGTCTGGTTTGTATTGACAACTACTGTACTACTGTACCGTATATAGGTTATAAATTTCCTTTATTTTCATTTAAAAATAAATGTGTACTGTATTCTTCTTCATGGAAAAATAAGACATCCCCTGAAAATAAGACTTAGTGCATCTTTGGGAGCAAATTTTAATATAAGACACTGTCTTATTTTCAGGGAAACAGGGTAGTATTTTGATCCCTAACTTCTGTGTCCATTTCTAAAACTTTAGAACACTTAGTGAGAAGGACTATTATTATTGACATCCCAAAACCTCTTTAAAGAACCTTTCAAATGGCAACTGTTTTTGTTGTCTTACCCCTCCTACTTCCCCTCCCAGAATAGGCCTCAATAGAGCTACAAAGCAAAGGGAATCGCTTTCTCTGGTTATAGCAGCTGAGAAATAGAGATACCTGTTTTTTTTACTCCACCAAATTTGATGCTGAGTAAACCTCAACAACCACGTTAACTAAATGGGCAGGTTAAAAAAGTGTGTGGCCGGGACCGGTTTGGCTCAGTGGATAGAGCGTCGGCCTGCGGACTGAAAGGTCCCGGGTCCGATTCCGGTCAAGGACATGTACCTTGGTTGCGGGCACATCCCCAGTGGGGGGTGTGCAAGAGGCAACTGGTCGATGTTTCTCTCTCATCAGCGTTCCTAACTCTCTGTCCCTCTCAATTCCTCTCTGTGTAAAAATCAATAAAATATATTAAAAAAAAAAAAAAAAAGTGTGTGGCAGGATACCACAGGTCAGTGCTGGTAGAGATTTCTTCTTCTTTTTGGTATTTTTCTAGATATATTCAGAAATAATGCAATTTTAAAAACTGTTATTAAGGTAAAGGAAAAAAAATTAATCCTAGATGGTTGAAGATTTTTAATCACCAATGAATAAACTCTATTCAGTATATCAAAATTTAAAAAAAAAAAAAAAAGGTAACTCATATTTTAAATTTTCTAAACAAAATTTGACATAAAAAAGATTTTAAGTTAAATCTGTTATATGGACCTTGGTTTCACCCACATTACACAAGTCTCAAAGAACATTCTTGCTTAAATATTAATCACTATATATGGGCATTAATCATTTATATGAGTATTTATGCTTCACAGCAATGCTTCCAAACTTCTTGATCCTATAAACTGCTTCCAACTGTCTTGTAATATTTTTTCATTGACATTATTTTGTGATTATAAAGTTAAGATAATAGAGAAATGAGCAAGAACAAGTAAAGGCATTTGTAATCCATCACCCAGAGATAAGCACTGTTAACATTTTGTGAACCTTCTAGAATTAGATAACTATACAAGGATGAGATCGTACTATACATATAGGCTGTGCTTTCTTGAGCTATTTTTCAATGTAACAATATATTATGAACATCTTTCAAAGACAAATGATCCATTACCTCATTGATAATAGGTAAACAGAACTTTCATGTAACTTTTCTAGGATGTCTAGCCCAGTATTTCCCATGACCACTACTCTCCCTAAGTGCTAGCTGATATGCAGATATAAGCATTCTGGGGGAAAATAAGTCTGGATAACAAAGTCATTGTTATTGTAGAACTTCCCGGAAATTTAAATTCCATGAATATGCCTTACGAATCCCCAAAAGTGGGAGATTAAAACCTTTCCCAAACTTAATTCAGCAGGAAACATCATGTCTAGTTGTAGCTATGACTATCTTGTGGAGCCTACTGTGCATTTCCAACGTTCTCGGTAGGAAAACATCTTATAGACTATAGACTCCGATTCAGCAGTGTGGGTGGAGCCCAGAAAGCCAGTTTAACCACTTGCCCAGATGAACTTTGGGACACATTTAACCTAGACCTTTCTTTAAAGGCTTCGTTCTGAATGGAACAGAACCTCAGAACCTTTCCAAATAATATACACCTGCATGGACCTCCTCCTAGTTTAAAAAGTTCCTCCAGTGGTCTTGACATCCATTTCTCCCTAATCTCAATGGAGAACCATTGCTATAATTGAGCTCATGCTGATGTTCCCATATATGCTTTGGCTGAAATGCATTTTCAAATTAGATTCTGAAAAATGAAATGTGAAAAGCAGTCCATGAGCTTCTCTGTCAAAAGCAGCTGAAAAACTAAAGACCAACTTAAACCTTTAATGCGTATTAAGGTTTTATACCAGCCACTGCCTTCAAAGAGTAAATTATTGAACAGGAAAAAAAGAACACATATGGAGAACACATTTTTTTTGCCTAAAAATTAATCATTGTAGAATTTTAAGTTTCTTAAAGGTTTTTTATAAAAACTTTTAAGCTTTTTAAAAGTTTTATACAAAATCAAGGATATACTGATGCTTTGTCTCACTCTTTTCACACTGTTCCTAACTGAAGCAGCAGCATCAACTCTACTTCTTAAGTTGATGCACAGGTATATCTCATTTATTGTTCTTCACTTTATAGTGCTTCAGAGACAATGCGTTTTTTTAAAAAACTGAAGGTAGGACCCTCCATCAGCAAAAAGATTACGACGTGCTTTTACTGTGATACCCTCTCCATAATGTGGTGGTCTGGAACTGAGCCTGAATGTCTCCGAGGTATGCCTGTGTTTAAGCATTACCTTTGGAGCTTTTTAAAAGACATCTGGTTCCTCACCCGAGACTTGAATTCAGCAGGTCATTCCCATGTAGGGGTGATTCTCATGTAGGTGTCTCATTTTTCTTATCAGGTTAGATAATGCTAAATATAAAATATCAGATATTTTACTCATCCCATGACTGCTGTTTGGTAAGTGGTCCTGAATCTCCAAAACACTAGAATCAAGAGTCATGTGAACGCTGGACAACTTAACTATGAAAACAAAAATACAAATTATGTTTACTGAGGAATTTTTTTTTTCTTAAAAAAAAAGGGGTAGAACATTAAGAAATGACTAATGGGAAGAAGTTTTTACATTTTACTCTAAATTATTTCACTTCATATGATGATAGATTATTCGTTACTTATTACACTTTAATTTATTTTATAGAGAATTCGCATAGTTTGTTTAAGCTGTGCTTCAATCAGATCTATGGGAAGCCCAATCATTTGGAGAATGAGATCATAATCTAGACCCGTTTTACCTTAATGGAAATGCAGATAAATTATTAAAAAATTTTTTAAAAATTAAAAGTCTTTTAAGTGAAGTCTTAGAAGGCTCAACTTACAAAATGAAGGCAAAAATCAGAGAGAATTATATACTTCAGCACTTTAGACAGTAGTGGAAATAGTACCCTGAATCTCAAGTCTATGCAAAAGTAAATGCCACTCTTGGGAATGGGAGTCACAAAGTTGGCATCCAGGGGATGGTACTGGCTGTGAACTGTGATGTTTTCCAAACCTGACTGTACTCTAGTACTCCCTGGAGAACTTTCTAAAACACAGATTCTTGGTCCTATTCACTGCCGTATTATTTCTAGGGGTGCAATCAGTCTAATAAGAGGCCCACAGGAGAAGCATTAGTCTGTAGGATGCTAGTGACTACGCTAGTGAGATTCATATAGATGACTTCCGGGGGGGGGGGGGGGGGGGGAGAAGGTAAGCTGTTTCCTCCATATCATTAGGAAGCAGTTGACCTAAAATGTAATGAATGGAAAATTATCTGTAAACGTAAGAAACCTAATATTATGGGAAAATATTAACATCGAGAAGGATGATGGAATAATGAAGAATATTTTTAAATTGTTTTTCAGGAATAGCCATGCAGAGAGTCTCTTTCCAAAGAAACTGTTTACTTAAGAATTGGGAAAATAAATTACATTGTTAAAGGGGCAGTAAACTACCATAATTACATGGCAATATTTTTTTAAGTGCATCAAAATCCCTTTAGCTAGAATCTCTATGACCTTTCTGGACTTAATTCTAAGATAATTCTCCCTGTCTTTCCTATAATTCTGTTAAGTTCCTGAAGGGCAGAGAAATACTTGTTTTATACTCCCATAGGCTTACTAAGATTCAGCATCTATTCAATAATTATTAGCTTCATATGATTAGTTTCATACTTATAACTTGAAACTTCAACCTGAATCAGGAGATGCAGGTACTGTAACAGTCATGAAGAAAACATTCACAATATACCGGTAGACCTCGGTATTATCTAGAAGCCTTTTGTACATGCCTGTTCTGCTGGGAATGGTCTTCCAAAGCCAGACAAAAACGCCACTTCCTCTCTGAAGCCATTCCTGATTCCTCAAGTCATAATCAAATTTTTCCTTCTTTTTGTTTATACCTCTATGATAGCCCACTGATCTTTAAAACTGTCAAATATTCTCCTAATACCATTTAAACTCCTTGACACCAAAACCCTGCTTCTTAAACATCATGGTATTCCTGCCACCTTACATAGTATTCTATGCATGTGAGGAATTTGATACATGTCTGCCGAATGAATGAATGCACGAATGAATGAGTGACCACCACATGATATTCTAGTCATTATAAATGTACATCCCAAAACTCAGGATCCACTCATGAGTTACTTTGCTTACCCATTTCTTCCTTTCCTGAAACTGATTGTTGCAAAAAACTGTAATTTGGAGAAAATACTTATCAAGCCATAAATTCCACATACGTTATTCAATATTAATAAAGAGGAAAGTTAGTGAAAGTAACTGAGAGAAAACTTTACCTTCTTGAAATAGTTGTCTGGCATAAGACGCCTCTCTGCCCTGAGGTTGGAAAAAAGCATAAATGCATTTTCTCACTAAATCTTCCCAGCCAGTTCTGCCAGCAGCTCTCAGGGAACTCGTGTCAATAGAGATGATTTTACCTATCCAAAGAATAAAACATCACATTTATGATAGCCTCTGATAGCCTCTTGATCTAAATAATCTGTATTTCACAATGAATCACTGCTTCTCAGAAATATTCTGCCCTCCCCCAAATGCATAATGGGGGAAAAAATCACTAAAAAGCACTACTAATTTTTAGTACCTTTGGCAACAAAGTATGTCTGTGGAATGATAATGAAAAATTGTTTTGGCCTTGGAGTTTGTTACCTACTGGCATGTAATATTCTGAAATTCATTTCCAGCCAAGTATTGAAGTCACACCATGAAGACCTGGGGCTGCAGGGACTAATGCTGCCCAGACGCCTCTGGCTTGCCCTTTGTACCCTGCTCTCTCTCTCCACACCAGTGCCTGAGGCACTCACTGGGGAAGGAGAGGCGGCATGAATATACTGTTTGGGTAATTTATTTACTCCTACTCTTTGGTAAGAGCAGTTGGAAACGACCCTTGAAAAACACAATAATAAAGCATACAACACCGGAATATTAGATTTCTGGGACAAAAAAAAAGAGTAAATATTGTAAGAGGATCTTATAAACAATGGTAAAGATGAAAAAAGCACATTAAAACTAAACTTTTCACAAAGAAAAAAATGTAGTAGAGATGATCTCTCTCTTTATTAAAGAGGCGAGTGAAACAGATAACTGATGTAAAAACACAAAAACGTGATGTGCTAGAGTGAAGACTAAATAACAAGAAAATTATTTCACATTTTTGTAAAGAACAATAATAATTAGTTTTTTGATGAAAATCAAAGCTGAAGCAGGCCTTCAAGAGAGGATGTTATTTTCAGGCACTGTCACCTTTCCTCGCCCTGTGGCTCTTTCAGTTCTAACACATGCCTGTCCTCTTGGGGTCCCCGCAGCTGTCTCCTCCATCGGGAGCACGTACCCTGCCCTGGGCCCCTCCCCCCATTCCCTCCCAACACACATAACTGGTACCACCTCAAACTTAAGGGTTCAATATCAGCTCCTCAGCCAGGTCTTCATTAAAAGTTCCTCCCTATTAGCTTACCTTACCATCTCACACCTTTTCCATCAGAAAACATATTATGACTTGTAATTACATCATTGCCTTTTGCTCAAGTGCGTACACTCTTAAGCAATCATACACAGTGACAGGTATTTCTAGGTATTCAAAAATTATGTGCTGAATAAATTTTAAAAATAAAGGGAAAAGAGCCAAATACATTTAAGCATAATATTAAAACCACCATACTTGTATCCATTTATAAATATATTTATTTAAATCTACATTGTCAAATAGCTTTAAAAATTTTATTCCATGGTTATGCAAAATAATTTATAATAAAAACAAATATAGGTACATGAAGAGTTAAAAATAGTGATTATAATATCTAAAATGCACAACATCAAAACCACCTTTTAAAATGTTTTCTGTGTAAGACAAACGGACGTAAGTAGAAAAGCAGAGAACAGACAGATACAAAATCTGGGATGTAATTGATTTTAAAAACATAGCTGACATCATTAATACTGATGGAACATTTTTTAACTTTGCGATTAATACCTGTAGTATCTTGCTTGGTCATAAAGGATTCTACACCCGTAATAGCTGGAGGCCGAGGTAATCTCCGTGCAATACAAATCAAACAGGACTGGAAATCTGCCCAAAACAGGAAAGGGAAAATTAAGGAAAAGGGTAGAAAATGGTTCACAATCTATTACTTGACATTACCAGTTTTTATAGAAGTAATACATTTTATAGGATCTGACATATAGAGGTATAATGCTAGAAATAAAATCACTGGCAACCTAAACCAGGCAGCTCTAGTTAGCATAAGTAATCCCTTCCCATTGACTGTTCTTACATAAACTAGAAACTAGAGGAGACTGATGCATCTCATGTACTTGGAAAATAAAAAGTAGTTTTGCCTAGATTTAAGTAACACAGTGAATTTTAAAATATAGCTCTATGGTCAATTTCCTATACTCATCAGTACTTAATGGCTATAAAAATTATTCATAAGCCCTGACCTGGTAACTCAGTTGGTTAGGGCATCATCCTAATATGCCAAGGTTACGGATTCAATTCCCAATCAGAGCACATACAAGAATCAAACAATAAATGCATGAATACGTGCAACAACAAATCAACATTTCACTTCCTCTCGCTCTCTCTAAAATCAATAAAAAAATAAATAAATGTTCTTTAAAAAAAAAAGAATAAAAAAGTTTAATTTTTGTAGCCATTAAGTACTGATGTCTATAAGAAATGGACTTTAGAATGTATTTAAAAGTTTACTGTGTTGCTTAAAACTAAGCAAAACTACTTCTGTGCAGATAATAATTATCCTATGAGAAAAACCTTTAACTCTTTCTAAAGAAGCATAAATTTGCCTTTGATACAGGACTTTATATTGTAAGATCTATAATTTTTTCTACGTTCCAGCTCCAGATTTTTTTGAAAAAGTACAAAATCTGAAGATACAAAAGACACATGCAATATCACATGGCTAAATATGAAGTTTACTCATCTAAAGCAGCTTCGCATGTTTATTTTATAAAAAGTCCCCAGTTGATCATGGCATTCATTCCCTGGTGAGACCAGCTACCTACTACCATGTTTCTCCGAAAATAAGACATCCTCCGAAAATAAGACCTAGCGCATGGAAAGATAAGACATCCCCTGAAAATAAGACCTAGAGCAACTTTGGGAGAAAAAAGTAATATAAGACACTGTCTTATTTTCGGAGAAACAGCGGTTTTTTGTTTGTTTGTTTTTGCATATGACTAACTTCTCATCTCCTACCTTCCCCGGTCCTTATTCCAATTTCCAGTTTGTGGTGTTCTCTTAACTTAGCTCCGTCTCAGTTCACATGGAAAATTCATCCACTGTCACATATTTGACTAAAGCCATGATGATGCCATGTTCATATTAGAGCTTCGGCTGTGTTTTCATCTGTTCATAAGCTCTCTCTTTATAAATTACCTTGTATGGCCTCGAAATTGCTAACTCTATTCTCCAATGTTCCCTGCGCTCTAAACTTGAAACTCAAAAAAAAAAAAAAAAAAAAAAATCAGAGCTGTTCACCAGCCTGCTGCGTCTGGTACGTTTCCAACTGGCATCAGCTAGCGACATCTCTTATTTCTAGGCAGCAAGTTGGTACGAATTTGACATTTTACTAGGAATGCCAGCTTAAAATTGAGAAATTGGGGGCATTTTAAAGGGGTGATTATAGATGTTAGCAATTTTTTTTTCTTAAAAATTAAGAAATACATAGCAAGTTGAACAGCCATTTTGATCTATAATATATATAGTAACTAAAAATACTATCTGAAGAAGGCAGTTGTTATAATCAATTATCTCCCTATTCCTGAAAGCCATGGAAAAAGCAACTAAAAATCTTAAGATCACCCTTTGTTTTACCTTCTCCATCTTCTTGAATTGATTTTGGCTGTGACACAGTGAAACACTGCATTACTTCATACCGCTGGCAAGCTTCTGAGTTCTCGGTCCCTGGCTCATCTGGAGGGTGGATTAGCATCCTGCAGTTAAAGGTATGGCTATTTCGTCGTGTTGCCTCTTGAGGCCAAGGAACTCCATTTACTGTGGAAGAGAAATTGATTATATCCCCGTGAATAAGTGAAAAAGTACAAAATCTGAAGATACAAAAGACACATTTAGCCATGTATTTAGTTAGCCATCTACTTAATTATGTTATCCTGAGGCAGCAGGATACTTACCTTCCTTAGCAAATGTAAATGTCTACCAATTTGATAATTGTAAAATTTCAAGCGACTATTTAGGATTTTCCCCTCTCAACGATAAGGCCTTACAAGTACCCTAATTCATTAGCATTCTTCATATACAGAGACAAACATGATAGTTAGCTAGTTTTTTTACTCAAATTTAACAGCAGTTAATAAGCTTTTCCATTTTGTTTCCAGTTAATAGTCTGGCAATAAAAAGTGACTGAAAACCTTAGGTCCACTGTCAAACAGAAGTTTTAACCTGGCAGGCGTGAAGGTTTAAGGATGGGCTTGTGCATCTTTTTGGATTCAAAGTTTATCAAAGGAGTCTGTGATTAAATAAAATATTTAGAATAGAGAACAACCTTGGCTTCTTATAATTATTTTTTCACAGTTTATATAATACTCTGAATATTATGGGTAATCAATAAGTTATTACATAAAAATGACCATTAAAACAGAAATGTCACCTGATTCAGTAAAAGAAAAATTGAATCTAGGATTCTAGAAAAGATGTCTGTATTCCTTCCTCCCTCCCTCCCTCCCTCCCTCCCTCCCTCCCTCCCTCCCTCCCTTCCTTCCTTCCTTTTTATATCTATACATTTCAAAAAAGAATTTCTGTTTGGCAGGTCACCGTTTCCACTGACCCTCTTTCTTTGTTACGATCTCATCACTCTGCAGCTGCTTGAGGAAATCCTGGGAACAAACCTACACTGGCAGTAGGAGTCTTGGTTCTGCTATGAGCTAGTGGTGAGGTTTGGGTTAATTTCTTAATCTTTGCCTCATCTTTAAAATAAAGGAATCCACAATATTATCTCTAAAGTCATTTATACTCTAAAACTTTATAACAAGACATATAAAGACCCATTGACAAGTCACATATTGGACTAGTGATTTTAATAAAAACAATCTTTTCAGGCCCCGTTACTATAGTACTCTTTTCAAAGAAGGAATAAGTAAACATGTAGGAAATAGAGAGCTATGGATAAATTCCATTTGCATGTTTGGTTTGGTCATACAGAATTTCTAGCCAAGGTCCTCCTTCCAGTTTTGGAGCAATGTAGGCTCAGGAGTAGGCACATGGCTTAGTGAATGGGGACAGAGAGGCTAGAAATCAGACCCTATCCAACCGCTAAGCTAGGCTCCATGGTCACTTAACTCGTCCAATCATTCTGAGAACTCCTGAGCTGAAATTACTTTCGTCCAAAAGTGCTGATTATAATAAGTACATAATATGATAATATATCCCTTCTCCCTCCCTTCCTTTCCCTTCTTTCTTTCCTTCCTCCCTTTTCCCCTTTGAGCAAGGTGGTGAGAGGGATACACATTTCTCTCTTTCTTGGACATAATAAAAATGGAAAACAAAGGGAATTTCAGGCGGAAGCTTCTGCTCCCGTCACTATCCCAAACCCGGGCGCGATCTGGAGGGAGAGGTGGAAAGGGATGCTCTCCATCAGCCATGTGATGGCATTCCCTCTTCATACTTTCATCGCAGACTGAAACTAAATTTTAAAATATTTTAATATATGATAACATACATTTCTTAGAGTAATACCATGTGTTATATTTATAACACTAGTATATTATTATACTTTATATTAAAGTAAATAATATATTTGCATAAAGAGAAGCTACGGCGAGTTCATATTCTTTTAAAAAATACATTTCTTCGTACCTAGTGATTTTGGTAGCAGGTTCTTCACAAATTCTGCATGGTCCCCCACATGCAGTATGCTGTAGACGCTGGTATTCATTAATTCTTCCTGATTGTAACCCAAGTAGCTGGTCACATTCTCTGACACAAATACGATTCTCCCTTCACAGTTCACAACAAAGAAAAATCCATCCAAAGCCTGCAACACCAAAAAAAAAAGGGGGGGGGGGATTGAGAGGTTAAAAGATAAAAAGAAAAATAAACATATACTTCTGTATTGAAAAAGAGGTCAGCAATATATGTTAAGTTTAAAAAAAAAAAAAAAAAGGAGTGTAGCTGAATGGAAGATTTACATTGCATGGTCTCTGTGGACAGGACAGGATTCTTTTTTTTTAATTAAAATTTTTTTTTATTGTCTAAAGTTTTATACATGTCTCCTTTTCCCCCAATTGACCCCCTCCCTCATCTCTTCCCAGCCCGAGCAAGCCCCCACCGCCCCAGTGTCTGTGTCCATTGGTTGTAATAATATGCATGCATACAAGTCCTTTGGCTGCTCTCTAACCACCTCCTCCCCTAAGGAAAGGAATTTTAAACAGACAGTACACTAATGTTTCAAGTAGGCATAAATGAATTATGTCAACTTTCTTCCTCACAGAGACATTTTATGGTAGCAGATCTGAATTGAATGACCTATGCACCCATTTCTATCCGTAAGGAACTTATGGCAGAGTGAGAGACATGGACATAATAAATCCCAGGGATGAATGCAGAGTCAGAGACATACACGGACTATTCTATGAACAAAGAAGGATAACTTAATAGGTGGGGGGAGGATTGGGGAAGAAGGCAAAGAAAGGCTCCTTACAAACCCCCCCCCCCTTAGTTATAAAAGGAACCGCCAAGGAGGGGAAAAGGAGAGAGAACAGTTAAGGCAGAGGGGAGAGCGTGGCAGTGCACAGGAGGCCCAAATCACAGAGCTAGAGCCAGGGCCTCCAAAAGGAGATGTATGGCTCCCAGGGGAACAGAAAACCCATAGGGTGTAGTAAAAAGTCAGAACCTCCACTTACAGTGTAATTCAAAGCATAAGAGAGAAATTGAGCTTAATAAACATAATGACACCCTGGCACCTCATTCAGTTCTCTGACAGTCACATACCACAAACTGTGGAATCCCAAGAGAAGATCCAGAATACAGAGGTGGATGGTGGCCCCTTAGGTATTTATAACCATTCCACTTACTGAAACATACTGCAGTTTACTTTGCTATAGAATGTATATGACCAATAAAAGCAAGACCTTTAAAAAGCAGAACATTTACAGAATCTTGTAGTAAGAGAAAAATCCTTTGTATCGCACAGGTGTCTGCTGGTTATCTGGGACAAGTTCTTAAAAGAGTTAAAATGTTTATGGGCTACTAATTTTCTCTTTAAGAGAGACAAATGTCCCAATTTGTTGACCTTTTCTATGAGGCAGGTGGTAATGATAATATGATGCCTGGAAGGTATCTTCCAAATAATAACACATTTAATTTTGTCACTCAGGTGAATGAGTGGTGAAAGGACATTCAAAACAGCGGAAACAGCTCAGAGGTTAAAAAAATAACTTTGTATGCATTTGGAATATTTGTGTTATATTTAATAGTAAAAAAAAAAAATTTTTTTTTTAAAGTTTCAAGGAAAAGCAGCAACAAAAATAAGGAATTAGTCCTACTACAGGCAATGGGGACCTTCTTGAAGGCACTATTTGCAGAGGAGAGTGATGTAATCTACTTTTGCAAAGATCCTTCGGGCCATGGGTGTGGGGTGGAGCTGGGAAGCAAGGGACTCTGTTGCAATCGTCCAGTTCAAATAAGAGCCTGGATGAAGGCAATGGCAGTGGAAGCGAGGTTTTGACAGAAGCAGAACCAACGGTACTTGGTCACCTGCAGCACCCATGGGAACAAGCATTTGGGGTGCTTCTTCACTAATGATTTTTGGGTTCTGGTAGGTTAAGTGCCTTTCCCTGAGTAAAGGGACTCGGGGGGGGGGGGGGGGGGGAGAGGATCTAAACTTTTCCTTTTTATAAATGGAAGTTAAGAGGATTATAAGTTTAGTTTTAGAAATCTTACATTTGAGCCGGGACCGGTTCGGCTTGGGGACAGAAGGGTCCCGGGTTCGATTCTGGTCGAGGGCATGTACCTTGGTTGCGGGCATATCCCCAGTAGGGGGTGTGCAAGAGGCAGATGATCGATGACTCTCTCATCGATGTTTCTAACTCTCTATCTCTCTCCCTTCCTCTCTGTATAAAATCAATAAAATATATTAAAAAAAATCTTACATTTGAAATGAAGGAGGAACCTTCAGATAAAGATGTTCAAAGGACAGCAGGACATAATGAAAGGGATGCTCTGAAGAGAGATCATTTCGATTTGATCATGTATCATTTTGTTTATTTGTTTTTAACTACCATCACCTTTTCCTCCTTTCACAGAATATCTGATTTCCTTTGGGGAGTTACTCATTCCCTATTAAATAAAATCTCGTGAGGTTCTTAATCAGGCCACTGGGAGACTTTCCGCCTGACTGTGGACCTTGCTGAGAATGACAAAAAGACCGAGCTTGGCTGGAACGCATTCATTCTAGCAGCAGGGTACAGCCCAAATATGTCTTTCTCAGAGACGATTGGAATGATTTTGGCTTTCTAGACTCCTTAAGCTATTTTGTTTTCATCCTATTTTCAAGCATGGTTCTGTGATTTCCAAATAGCATTCCAATAAATTCACATTTACTTAATTTCGTCAGAATTGTTGTCTGTTGCTTGGAATCCAGAGAATCCTAACTGATGTATTTTGTTTGTTTGTTTTTAATATATTTTTATTTATTACAGAGAGGAAAGGAAAGGGAGAGAGAAATATTAATGATGAGAGAATATCATTGATCGGCTGCCTCCTGCACGCCTCCTACCAGGGATCAAGCCCACAATTGGAGCATGTGTCCTTGACCAGAATCAAACCCAGGACCTTCCAGTCCGCAGTCCAATGCTCTATTCACTAAAGCCAAACCAGCTAGGGCCTAAATGATGTGTTATATACACATACACATGTGCACACATACACACCAGTACATTGTATAGACATAGATGTAGATCCCCAACTTCCTAGGAGATGCACACAGCATTTTTATTTTTATTTTTTATTTTTAAAGGAAGAGTCAAGGCCAGAATCCTGGAGGATGCTAACTTAAGAGGAAGGCAAAGAAAGAGAAATATGAGAACAGAGGTTGAGGAATAGCCAGAGAAGAGAGGTGATTGTTCTATAGAAGATTTTCAAGGGAAGAGTTTTAAGGAAGAGGGAGTGGGTAGTCAAACGTGCCAAGAGCCACACAGCAATGTAGGGATGGTAAAAAGCAAGGCAAGGAAGCGTGGATGCACATGCAAGATGTAGGGAGAGACCCTGTGACAAAACCAGAATTGTTTTGGAGGGGATCAGGGGAAAACGAGAAGCATTAGAGCCAGATAACACAGACCTCTGAATAGGAGACAACAGACTTTAGACAACAAGGAGCAGTGGAAATGAGGGGCTTAAAAAAATGCCTGTACTGAGAGTGTTTACCATGGACCAACAGGCATTAGTTAAATAATAAACTCTAATACCACTGTCTCTTTAAATGTGGTGAAAGTTCTTCCAATACCTTCATTTATTTTAAAATACCTTCCTCCTTAATCCATGTTACTTTTCAAATTTTATGTCTTAAAACATGTGGTGGTGGGGAGACAAGTTGTGGGGTGAGAATTTCTCATATTACGGTGAGTGTTTGGACATGTTTAGATGTGCAGGTCTTCTAGATGAGCAAGTGCCCTCCAGATCAATACTGTAAAACAAGAACTTCCTGCCACACTAGGAGTATTCTGACCCTGCAGAACAGTGGGCACTAACCCCAGGTAGGCACTGAGTGCTCCAGTGGCTGCTGAGACTGAAGCTCTAAATTTATTATTTTTTAATTTTTTAATTTTTTTATTTAAAGGACTCCAGCCAAAACAGCTAGTGCAGCAATCTTTTTTTTTAAATATTTTATTGATTTTGTACAGAGAGGAAGGGAGAGAGATAGCGAGTTAGAAAGATCGATGAGAGAGAGTCATCGATCAGGTGCCTCCTGCACCCCCCCCACTGGGGATGTGCCCGCAACCAAGGTACATGCCCTTGACTGGAATCGAACCCGGGACCTTTCTGTCCCCAAGCCGACGCTCTATCCATTGAGCCAAACTGGTTTTGGCTGAATTTATTTTATTTATGAATAGCCACGTGTGGCTAATGGCTAACTTACTAAACAGTGCGGCACTAGCCTGCAGCCTACATGAAGCAATGGACAATCTCACGGTGGCTTTTTACCAACTCTTCTCGCCTTCCCGGGATTTAGGCTCTACAGAGTTTAAGGCAACGAGCATGGGGTTGGAGGGCAGAGAAGAGGAATGGGAAAGGCTGTCTATGAAGGCAGCTCTGAAGCCAGTAAAAGTTAGTAATTTTACTGGACAGTCCCTGTTTCATATATCTATAGCTCATAAATAAAATTATTTGCTCATTGGAGTCAAGATCCTAAATATATTTCTATTCTGAGTTTTTGAAGTTTTGAATTTGATGTTTTGTTTTCACATTTAAAAGTGCTTGCTTAATGACATTTAATCCGTCTGTAATGTTGTGTTACAATTTCCCTTTGATTCATAGTGGTTTTCAGGATAATAATTTCATCCGCTAAAAAAAATCCTTACTTTTTACTTTTTTTTTTTTTTAAATTTCTGAGTGGCTGTTTTGCTGTCATTGCTGTTCATTTTAAAGTGTTGTGGGCCTTTCTCATGCAGCAATAGCAGATGTTTCCTCAAACTGAAGCAGCAGTAGCAGCATTCCGCCTGCAGTTGTGCTGCATTCAGCTTGTGGACCATCTCTTTACTCTCCTTGCTCATCTCTGTGGTTTCTGAAGAACGTGTGGAACTAGGACTGAAATGATGACATTTTCCTACAGGAACTCCAGAAACCTCAAGGCCCTCTATACCTTATATTTATTCATGATCGTAAATGACATTAATGAAGAAGATAAATTTAATGAGTATCCTATGAAATGAAAGGAGACAGAAGATTCTTAGGCCAGTTTTAAACTCAGGGCACTAAGAAGACAGGTAGAGCTCTCACAGGAAAATCAGAAGACATGAAAAGACCCTGCAGAGTGGCAGAGATGAGCAGCAAATGCTAGGCTGGGGCAGGTCTCTGAGAAGGGCTTACGGGTAACCAAGTAGCGGGACAGTGACACACGGGCAAGATGAGGGGGAAAGTGAGAAATGAGCCTCACATACTTTGCTTCCTTTACCTTATTTTCCTCTAATAGCTTACATTAAAAATTTTCAACATATAGCAAAGTTGAAAGAATTTTGTAGTGAACATCTATATATGCACCACTTAGATTCTACCGTTAACATTTTTACTATATTTGTGACAACAGTGTTTCTGAACTGCAGTCATGTTTGATGGCTTGTGAAAAGAATATAATAATAAAAAAAGCAGAGTCCATCACATGTGGTAGCTTCCTGCTCTCCCACTTACATGTGTATGTATGCACTGGCTCAGAGAGAAGCTTCTATCCGCTATCCGCTATCCAATGCCTTCTATATTTTACAGTTCTAAAAAGTATGTGCTCATTCCCCTAATAAAAAAATCATTAAAACCAATAGCCTAATGCTACAAAGTACTGTCTAACATGGAGGAGAAATAAATTTAGATTCTGAGGGGAGAGGTTGCTAATACGAGAGTCAAAAATGTTTAGCAGCCTGTTAGAAGTACAGAAATGGAGCATGAGAAGAGGTTAAAGCAAGAAGTATATATTTGGATGTCATCTCTTCAGAGATGAAAGGTGAAGCAAAAAGAATACATAATATTTCTGGAACCAGAAAAGCAAGAATTGAGTTTTGACAATGTTCTCACATCAGCAGTGTTGGTAGAAGGAATTATGGTTAATGCAAGATACAGAAATAATTAGGGTGAGAGGAAAGTATGTATGAAGAAGTTGAAAAATAAAGAGACCCATACATGTTTGTTAGAAACACTTTACCAGAAAAAAGGGCCTTAAGGTAGGATAAGGAAAGAAGAATCTATTTTATGTCGATAGCTATATCTCTACTTTATATATGTAATATAATACATGTTAGAATTAGGGCTAGAGATAGAAGAGGATACACTGTGGGGAATAAGTGTGTACATACACATATGTATATTTTTAAACATTCATGTATGAGAGTGAACATTTAAGGTAACGAGCACACTTGGAAACAAAACATCTGTGCTGAGAATAGAGGGAGTAAAGATTAAATAGAAAAAGCACAAAGCAGTTACAGAGTAATTCCCATTTAGGAGTTAATTTACTTTTAAAAAAATTGATAGAAAGCTATTAAAATAGTACATTCTCTTACAATGTTTCCATAAACAATTAACACATTTTTAGTCAGAAAACTTTTCAGGAAAACACCTACTGCAGAAGTGAGGCATCCATTATTCAAAGATGAAATTCTACAGTGGACACATAGATAGCACTAGCTAGCTAAAGAATTCTGTTTTAGTCTCCCAACTAAATAAGTAAATTCAATTTTTTATCTCACTATTTAGAATGCCTTTATGAAAATGTCTTATGATCATTATTAACATTTAATTCTGAAATAGTAACAAAATAGTTCCCAAAAGTAAAGTAAGTATTAAAGTTCTTTAAAACTTAGTACTCAGTTTTATAATTTATCGACGGGTTTTAAGATACAAAAGAAGAAAAAACCCCAAGCTGGCTAGCACTCAGCGTGGGATCACTTTCCGAGTCAATGAGAACAGCTACCTCCAGAAGAAGAGGCCCCAAGGATTCCTTTTCGATCACTCCTTGGCTGCTCGACGAGATGTCTGACTTCTGCACTTCGTCGTCAGTGGCTGATTTCTCTACAATAAAGAACCAAAAAGTCACACACCCAAAATGGGCTTATTTCTATAATGGCAAGTTTCAGAAGACATAGACTCCCCTAATTTCAGATTCAAATAATATGTATTTATTATCTAGGCCAGTGATTTTCAACCTTTTCATCTCAGAGCACACTAATTACTAAAATTCTGCAGCACACCAATATTTATTTATTTATTTACTTATTTATTTAGCCGATCTGACACACAAAAAAATAGGTATGATTTTGATTCATTTACACCAGATGGTTACTACTGTGTTGACTGTTGTCATTTCTTTATTTGGTAATCTAAGGGGAAAGAGGTTAGTATACCTGACTAGTACCAACAGGTATTGCATGCTTTCAAAAAATTTTTTGTGACACACCGGGAGAAAATCGCTGACCAGGCACTTTCACACTTAGTCTTAGCTATACTTGTTTTATAGAAGATAAAATTCACAAAGGTTAAGTATTGTGTTCCAAATAACATAGTAACTAGTTAATGGCCCTAGGAGGACTTGAATTCTGACCTACAAAGTCCAGTGTTCCAGCATTGAGGAAAATGGTGTAATTCTATATAGCTTTCTAACAGGTCTACACCAAAAAATTTTAAGAAATGGATAAATTGTAATAGAATAATTGTTTTCGTCATTTTTTTTTTTTCTTTTCTGACCAATTGCCACTGAAGAGAAAGTGAAGGTATGATTTTTTCATTTGGGGAGTCTGCATGAACAACTAACCTTTCACCTCATGTTATGATGATTTGATCGGTAAAACTGTAAACTGCTAGAGTGCTTTGAAATTCTTCTGTGTGATGATGTTAAAAAAATCCATCCATCATCTTAAAGCAGCATTACATTTAAATAAAAGTTCCCAATCTGTCAGATGAATTAGTTCGCCAAAAACCAAGTTTAGTATTGAGGATTGCAATTCATTTTTATACTTTAAAAATATTCCAAAAAAATACATAAAATGACATAGCATCCATGCATATCATCACCATTCATTTTTCACTGACGTTAACATCATTTGCTTCAGGCCTTTCCTTTTAAAGTCACACAATGCTGCAAACAGGGTAGCTCTGCCACCATTCCTCTTCAGTATTGTGAGGTCACAATAATAATGTCCAAGCATGTTTAATTACTTAAACTACACGTGTATGATTTCATGTGTCCTCTGTCACTGTTGTGTGGGTAAACGGTGGCCTCTCAGTGTGGTTGTGATTGCATTTCTCTGATGGCTGTGACATTGAGCAATGTTTTTCAAGTGTTTATTGGTCATGTGTGTGTCTTCTTTGGATCAATGTCTATTCGCCTGCCCATTTTTAATTAGGTTATTTATTTTTATTTTGAACGTTTCATTTTATAGCATTTTGTTCTTGTTTCATGGATAACATAGTTTTCCTTTTGTCTCTAAGGGACCGTTTGGTTTTAAGTTTCCTTCTGCTCTCTGTGTTGTCTCTGCTTCCTCGGAGTTACTTTTTTCTCTGTTTGTTCTCTCTTACATTATAGGCTTTCCCCAGGTATTTAGTTTTTTATTCACATTGTAGAGTGATGAACTAAAGGGCCTGGCAGCTGTGTGAAGATTGGGACAAGGCAAGGAGCTGATATTTTTCGTGTGGGGATCATTCACAACTGTCAGTGTTTATGTGCTGCTACTTTGGACGCTCCATTTCCACAGGAATTCTCCACCTTTAGCTTAGGGACCTGAGCCAGGCTGTCAGGGTTTTGAATCAACCTAGCAGGGAAGGGGCCATGTGCCTCTTGTTGGCTCTCCCTTTCACAGGCTCGCCATACCCGTTTCTCCTGTCTGCTAAATTAGTTGTCACTAGCCGTTTTCCAACTTCGAAAATCTCAAGATCGTATCACTTTGATCATTTTAAACAGACCTGTTTATAGTCTTTTCACACCGCTCCTATCAATCTGAAGTTCTTTTGGGTCTAGTCCTTCTGTTGGTTTCTGGTATGCATGCTCTTACTCCCTCTAGATTATTCCCTCATACATTATGTCAGTTTTCAGAATAGAAATCCCTCAGAAGCACGTTTTCTTTGGGAATCCCGTGCGGCCGGGTGTGGGAGTGTTTCTCCAAAGGGTTTTGGTTTGTTTCTAATAGGCGGACCAGGGACTTTCTGGTGTGGGGGGTAGGTCCCTAATAAACATAGGTAGTATATAAATCACAAAAACACACCAGGGCTTTCCCAGAATCCAGCAGAAAGACTCATCATTCAGATGGAAGGATTCTCCCATCACTGAGTTACTGTCTTAAAACTCTGTCAGAGCCTCAGATCTCACACCAGTATTTGTGTCCCCTGGTGCCACGCCCTGGTACTGGGTCCCTTAACTTCTCAAGACAACCAGTTTCTAATAAGCCAAGAAGGCTCTCAGATTTACTTTCTAAAGTAAAGAGAATTTAAACAAAAATGTTTCTTTAATAAAATTATGAAGTTCGCCAAAACCGGTTTGGCTCAGTGGATAGAGTATTGGTCTGCGGACTGAAAGGTCCCAGGTTCGATTCCAGTCAAGGACATGTACCTTGGTTGTGGGCACATCCCCAGTGGGGGGTGTGCAGGAGGCAGCTGGTCGATGTTTCTCTCTCATGGATGTTTTTGGCTCTCTATCCCTCTCCCTTCCTCTCTGAGAAAATCAATAAAATATATCATAAATAAATAAATAAATAAATAAATAAACAAACAAATAAATAAAAAATTATGAAGTTCAATGAAATTTCTTAATAATAAAAAAATAAATTCACATATTGTCAGTGCCTTTAATAACAAAGCCATGTTTTGTTTGTTTTTTTTTTGTTAATCCTCACCCAAGGATATTTTTTCCATTGTTTGTAGAGAGAGTGGAAGGGAAAGGGAGAGAGAGACACACATCAATTATTTGCTTCTCACAGGAAACCAAGAATCAAACCTGCAACCCAGGTATGTTGCCTTGACCAGGAATCGAAACTGAGATCCTTCGGTTGCACGTTGATGCTCTAAACACTTAGCCCATCAGCCAGGACCATGGGTTGTTTTTTACCTTGTTCCATTCTCTTCATTAGCTGTATTTGATCGACTGTCTTCTTCAAAATCTTGCATTTGTCTGGTTTTACACTCAAGCTGTCAATGTCGCTGATGTTTGCAGACAATAACTCGGCTAGCTCTTCTAAGTATTTATTTTCTTGCTCCCTGCGCCTCTTTTCAGTGCTGATACACAAAGAAAACCCAGTAAGTGTACATATCTACCACTAGATTTCCTTCTCTGACTGAGTACTTAATGCATACACACTTAGATTCCTATTTTTATACAGAATATAAAACCACATTCAGAAAACAATTTAAATTGACATATAAAAAACGGATATCACAAACTACCAAAACAGAAACCGATTCTGGCTAAAATACATAAAGAGAATGACTGCTGTCACAGATGAATTTCCTCAGCGATGTTTATTCATTGACTATTTCAATAACAGTGAATACAGATATTAAAAGGAAGCAAAGAGTATGTATGCTACCTGCATTTGGAATTATTTTACTTTCTCAATAACACCTTGAGATAGAAAATCTAAATTTTCAAATAAATTTGTGATAAATTAAGCAGGGTAGACTATAGAGAGTTCAAATGAGTTATAATTAACTCTTGATTCTTATAATGAATAGACTACAGTTGGTTCTCATCAAAAAGAAGAAAGTACTCATCTAAGAAGTAAAATAAAAAGGATAATAAATCAATGATTAGAAACTAAGGCATGGAAAACAATGTCTTTAGTATAAATATAACTTTGTTTTAAAAATAGATTCAATTAAAAAAATAAAAAATACCATCTACTTATAAGGTCTTATAAATATAATAAATGAAGTCAAACTCAAATTATCTTAAAGCAAAATAATGAGAACAAAAGGTAAGAGTGGAAACAGCCAGCACTTCACATTCACTCTAATGTTCTGAATGACTATTGCTCTTTTTTGTTTTCTAGTCTTTACCTCCGGCTTACTTAGCCAAGTCATCAGGCAACTTGCTTTATTTGAGATAAAGATAATGAAGTATTATTTTGAAATGAATTTTTCTGTTATCAAATTAAAGGAATGAGAAAGACTGGTCATAAGTAGCTCTTGGTTTTATAAGCAGCAGTCAAAATCATTTGGCTGCATATAAAAAGGATAGGGGGAAAATGGTGAAAAAGGGGAAAGAGCAGTTGTTAAAAAGCTCATAATTGGCAACAATTAAAATATAATTTATTTTAATGTTAAAAAGACTATAAAGGTGCTGAAACCGGTGTGGCTCAGTGGATAGAGCATCGGCCTGCAGACTGAAAGGTCCCAGGTTCGATTCCGATCAAGGGCATGTACCTTGGTTGTGGGCACATTCCCAGGAGGGAGTGTGCAGGAGGCAGCTGATCAATGATTCTCTTTCATTGATGTTTCTAACTCTCTATCCCTCTCTCTTCCTCTCTGTAAAAAAAATCAGTAAAATATATTAAAAAATTAAAAAATAAAAAGACTATAAAGGTGATAGCATTTACATAACAATTTAGTAAATTAAAAGTCAAATCATCAAATGTATTTACTACATAAAACAAAATACCACATATCTCAAAACAAAATCAAATTTTAAAACTATAACAATCACACATTCTGTCTTTGTCTTTTTTACCTTACATTATTAAGGTATTAGTCCCATTTTACTTAAAACTCTTATAACTTTCACTGTTGGTACTTGCAGCAAGATTTTTGACAAGTTCCACACCAAGGCATTGAAAAATAGGCATGAAGAAAATGAATAATCTACACATTTTTATATATACAGGCTGAGCAACTTAATAGTGTTTTGAAGCACATCTGCTTTTTATATTAGAGAAACTAATTAATATTAGACTTATCAGTATATTCAGTCTATAGTCTGGACTGATCTGTTAAATCTGTGGGTCTTACATGTCAACACAAGTAAATTGGATTCACTTAGTGAGGCTCCCAAATCTGTTTTTTACTTTAAATTTTATGTGAAAATGAAATGCTTAAAACTACTGTAGGGTAAAAAGAAAAAGAAAATTGATAGAATGGGCACGGTAGGCAGACAGAGAGGTGACAGAGGAAGCAAGAAGCTAAAAGTAATGAAATAATGAAGTGTCTATAAAATGACCTAAAAATGATGCTAGGAAAATCTCCACAAAATGAGGTAACTAATAAGTGAGGATAGAAAATGAGAGTAGATATATTAAAATAAAGTCAAAACTGAAGAAGGGGTGGGGATGACAAAAAATTCTACCTTAATGGAAAAGAAGGCTTTCTTTATTACTTCAGGCAACCCACATTTCTCCTCTCACTTACCCACTTCATTTCCATTTATACTGCATACATGCTAGTTAATGCTACTGTGAGTTAACTTCTTGTGTATCTTTTTTTCCTTCAACTTACTAGTTTTTTAAACAAATGCTCCTATACTCATTATGTGCCAGATAATCATGTACCATATCCCAGAGAAAGTGAGACTTAGCCTCCAATTAGCCAGAAAACAGAAAAGGAGACAGGCCATTATCACACTATGTTGACAGGACTATAATACTAGAGAAGGGCATACAGATGGCTCCTAGGCCTAGGAATGAGATGTGTAAACCTAGTGGTAGGAAAACGCTGGTTTCCTGAAAGAAAAAAACTCCAGCTCTTTCAAAGACATAAAGTGAGAGTGAAAATATCAAGTCAAAGGACCTATAATACTTCAACATGCCTGAACTACAGATATAAGAACCCAAAGGGGCAAGAGATGAGGTCCTGGCCAGACCACAGGGCTCTTTCGTGCCATGATAAAAGGCGTGATATATAACTTAAAAGTACAAGTTCAAACTTCCTCTGTCATTTATTAGCTATGTAACCCTGGACATGTCCCTTAATTTAATTTCTCTAAGTTCCAGTTTCCTTATCTCTAAAACAGGGATAATGACATTACCTCCTAGGGCTTTGTGAAGATTTAAGACGATGGCATATATAAAATGCTGGGCAGAGTTCCTGGCATATACTATTAGCCCAATCAATGTTATCTGTTATCATCACTCTGATTATGATTATTTTTTTCAGGGCCAGGGGAAGCCCAGGAGGGTTTAAGAATGAGTGTCATGCCGAAACCGGTTTGGCTCAGTGGTAAAGCGTCTGTTTGCGGACTGAAAGGTCCCGGGTTCGATTCCGGTCAAGGGCATGTATCTTGGTTGCGGGCACATCCCCGGTAGGGGGGTGTGCAAGAGGCAGCTGGTCGATGTTTCTCTCTCATCGACGTTTCTATCTCTCTATCTCTCTTCCTTCCTCTCTGTAAAAAAATCAATTAAAAAAAAAAAAAAGAATGAGTGTCATGACCAGATTGGTAAGCTTTTTGAAGACAGAAAACATGTCTCACACTTCACTTATATCTTTATAACACCACCCACATGGTGCCAGTTGAAAAGCAGGCATTTAATAAACACTTGTTGAATTGAATTGGAAATGTTGAACAAGCAGAAGGCACAGCTACCCACCATTTTAAGATTAGCACTTTAATCCTCGTTCTCTTAGAATAGTTATAGAATGGAGAAGAGAAAACAGAAGGAGACACAAGACATCTCACACCAACAAAGAATTACTGAGAAACACTCCTGTCCAGGGTGACTGTACACAGGCTGGCAATACCTGAGGTCTAACATGTGCTCTTTATGATTTACTATTTATAAGAAATGTGTTGTATTAGGAACTAGGGATAAAATGGTGAGCAAATTCAGATAAGTGGTAGGGAAAATCTGGTTTCCTGAAAGGAAAAAACACCCAGCTCTTTCAAAGGTATAAAGTAAGAGTGAAAAATATCAAGTTAAAGGACCTACAAATGGCAGCTTAGTTTGCAATGGAAAAGCCAAGGATGCATGAATAAATCACATACACTAGCAAAATCCAAATTATGGATCAAAGTTATACAAAGATGTGAGACAGATACAGGAATGGTAGACATCTGACATAACAGTTAAGGGAGAAAAGAGAAGGTCCCCTTTAAGGAAGTAATGACCAAGCTGGCATCACAGAATGTCTATGTGATGACTACAGGAAATCTAGAGGGAGCAAGCTGGACTGAGGGAGTAGCATTATAAGGAAGCTGAGGAAGGAAGAAAACCTGGTAAGGAGGCAGGACTCAGAGAAGGCCAGTAAACTTGGAGTAGATGAAACAAAAGCTTTAAGGTGGCAACGAAAATGATAAAGCAGCTCCGCCGGAAACAGGCCAAGAAGAGAGGGTTCCTACCTTGATGCCAGTGTGTCACATGGCGATCCTTTTCTCTTGTGTGAGTCTGGGTTAGCAGGGTCGGATGAACTGTCCCCGAGGCCACTCATGTTGAAAAACTTCACACCTAAAAAGGAAGGACAACAAAAAGAAATCTATCCTAATGAACTTGTCAACCACAGGGGAGGAGGGAGCTTCCTTATGTTAGGAAATACCTAAACATTGTAGTCATTGTAATCAATGAACAGATTAATACAGCCAACATAAAGACACCTACATCTATTCGAAAGCAGAGTAGTCACCAGCTATTTAGTGTTTCTATACTTTTTTTCTGTATCTATAAAAGAAAATGAATAATCCTTTTATGAAATCATAGAGATTAAGATTAAAATATTATTAGAATAGAGATACAGATGATGTTTCTAACTCTCTATCCCTCTCTCTTCCTCTCTGTAAAAAAATCAATAAAGTATATATTTTTTAAAAAGAATGTTTAAGATTTTTTTATGGTTAAATCTTTTCTGAAATCTTTCATAATGCTTTATAAATTCTTCCAACAATTGAAATCCTGTTCCCCTGTTTCCAATGGGGAAAAAACACACCATACCCTGACCTTCCTGGTTTAGAAATTAGAGAACATCTCTTCTAATTTTGAAAAGGTAAATAACTACTATTTTGCAGAAACTGCCTACTGTATTTCATAGTACTATGGAGACACGAAGACTTGTTACAGATATACAACTGTAAATATAAATAATATAATCTCATAAACCAGATAATTTTGAGCAACAAATAAATCTGGATTTAAAAGGAGATTCCCGCCCTAGCCAGCTTGGCTCAGTGGATAGAGCATCAATCAGCTTGCAGACTGAAGGGTCACAGGTTCGATTCCAGTCAAGGGCACATGGGTGGGTTACGGGCTCAATCCCCAGTAGAGGGTGTGCAGGAGGCAGCCGATCAATGATTCTCTCTCATCATTGATATTTTTATTTCTCTCTCTCCTTCTCTCTTACTCTCTGAAATCAATGAAGAAATATATAAAAAAACTAAATTAAAAAAGGAGCTTCCCGTACTGAACTACCCTAAGACTACTGGCTATTGATATTTGCTAAATTTATCTAAGATTTTGCGACTCAGGAGTCATCAGACAACAATTCAAGAGCAGCCAGCCAGGCAGGCCTACCAAAAATAAGAGAGCCAATAGTAAGAAGCTGGGAGAAAGTCACCAACAATTTGCTGGTGATTCTGGTATGAACTGCTTTCTATTTACACAACAACAAACAGATAGTGGAACGCAAAACCTCTGAAGAGTGGAAACTATGATAGCTGTTCTCTTTGTGGAATGGTTTTATATTTGGCAGTTAGGGTACTTAAATAAGGTTCATTAAGAAATGTTGGTTTCAGGAAACCAATTTGCATATCACCTTTTAAAAAGAGGTAAGGTTTCTAAGTAAAAGTACCCTGTTGATTTAAAAAGACTTGCTAAATTATAGCCAATCTCATGCAATCTCTAAAGAGCAGTTTTCGGAACTAGAAACCACATCTATCTCGGTTCAAATGGACCAGACTAAACCAAATAGGGGAGGCTGAAGAAATAGGTCAGTGCTTTTATTTCAGTTGATTTATACATTTCCACATAAGACATTTGTTACTCATCTCCCAGATTTAGCTGACAACAGCATAATTTGAAAAATAAATAACAGTTAATAAACAACTCTAATAATAGGTCATTTTGACAGCTGAATTTTTTAAAAAAGAAAATGTTTCTCAAGGGCCCAGTGGCACAATGGATAACACGGACTATGGATGAGAAATTTTTCTCAAACAAAAGTCTTCAGACACCTGCAGTTCTCTGAAAGAAGTTTTCAATTTTCTCTTTTCATTTAGATGACAATTGAAATCTTTCTCTTGTTAAGAAAGGATGGGGATTTCAACAATTTTATTGTCCTTTTTTTATGGTTAAATTTCCATTGTTTGATATACCACATTTTGTTTTTGTAATCATCAGATGATGGTCATTTAAGTTTTTCCATTTGAGGGCTATTTATCAATAATACTGTTGTAAACACTTACATGCGAATTTTCTGTGTGAACATTTTTTCAATTCTCTAGGAGTCCTACTGTATTAGGTCCTACTGTAACTCTCTTAACTTTTTGAAAAACTGCCAAACTGTCTCCATAATGGTTGTACCATCTTAAATTCTCACCAGTAATGTACAAGCATTCCAATTTCTCCACCTTCCCACCAAAAGTTACTTCCAGTTTTGCAATTTTATTTTTATTATACCTATTCTAGTAGGTGTGAAATGATATCTTTACACTTCCCTAATCACTAATGACATTGGTCACTTGCATATATTCTTTGGAGAAATATCTATTCAAGTCCTTTGCCTATTTTTTAAAAAAATGGGTTACTTGTCTTTTTATTGTTGAGTCATAGAAGTTTTTATATTTGGGTACTAAATATCTTGTCTATTCCCACTTTTGCTGTATAAAATCAGTAGTAATGAAGAATTTGAGAGGACCAAAATAACAGAAAGGTTCACAAAAAAATGTAACCCCATGAATATGCATTTAATTAAAGAATGTGAAAATGTAATATAGATTTTATGTTTTTTATATGTATTAACTCATTTATTCCTCACAACTGCCCTTTGAAGTGTATATTATTATTATTTCCACTTCATAGAGGCACTGACTGAATTCAATAGTTTCATCTGACTAATAAAGAAACTATGGTCTGATGTTGATGACAATGATGATGACTAACACTCTTTTTGGACTTACTATTTGCCAATCACTGTTCTAAACATCTAGCTTATTTTATGTACTAATAAACCTTACTAATTAACTTACTTATAAACTCTGAGATAGGTCACATTATAATCCATTTCAGAGATGAGAAATCTGAGGCATGGAGGGATTACTTAATCTGTCCAACATCATATGTGACAGTGGTAAAAATCATTCTTAGGTAACTTGATTCTAGAAACTGGCTAGGCTTTAACTTATATAACTAACCTACAGTCACATCTACAATAATAAAAGAGTAAGATGCAAATTGACCGTACCTTCGCAACGCCCACCAGTCAACCAGGAGTATGCAAATCAATCCAACAAAGATGGCTAGTTAATTTGCATATGCAAGCACCCTGCAGCCAGGAGCATTCCACATCCCACCACCACTACGGGCCTCTGGGCAGTGTGGGAAGGTGGTAAGACTGCTCAGGGCCAGAGTGAAAAGGCGGCTCCAGCCAGAGAGAAGGCAGTGCCAGCAGCCAGAGGAAGGAAGGCCCATTCTTGCACGAATCTTCGTGTATTTGGCCTCTAAGTAATTGAGAAGTAGGAAAGCTAACTATAGATTCCCAAGTTTTGCTTTTGCCTCTACACTAAAATGCTGACAAATTATACCACATCTAAAATCCCTAGGTTCCCAAACACATCAACAGAGAATCTTTGGTCCAAACATAACATAGAAATAAATAAAACTGACCGTATTTCGAATCCTAACTTATCTTTTATGGTCATAATATAAATCCAATTATTTCTTGTAATATGTGAATCACCTTAAAATGCAAATGTGCTATTCCTTCAAAATCAAAAAGTTTTACCTTATAAAACCTTAATTTTTGTCCAAAAATATATAAATCTTAGATTCTAAAATTATATGTATACTTACGAATAAACACACAAAATTCCTTTCAATATTATTCAAATCATCTTTAAGGTCTACTTTCTGGAATTTTGAGCTCTTACTATGTTTTGACAAGATTTCCCCTGAAGATATAATTATAGGCTTTGTTCTCCAGATAAGGTTCTTAGTACCAAATCCATGAATCTCCAAAGTCCCATGTCACAGTCTTTTCAGAAAGGAGCACAGAGGGAGAGAGACAGGCTCAAAATGAGTGCTGCTGTCCAAAAGAGCTGGCCTGCACTCTTCCAAAATGTCAATATCACGGGAGTCAAAGAAATGTTGATAAACTATTTCAGGTTAAAGGAATCAAAGATATGTGACAACTATGCAGTGTGTGATTCTGGATCAGACAACTGATAAAATTTTAATATGGACTGCATATCCTATATAATAAAAGTCTAATATGAAAAAAAAAAAATCAATCAAACAGCAGAAGCACCAATGGAACAATTGGTAGCTATGATGCACACTGACTACCCTGAGGCAGAAGCTCAACACAGGAGCTTCCCCTTTCTCTTTCATAAAGTCCAGGTACTTATATAATACTCCCTTATTGAAGCTTATATTAATTTCAACGTGCATTGAAGCAGTTTGTAAAGTGTAATCTAAAACTTTTTGAACATCTCAATTAGAAATGTCAGCACATGTTTTATGATAACCTTGAAGCTTCTCAGATCATATATTTCCATAAAAGTAAGTCAATAGATAGTCATTTTCTCCATATTTTTGTAGAGACAAAGCTCTTTAAAAACAGAGCTACAATTCTTACCTGGGAGACTTCTTTGTTCATAATGAGTCCTCAAAACAGATAGGGTCAAGTTAGTGCTCCTGAGGTTAGCTTCCAGGGGAATGGGGTGAAGATGTTCTCCAGAGATGGCTCTAATCTCTTCACTCTCACCTCATTTAAAGACAATTATGCAAAAGACTAAAGCAAAGGAAAAGATAAAAAAAAAAAAAAAAAGCAGAGGGAGGTTAGATTGTCATTTTATTGTTTAAGAGATGACAAAGGTCAGAATGCTAGGTAAAGAAAATATATAACCTTTTAGGCTAAATGGAAAAATATTTCCAAAGACAATGTCTAAAAGTCTGACTTCACAGTTAAAGTCTTTTCTGGTGATTAAATAAATATTCCTACTTAACACTGTTACTTGCACAATACCTAATTACATTCTGCCCTTAATCTTTTGAAAGACTCATTTATATGCCTTTAACTTTTTTTTCTGGCTGTATTTATACGTTTATTTTTTCCACTTATAAATAACTAGAGGCCCAGTGCACACGTTTGGCACCAGTTGGGTCTCTCGACCTGGCCTGCGAGGATTGGGCCGAAACTGGCACTCCAACATCTCCCAAGGGATCCTCGATTGCAAGAGGGTGCAGGCCAGGCCGAGGGACCCCACCAGCGCACAGTTAGGG